CTGATAAGCTCCTCCCACAGCTAATCACCTGCCTCAACAGAAACCCTGCCCCCTCTGACCTTTGCACAGGGAGAGCAGCCAATCAGCCACAAAGAAACACACACACACACACACACAAGAAAACCCTTTTTGCTCCTTCTTCAGCTGCTGCCCTGCAAGCTCTGATAAGCTCCTCCCACAGCTAATCACCTGCCTCAACAGAAACCCTGCCCCCTCTGACCTTTGCACAGGGAGAGCAGCCAATCAGCCACAAAGAAACACACATACACACACACAAGAAAACCCTTTTTGCTCCTTCTTCAGCTGCTGCCCTGCAAGCTCTGATAAGCTCCTCCCACAGCTAATCACCTGCCTCAACAGAAACCCTGCCCCCTCTGACCTTTGCACAGGGAGAGCAGCCAATCAGCCACAAAGAAACACACACACACACACACACACAAGAAAACCCTTTTTGCTCCTTCTTCAGCTGCTGCCCTGCAAGCTCTGATAAGCTCCTCCCACAGCTAATCACCTGCCTCAACAGAAACCCTGCCCCCTCTGACCTTTGCACAGGGAGAGCAGCCAATCAGCCACAAAGAGAAGCAGGGAGTCATGAAGTCAAGGGTCCGAGGGTCAAGAAGCAGGGAGTCATGAAGTCAAGGGTCCGAGGGTCGAGAAGCAGGGAGTCATGAAGTCAAGGGTCCGAGGGTCGAGAAGCAGGGAGTCATGAAGTCAAGGGTCCGAGGGTCGAGAAGCAGGGAGTCATGAAGTCAAGGGTCCGAGGGTCGAGAAACAAGGAGTCGTGAAGTCAAGGGTCCGAGGGTCGAGAAGCAGGGAGTCATGAAGTCAAGGGTCGAGAAACAAGGAGTCCTGAAGTCGAGGGTCCGAGGGTCAAGAAGCAGCGAGTCACGAAGTCGAGGGTCCAAGGGTCAAGAAGCAAGGAGTCACAAAGTCAAGGGTCCAAGGGTTGATAAACAAGGAGTCAAGAAGCCAAGGTCTGAGGATCAGGAAGCAAGAAGCCAAACGCAGCAAGGCAGGAAACGAGTTGTTGTGGCAAAGAGCCAAAGGGAAATGCTGACCTTATATCCCTTCCCAGCTCTTGCCACCAGGTGCAGTGAGTTACAAGCAGCCTCACCTGTGAGCCTTGCCTCTCTAGAACAAACTTAGGAAGGCCCCAGTCCTGCGAAGCCCTACTAGTCACAGAGCCCGGCTCCTGCATGCACTCCTGACACTTGCCACCAGTCGTGTGGAATGATTTCGTGGCCCCTGAAGACCCTTTCCACATGTGCAGCTATGAATTCCTCACACACCAACCTTGAAATTTGTTCCCATGTATAACGTCATCCCATTTCCAGCTCGAGTCTGGACGACAAACAGCCGTGACTTATGTCAGATTCAGAGAAAGAAAAATGACCCTGCTCTCCATCTGGGGTTGAAGTGAGTTTTTTAATTTATTTAACCCACATGGAAGTATCTAAGAAGCCCTTAAAAGCTCCACAGGTAAGAACGGCTGTGGTCATGACTGGCCTGAGGCAAAGGACAAGATGGCGGTTGCCTGCATTAGTTGCACAGAGACAACTGGGTCCAACTCTAGCATCCTCCATTGCACCTGAAGATCACAGGGCGGCTGACAGCATAAAAATACGGAATGAAATTCCTTCAGGGATGCAGGAGAGACTGCATGGCTCAGGCCAGGGGTCAGCAAACTTTTTCAGCAGGGGGCCGATCCACCGTCCCTCAGACCATGTGGTGGGCCGGACTATATTTTGGAAAAAACCAAAATGAACGAATTCCGATGCCCCACAAATAACCCAGGGATGCATTTTAAATAAAAGCACACATTTTACTCATGTAAAAACACACTGATTCCCGGACTGTACGTGGGCCAGATTTAGAAGGTGATTGGGCCGGATCCGGCCCCCGGGCCTTAGGTTGCCTACCCATGGCTCAGGCACACACATAGGCCCAGCTGTTGCTGTTTGGTATCAGCTTAGCAGTATTTAGCACAAATCCATCACTCAGCCAAATTTGTCTTATGAGATAAAAAAATATTTATTTATTAATACCAGGGAGTGCCTGATGCTGCCTGGGAATTTGCTGAAACCATTTTTGTGTGTGTGTGATTTTTAAACGGGTACTTCAGTTTGTGAGGTAGGACCCGCCACGCCAACAACTGAGCGAAGTCACATTTTTGTCTGCCATCTTGATTCAAAATGGCGCCTGGGACCCAAACATTGGCAGAGGCCCCCTCCCCCAACTCGGGAATATTTGTGGTATACAATTTTTAAAAAAATAAATCAGTCTATAATCAATCAATTGATCAGTCTACAACCTTTGGCAATGCCAACTGTTGTCTGAATGACCCAGGCAGAAAAACAGAGGAACATCGGGTTATACCAATGGTCCATCTATATTTCAGTATTGTCTACACTGGGTTTCTCAGAGATACTACTGGGGACGGACGTTCTGCATGCAAAACACGTGTCCTACCACTGAGCACTGCCCTACCCTTTCCCCCTCATGCCACCGCAAAAGGGAGGAAGCTGCTGAAAGATGAACAGAGGCCAGAGGTTTTGGAAGAAAAATGAATTAATATTGGGCCGGAAGTTTAAAATTTAAACACTTCCTCCCTCTTATTCTCTTGTAACTCAGAGGCAGACATGTTTTGCAATTTGTTGCGGTCGGGGGATTTCAAGTCCTGTATCGAAACCGTACAGGTTTTGACAAACGGCCGCCCAAGTGTGAAAGATGGATTTGATGCAACAAGAATATGAAGGGATACGGACAAAAAGGTGTTTGTGCAGAAATGGTCATTTTGGTTTTGGAGCATCTTCTGGGATGCCCAGCCACAGTCTCACCTGCAACCAGGTCAAAGGAAAGACCTCGAGATCCAACAGAGAGAGAGAGAGTAAAGCAATAATCAGCTCAATGATAACTTGCAAATCCAGCATAAAATGAGGGCAAATGTTGATTTTTGGTATAGCACTGGCTGATTTATGAGACTGCAGGTAACAGGAAAATTGCAAGCACTCAGAGAACCTGGGATGCACCCAACTCCAACCTCTCTGCGTGGCGTCTTCCAGATGTTATGAACTACAAGTCCCTTCAGCCCCGAGCCAGGACAGCCGTGTCTTTTTATTTCTTTTATTTTGTAAAATCTATGCACCGCTTGATTGTAAAAAGAACCAACCGCCTCGAAGTGGCTTACAAAACTGCAAAACAATAAAATCATCAGGAGAAAATTGCAGCAATAGTTTAAAACATACAAAAAGTGAAAATACTAAAACAGGTTACAATTTTCACACCAACTTTCCAAGCATCTGCAGAGGCAAACCAGAATGTTTGCAGCCAAAACAGATACAGCGAAAGCGTCTTGCTTGATATCATGAGGCAGGGAGTTCCAGAGTGTAAGTGCTGCCATGCTAAACGACCAAGTTCCTACATATGATGTTGCGGCTGACGGGAGTTGCATTGCGAAATCTCAAAACAGGTTGGGGAAGGGCTTGTGTAGAGATGTGTGATCGTCACAAGCGTAGGCAAACTCCGGCCCTCCAGATGTTTGGGACTACAATTCCCATCATCCCTAGCTAACAGGACCAGTCGTCAGGGATGATGGGAATTGTAGTCTCAAAACATCTGGCGGGCCGGGTTTGCCTATGCCTGGCAAAAACAATGGAGGGTCATGTGGCACATTAATGGCCAATATGTTTATTGCGGCATAAGTTTTCATGAACTAGAGGCCACCTCCTCAGGGGCTGCTCTGTGGAAGCTGGTGCCAGCCTTTGTCATCAAGGTGTTCTCCAGATGTTTTGGACCACCCCATTCCACCAGTCTCAGCAACTGCAGCCAAGCAGTGCAAAACATCTGAGGGCACCAAGATGGGGATGGCTGGGTCACGAATCTGCAAGTGTGCAAGGCTCTCTGCTGAGACAGAACGACTCTCTCAAAATACTTAACCCCGCAGGGCCCCTTCCGCCTTCACAGAATTTAACACAAATCTATTATTCGCCTTGGGAGAGAAAACATGCTTTCTTGGACCATGCAAGAACATGGGTTGAAGAGAGTGGCCTGTCCCACTAGATTGCTCCTTTCTCAATAAAAATGTGTATTAGGCTTTTTCTAAAGGCGAGAAAGAATTCTGTTGTGCCAAGGGCTTGAGTGGGCGATTTCACCACTAAAACAAAAGGCCCCACTCTGTATCAAAAGCAATCTAAATTCTAATCGTCAGATATCATCACAGCACATGGCCTTTACTGCTGTCCTAGGCTTGTCCAAAAACTACCACTAAAGCCCACTCCTTTTGTTGATAGTCCCAGAATAGTACTTTGAAGCAAGCCCTGTCTTCTTATGTAATGCTGGATGGGCGACGAAGTACCATGTTAGTATGCCAATGTGCTTTGCTTTGCTATCACTCTGCACCCGGTTTTTATTCCTGCATTTCAGAAGGGGGTTGGACTAGATGAGGGGGTCCCTTGCAACTCTACAGTTCTGTGGAATCAGGTGTCTGGCATGTGCAATGCTGCACTGGTTAGGTTCTTCTTGCTCCACCCAGAACCACGTCTCAGTCAGTCCGGGGTGCCCTGAAATCCATGGAACTTGCCTGTTGAGAAAACTTGCTTGGCACTCAAATGTCAAGAGAGGACTGCTTGCATTGCTCATGGTCTCCATTCTTTGCCGCTCCCAGTGGGCAGCATGGCTGGGGTTTCAGAACCCTAGAAATCCGCTGTGCTTTTGCGTCCTTAACATTCGTCTGAAGACTGGCCAGTCAAGCTACGCTCAAACCAGCAGGGCAGTTTAAACTTGCAAAGCGGGTTCGATTAGATGAGCAACATTCTAGGATTCTATGAAAGCTGTCAAGAAGCAGTAGGCCACAACCATTTTCATTACCTCCTTTCTCCATGCATGCCTGGGTGCCAGTCATTTATGACCTAAAGGAACATACCCCCCCCCTCCCCGAGCTCCATAGACATAGAATCATACAGTTGGAACGGCCCACAAAAGTCGTCTAGTCCCTGCAATGCAGCTTCCCCTTACGGGAATTGAACCTGCAACCTTGACATTAGCAACACCACACTCTAACCAACTGAGCTACCCGCCAGTTCCTTTGCCTGGTGAGATTGCTACTTGCCACAGGTGAGCAGGTGTATGTTTATCTGCAAGTGTGGGTTACCAAACGCACCTCTGCAAGCTTGACGCCTATGCAAAGGATGCCGGAAATGTCAGCTCGGAGCAGGGCAAACCTGAGCACAAAGAAGGGGCAGGATAGTTCAAATCCCACATGCTTAAGGCTTCACTGCTTTGTGGATGCACAGCACATACTGTATAACAGGAAAGCAAGACTTTCGAGGGTAGCCCTTTGAGAACTGTAAGCAAGCTTCCTTGGACTACAGTTTTATCGTGTATTGTTATGCATCTTCCCCTGCAACATAAAATCAGTTTTGGTCATCTATTCTCAGTTCCCTGCAATGCAGGAATTGCATGCAGTCACAAGAGTGTCTTGGCATATCCTAAGGCAGCCTCCCCCAAAGCGTTGCTCTTTGTATAATCTGGCGATTCCAACCCGCCATGACTCCAGCCAGATTGGCCAAGGAGTTATGGGAGCTGTGGTCTGACAGCAGGTAAGGGCAGCCAGGTTAGGGGTGGCACTCCCAGTTCCAGGGCTGGACCAAAGACACTTGGGTGTTTGAGGTGAGACATTCAGGCAGCAGCACTCTGTACCCCATTCATTTAAAATGGGGTGCAAGTCACCAGGAAGTTTTCAACGGGAGTTGTGCAAGAGCTCTCGACGGGGTTGCAACGGAGAATCTACTAGTGGGTCGTGTCCCACAGGGCTGGATTCATCTTCCCTCTCCAACAACCTGAACGTCCACCTTCAAGGCTGATGCCTCTCCCTGTGCCCAGTGGTGAAATCCATCAGGCTTTGGCGAGGGCTGGCGATGATGTGTCTTAGAAGAAGCCTCTGCGACAGCAAGTCATCACCACTGGCAAAGCAAGAGGGAAAGGATTCCAACCCTACAATAGGAGACGTCAGGGACATATTTTGCCCTAAGTTACCCCTGGATTCAGAAGACACACAAACCAGAGTCAGGGCTCCTCCACACTTACTACCTACCCCACAATTTCTAGACACAGGTCCACGCTTTCCTGGTCTGTGTCTGAGATTTTTTAAATAAAAAAAAATCCCGCTGCTTTTTCCAGGAAAAGCTGATCTTTACTGCTGAACCGGAACAAACAGCAATTAGGATTTTCCACTTAATTGTTTTCAGTGGTAAAGAGCGAGTCTTCGTGGAGAAAGCGCTGGGGCAATAAAATAAAACAAAACTAAAAAGCACTCGGACACAGGACCTGGATAGCTCAGACCTCTGCCTAGAAATATGATGAAGGTTAAGTGTGGTCCTACAACCATAGCAATGTTTCTGCTTCTGCAGTCTCTTCCTTCAAGGGATCCAAATGATTAGAGCCTCACCTCCATTCAAGGATGCTGAAATGTTGTTTTCCAAACAGAAAAAAGTGACTTTAAAATATCAAATAGATCAGAAGTACAGAAGTTGGGGTTTTTTTGGGGGGAGGGATGTTTGCCTGGGCTCTCAAATTCATTACACTGTGAAGGAAGAAAACAAGAATGAAAACCCAGAAGAGGATGGAGATACACCCCCCCCCCATTTCTTAGGGGAGTCTCAAGTCCACACTCCCCAAGCTGAGCAGTCCCATCCCCTTTGGGCTGCACTGGATCCAAGTGCCTGGGATTTAATTCAATTTACCAGGGCCCTGCAGGATCTGGTTTCTTTCCGCAGGGCCTGTAAGAGAGAGTCGTTCCGCCTGGCCTTTGGCTTGGAATCAACTTGATCCCCTCCCCCTCTTTCCTTTTTCCTTTCTTCTTCTGTGATGGAACTCCTATTTGGGGACTTCCCTGGCTTTTTTCTGGCCCATGTAGGACCAGTCTGGATAGTTGGCCTTGGGGAAGACTTGACGTTTTCATTCCCAAAAAAGTTTTTGAGCTTCTGCTGAAATGAGGCTGCATTTTAATGTTGTATTTTAATCTTATTTTCAAGTTGTATTTCAATCATAGAATCATAGAATCATAGAGTTGGAAGAGACCACAAGGGCCATCGAGTCCAACCCCCTGCCAAGCAGGAAACACCATCAGAGCACTCCTGACATATGGTTGTCAAGACTCTGCTTAAAGACCTCCAAAGAAGGAGACTCCACCACACTCCTTGGCAGCAAATTCCACTGTCGAACAGCTCTTACTGTCAGGAAGTTCTTCCTAATGTTTAGGTGGAATCTTCTTTCTTGTAGTTTGGATCCATTGCTCCGTGTCCGCTTCTCTGGAGCAGCAGAAAACAACCTTTCTCCCTCCTCTATGTGACATCCTTTTCTATATTTGAACATGGCTATCATATCACCCCTTAACCTCCTCTTCTCCAGGCTAAACATGCCCAGCTCCCTTAGCCGTTCCTCATAAGGCATCGTTTCCAGGCCTTTGACCATTTTGGTTGCCCTCCTCTGGACACATTCCAGTTTGTCAATGTCCTTCTTGAACTGTGGTGCCCAGAACTGGACACAGTACTCCAGGTGAGGTCTGACCAGAGCAGAATACAGTGGCACTATTACTTCCCTTGATCTAGATGCTATACTCCTATTGATGCAGCCCAGAATTGCATTGGCTTTTTAGCTGCCGCGTCACACTGTTGGCTCATGTCAAGTTTGTGGTCAACCAAGACTCCTAGATCCTTTTCACATGTACTGCTCTCAAGCCAGGTGTCCCCCATCTTGTATTTGTGCCTCTCATTTTTTTGCCCAAGTGCAATACTTTACATTTCTCCCTGTTAAAATTCATCTTGTTTGTTTTGGCCCAGTTCTCTAATCTGTCAAGGTCGTTTTGAAGTGTGATCCTGTCCTCTGGGGTGTTAGCCACCCCTCCCAATTTGGTGTCATCTGCAAATTTGATCAGGATGCCCTTGAGTCCATCATCCAAGTCATTGATAAAGATGTTGAATAAGACCGGGCCCAAGACAGAACCCTGTGGCACCCCACTAGTCACTCTTCTCCAGGATGAAGAGGAACCATTGATGAGCACCCTTTGGGTTCGGTCAGTCAGCCAGTTACAAATCCACTGAGTGGTAGCATAGTCAAGACCACATTTTACCAGCTTCTTTACAAGAATATCATGAGGCACCTTGTCAAATGCCTTGCTGAAATCAAGGTAGGCTACATCCACTGCGTTCCCTTCATCTACCAGGCTTGTAATTCTGTCAAAAACGAGATCAGGTTAGTCTGACATGACTTATTTTTCAGAAATCCATGCTGACTATTGGTGATCACAGCATTCCTTTCTAGGTGCTCACAGACTGTTTGCTTAATGATCTGCTCCAGAATCTTCCCTGGTATTGATGTCAGACTGACTGGGCGGTAATTATTTGGGTCCTCTCTTTTCCCCTTTTTGAAAATAGGGACAACATTTGCCCTCCTCCAGTCTGCCGGGACTTCGCCTGTTCTCCAGGAATTCTCAAAGATGACTGCCAGTGGTTCTGAGATCACATCTGCCAGTTCTTTTAATACTCTTGGATGCAGTTCATCTGGCCCTGGAGACTTGAATACATCTAAACTAGCCAAGTATTCTTGTACTATCTCCTTAGTTATTCTGGGCTGTGTTTCCTCTGCTGAATCATTTGCTCCAAATTCTTCAGGTCGGGCATTGTTTTCTTTATCGGAGAAGATTGAGGCAAAGAAGGCATTGAGGAGTTCAGCTCTTTCTGTGTCCCCTGTTTGCATTTCACCATCTTCTCCTCTGAGTGACCCCACTGTTTCTTTGTTCTTCCTTTTGCTACGGACATACCCATAAAAGCCTTTTTTGTTGCTTTTAACCTCTCTAGCAAGCCTGAGTTCATTCTGTGCTTTAGCTTTTCTGACTTTGTGTCTACACGTGCTGGCTATTTGTTTGAATTCCTCTTTGGTGGTTTCCCCCCTTTTCCATTTTTTGTACACATCCTTTTTAATCTTAACTCAGTTAAAAGTTCTTTAGATAGCCACCCTGGCTTCTTTAGGCACCTTCCATGTTTCCGTCTCATTGGTATTGCCTGACGTTGTGCTTTTAGTATCTCCTCTTAACAAACTCCCAGCCATCATGAACTCCCTTTCCTTTTAGTATTACTGTCCATGGGATCTCACCCAGCACTTCCCTAAGTTTTATGAAGTCAGCTTTCTTAAAGTCAAGAAATTGAGTCCTAGTATGCTTGGCTGCTCCTTTCCGCTGTATAGTAAACTTCAGAAGAGCATGATCACTCGCGCCTAATGATCCTTCCACTTCTACCCCACTAACCAGGTCATCAACATTGGTTAGGACCAGATCTAAAATGGCTGTTCCTCTTGTTGCTTCTCCCACTTTCTGGACAATGAAGTTGTCTGCAAGGCCAGTGAGAAATCTGTTTGACCTTATGCTCTTGGCTGAGTTTGACATCCAACAAATATCCGGGTAATTGAAGTCCCCCATTACTACTATCTCCCTTCCTTTTGCATGCTTGGCCATCTGTTCCAGGAAGGCATCATCTATGTCCTCCGTTTGGCTTGGGGATCTATAGTAAACTCCCACAATGAGGTCACTGTTATTCTTCTCTCCCTTAATTTTGACCCAAATGCTCTCACTTTGGCTTTGAGGTTCTAAATCTTGGATCTCTTCACAGGTATACACATCCCTGACATATAACGCCACTCCTCCTCCTTTCTTGTCTGGTCTGTTTCTCTGAAATAGATTGTATCCCCCCATTATTACATTCCAATCGTGGGACTTATCCCACCAGGTTTCAGTGATGCCTATTATGTCATATTTAGTTTGCTGTACCAAGAGCTCCAGCTCATCTTGTTTATTTCCCATGCTTTGCGCATTAGTGTACAGACACTGAAGTCCATTAATCATCCCCCCGTGACTCTTATTTAAGGATTTTTTCCTCCCACCACTAGGTCTGTGTGCTGTTTGCTCCATTTGGTCTATGACATTTGGATGATCATCTTCATCGATTGATAGACTCCTACCTTCAGGAGCACTGTCTCCCTCCCCCACATTAGTCAGTTTAAAGCCCTCCTGATGAGGTTTCTGAGATTTTTGGCAAAAACATTTCTCCCAACCGTTGTGAGGTGCAGCCCATCGCTTGCCAGAAGTCCATCTTCAAGAAACTGCAGTCCGTGATCTAAGAATCCAAACCGTTCCTGTTTACACCATTTGCGAAGCCAGCTGTTCACTTCCGTATTTTCCCCTCTCTCCCTGGGCCATGTCGTTCAACTGGGAGGACAGATGAGATGACAATTTGTGCATTTAATTGCTTCAATTTCCTGCCCAGAGCCTCGTAGTCTCTTTTGATCTTCTGGAGGCTATTGCTTGCAGTGTCATTGGTTCCCACATGAACCAAGAGGAAGGGGTATTTGTCAGTGGGTTTTATGATTCCTTGCAGTGGGTATTTGTCAGTGGGTTTTATGATTGTCAGTGGGTTTTATGATTCCTTGCAGTGGGTTTTATGATTCCTTGCAGTCGTTCAGTTACATCTTGGATCTTAGCCCCGGGGAGACAGCACACTTCCCGAGATTTTATACCAGTGTTAGCTGCCCTGAGGGCTATTATTATTATTATTATTATTATTATTATTATTATTATTAAATTTTATTTATACCCTGCCCTCCCCAGCCAAGACCGGGCTCAGGGCAGCTAACACTGGTATAAAATCGCCAGTGTTAGCTGCCCTGAGCCCGGTCTTGGCTGGGGAGGGGAGGGTATAAATAAAATTTAATAATAATAATAATAATAATAATAATAATAATAATAATAATAATAATAATTTACACCGTGCCACACAGCCCCCTGCCCAAGGAAGCGCAGGGCGTCCGCCGTAGACAGCTCAGTCCCTCACAGCCGGCGCCATTTTGCTGTGATCAAAGTGGGCAGCTGGAGTGGGATTTTTAACAAAAAGCCTCTGTGTCTGCACGCAAAGGTAGGCAGGCAGACGTGCAGCTGGTTGGCCCTGGAGAACAGCAAAGGTCTGTCCCTTTCCTTATTCAAGCTCAGCTTTGCTTCCAAACAATGCAAACCCCGGCAGGTGTCTTGTGATCATCCTCCTCCTTGCATGTTCACGGTTTCCTACAAGTTTGGGTAACTGCATCTGAATGCATCCAGCACAACGCTCTCATTCCTTCAGGAACCCACTAGAGACACTTCCTTCCTTCATTTTAGACGAGGGCAGAATTACTGCTTGCATAGGAGAAGGGACCGGACAAAAGGACCTCCAAAACTAATAGATCATATGGAGCAAGATCTTTTTCTCCCAACTAAATTGATTTCTGGTGTGCATGCAGATTTTTGGCACCCAGAGGCTTAGAACTTCCAGGGGGAAGCAAGTGATCAATTCTTTTTTTCTTAAGCTGGCAAGCAAACTTTTTCACGCAGAGAACAGGTTTTCCTCTGCCTGTCTCGCAACGTTATTTCTGTTCTCTCTCTTGCCTGCAAGAGTCAACCCCGGGGCTCCTAACTTGATTTCTCCTTCAAAATAACTTCAAACTATCTGTTGTTATACAGAGCTGAGACTGCCCTTCTCCCACGACAGCTGAGAGATTTACTGGGACTGTTTTTGTGAATAAAAATTTATCGGCACCCTTTGCACATCACAGTAAACCACAGGTAAGGAATGTGCCTGATTTGGGTGTTTGTCCCTTTTCGACTAGCATTAGGAGGAAATAAATCGCAGGCCCTGGTTTAGACATTATTATTATTATTATTATTATTAGACTTTTACTAGCATGTCCCAGGGCAGGTTGCAACAAATACCAATTCCGTATTGCTAACAGGTAAAACAAATTGCGGTCCCAGGAATAGGATGGGTCCTGAAAACACAGACCTCAGGTGTCAAAGTTCAGGAGAAAGAGGTGTGGATATGTCAGTTGCAAAAAGCTGTGCAGAGGGAGATGCAAAGCTTAGGGGCCGCTAGAGAGAAGGCCCTCTTGTCACTGCTACCCCCAAATTTCTGTGGGGGGCGGGACAATCAAGAGAGTGCCTAGGATCCACGTACCTATGGGACCGCCTCTCCTGGTATGCCCCGCGGAGGACCTTAAAGTCCACAAATGACAACATTTTGGAAGTCCCAAGTTGCAAAGTGGTTAGATTGGTCTCAACTAGGGCCAGGGCCTTTTCAGTAGTGGCCCTGACGTGGTGGAACGCTCTGTCACAAGAGACCAGGGCCCTGCGGGACTTGACATCTTTCCTCAGGGCCTGCAAGACAGAGCTGTTCCGCCTGGCCTTTGGTTTGGACTCAGTCTGACCCTTATGTTTCCCTTCCTTTATGGTTGTGATCTATTGGCTACTTTTAAAATGAGGCTGCATTTTAAATTATATTTTAATCTGTATTTTAAATTGTTTTCCCCCTCCCCTATTATGTTTTTACTGTAATTTTACTGGTGTTAATTGCCCTGAGCCCGGCTCTGGCCGGGGTATAAATAAAATTTATTATTGTTGTTGTTGTTATTATTATCATCTGCCAATCTGAGAGGAAAGGACGGGGTCTCTCCCCGATACCCTACGTCAGGGGTGGCCAACTCCCAAGAGACTGCAATCTACTCAGGGCAAAATTGTTGAGCTATTTTTGAGGAGGAAAGCCCCGATTTTGGGGAGCTCCAGGCTAAAATGCTGCCCATTTTTAAGGGAAAAGTGGAACAGCCGCTCACCAACAGATTGCTGGGGAAACAAACAACCTCACTGAGTAGACTCTTCGTCTTCCTTTCTGCAAATCGTGCAACAATGGAGGGCAGGGCGGGAATCGATTTTTAGCAACGCTAAGGAAAGGGACCCAGCGATCGACAGCGATCTACCAAAACCTCCTGGGGATCTACCAGTAGATCGCGATCGACCTGTTGGATGCCCCTGTCCCATTAACTATGGTTTACCGCGACGTGTGAACAACACCCCCCCCTGAACATCAGGTAAATGTTCAAAGAGGTGTTGCAATGCTTAAATTCAGAGGAATTCAGAAGCATGGCTGGATTTACACACACACCTAAATCTTAGGCCTGCCTTTCTTAATAAGGGCCTGCAAACAGGGAAATAAATAAATGGCTTGGAGGGAATGCATGGGGTCACGCGCTCACCCTTACGCCCCCCCCCGCCAAGCTCAGCACTGAGCAAGATTTGCTTAAATTTGGGCTCTGAAAACCCACTTGAAGTCCCGCGGATACGAAGAAACCCTAACGAGTGCCAAGCGGTCGATGTCTTAACCTTCATCCACAGGGACCGGAATCATATTTATTCATTTATTTATTGCATTTATCATTTCACCGTTTCAGCTCAAAAGTGGCGCATGTGGTTGTCCCCACCCCCTCGTCATTTAATCCCCACAACAACCCTGTGAGGTAGGGGAGGCGGTGAATGGCCCTCAAGATCGCACCCAGCGAGTTTCGCCGTGTGAGGATTTGGACCCTGGTCTCTGCCGGGCACTAGTCCCAACGCTCTAACCACTACACCGCTGCTGTCTCTCATGAGATCCAATGACGAGTCATGAACATCTTTATCCTGCCCTTCCTAGAATCATAGAATCCTAGAGTTGGAAGAGACCACAAGGGCCATCGAGTCCAACCGCCTGCCAAGCAGGAAACACCATCAGAGCACTCCTGACATATGGTTGTCAAGCCTCTGCTTAAAGACCTCCAAAGAAGGAGACTCCACCACACTCCTTGGCAGCAAATTCCACTGTCGAACAGCTCTTGCTGTCAGGAAGTTCTTCCTAATGTTTAGGTGGAATCTTCTTTCTTGTAGTTTGGATCCATTGCTCCGTGTCCGCTTCTCTGGAGCGCATCCTGCTTGAGGATGCGCTCGTAGTTCTCTCCAATCTCCCCCCTTTCCTTGCCACCCAACCTACCTCACAGGGTTGTTAGACGTGCATGACCTGCCCACCCAGAGAGCATTATGGCTGAGAAGGAATTTGAACCCAGCTCTCTCCGGACCAGTCTTCTGCAGCAGAAGTTGCCGTCCAAAACAAAAGGCCACCTGAGATGGAGTCTGCTCCTCTTAATGCATAATCTGGGCTCTCAAGGGGCATAGCTGTCAACGTTTCCCTTTTTTAAAGGGAAATTCCCTTATTCTGAATAGGATTCCTGACAAGAAAAGGGAAAAGTTGACAGCTATGTCAAGGTGTGGTGAGCAATGGGGCAGCGCCCTCTCTAAAGGTCAACAGTTATTCGATTCCGGTCTTTCTCCCTCTCTCAGGCTCGATGGACAGGAACGGCACCAAAAGGTCCCAGCTGGTTACTCCCTCTTAACAAATCCAGACACAGCAAAGCCCTGCCTAGGTTGTTATGTAAGAGGAGGTTGTTGGATCAGGCCAGTGGCCCATCCAGTTCCAGCATTGCCTGTGGGAAAACCGCAAGCAGGATATGAGCGCAAGAGCAACTCTCCCCTGAGGCTGTAGCCATGGACGGCTCTTCTCTTCCCTGAATTTGCACCATGTTAAATCAAGCCTGAACTAGACACAGATCAGGCATAGGCAAACTCCAGCCTTCCAGACGTTTGTGGGATATTGCACGCCAAGAACTAACAGTAGCAGCAGAGAAAACATGTTCCCCTCTTTATTTTCAACTTTATTGGGCACATGAAACTAACCATAATTACCTTGAATTTCTGCTTAACCCTCAAGAAAGAAGGGCATTCTCGCTGGCCAGGTTTAATTCAAATCCATCCAACCTCCTTTGGCGAAGGTTCTCAGGCAGGGTGGAAGGAGAAAGAACTTGCCCATGTGAAGACCACCTGGTGGAAACCCTTAAAGGTAAAGGTAAAGGGACCCCTGACCATTAAGTCCAGACGTGGCCGACTCTGGGGTTGCGGTGCTCATCTCGCTTTATTGGCCGAGGGAGCCGGCGTACATCTTCCGGGTCATGTGGCCAGCATGACTAAGCCGCTTCTGGTGAACCAGAGCAGCGCACGGAAACTCCGTTTACCTTCCCGCCGGAGCGGTTCCTATTTATCTACTTGCACTTGTACGTGCTTTCGAACTGCTAGGTGGGCAGGAGCAGGGACCGAGGAACGGGAGCTCACCCCGTCGTGGGGATTCGAACCGCTGACCACCTGATCGGCAAGTCCTAGGCTCTGTGGTTTAACCCACAGCACCACCCGCGTCCCAATATGGAAACCCTTACACATATGGTTTCCAATTGTAAACTATATGCTGATCTCCGCCAGCAATTTCTGGATCAACTCTGTATCCCCAAATGGAGGTCAAACATTTTCAGAGGTCAGAATCAGAGGTCATACATTTTCTATTACTGGGGAACAATCAGGAGCTCACCAAGTTAGTGGCTAAATATCTCTAATTGGTTTTTTGTTGTCAAAATACACTGCAGACGTCTGATCTCCCTGGAGACCAAGAGATATGACGATAAGACTGCTCTGCCTCCTTTCTTTTAGCAAATGTTTTGTGCCACTGGGGAAGCGGTAATTCTGCATTGATTTGTTTTGGATGTTGTATGTGATGCCAATAAAGGTTTTACGATACGATACAATTCCCATCATCCCTAGCTCACAGGATCAGTGGTCAGGGATGATGGGCATTGGTAGTCCCAAACATCTGGAGGGCCGGAGTTTGCCTATGCCCGCTGTAGATGCCAGAAAATGCAGCCTCACTTATACCAACCCAGCAAATGTTGAGCATAGAATTATAATAGATTCTGGAGGATTCTCTAGTCCAATGCAGAGTTGTCTGTTATGGGGATCGGACCTGCAATCTTGGCGTTGTTATCAGCACCATGCTCTAACCCAGGGGTCCCCAAACCTAGGCCTGCGGGCTGGATAAGGCCCGAGGGACTCGTTTATCCGGCCCGCGGTGACCCCCACTGCCCGCTCTTACTGGCGCTGCGTGGCTGCCCACTTCTGGGTTGGAGAAGCACCGGGAAATAGCTTGTGTGCATGCGGAGGTGTTATTTCCGGTGCACATCCGGGTCAGAGGAGGCCCGTGCACATGCGCACAAGCTACGTCCGGTGCTCCTCCGACCCGGAAATGCACCGGAAATAGCGTACGCGTATGGGCACATGCTCTCCCACCCTCCACACAATCGGCGCTGGAGACACTGGCCCGAGGCGCAGTAGGTTTGATGACCCCTGCTCTAACCAACTGAACCACCGACTTAAACCGGTATCCCGACACCTCTGTGCTGACAGTTTCTCAGTCCCTTGGCTGTGGGGCACGTTCTTTTTTGTGGGGGGGGGGAGATGGGGAAGAGCACTGTGCGCAGCAATACAATGTTAGAGCATGGGTCAGCTGGTGGGAAGCATGAACAGGCCCACGAGGCTGTTTCTGGGGATACCGGCCAATATAGCCTGCAACGTCTAACTTTTCGCAGAGCCCTTCCCAGCTGGGCTTCCTCTGGATTTTGGGTTTCAAAGCTCGGGGGGCAGGGAGGCACATTCCTGTGTGTATGTGTGCGTGTGCGCATACATATATAAAAAGAGGCAGAAGTAATCTTTGGTGATCACAACCTGCCCCAGCCTCCTCCAAAACCACACGTGCCTCTGTCCTGCGTTTAATATGCTCACATACAAAGCCCAATATTTGAGGGAAAGGGAAGGAAATTAACGTGGGGAGAGGGGGGAAAACCCCAGCAGTCGTACAATCAAATTGTCTGTATTTGTTTCTTTAATCTAAAAAGGAGGTCGGGGGGTTTTGGGTGGGGGGAGAGAGAGAAAAGATCTCCAGAGTAAAAGGCAAAGCAGACTTCTGTGTAGCTGGAGGTTTCGGCCGTTCATTTGGCACCTCGAGACCATCCTGTCCTGTTAAAATCTTAACTTTTGGAAAGGAACTTAAAAAAAACAACAACAACCCAAAAAAGGTGTTACAGATGTAGTTTTTTCTCCTTCTTTCTGTAGAAGAAGAAAGACAATCCCACAAAGGTCGTGCGCCGCGCCTCTTTCAGAGCATCCCGGTTTCCTTATTCGCTGGCCGCCTGTCCTTGTGGAGCCGTGGAAGTGATGACGCTGCCCGTCTGCAAGGGGGCCGCTGCTGCCCCCCTCAGCTCCTCCACCCGAGGCCTCTTGACCTCCGGCTCGCCAGGAGGGTCCTCTTTCGTCGCAGCCTCCGCCGCCTGGCTGACCACGGCCGGAGTGGAGGAACTGGCCTGGGCAGCCAGCAGCTGCAGTGGATTTGTGAGGGCTGGAGGAGGAAAGAGAGGAATGTATTAGATAAAAGGCAAAGAAATATATAATAATAAGAGTACCGTATTTTTCTCTCCATAAGACGCACCTGACCATAAGACGCACCAAGTTTTTAGAGGGAAAGCAAGAAAAAAAATATTCTGTGCAGAGCATGTAAGCGGCTCTCACTTTTCTTGCTTTAAACCCTTCCGTCCCTCTTCCCGCTTCGCTGAGAAGCCAGCAGAGCAAGAGCGATAGCTGCGCAGCGCCTCTTCTGCTGGCTTCCCAGCAAAGCAGGATGAGGGACGAAAGGGAGCCCTTACAAGGCAGCGCTGAACAGAGCCTGGCAGCTTTTCCGGGAGGTGTGGGAAGGGACAGAGAGCAGCCCGTCAGTCCCTTTTCCCTCCTCGGGGAAAAGCCCCCAAGAGCTGCACACACGCTCCACACGGCTCTTTAAAGGGAGCGCTGAGCAGAGCCTCCCGCCCGCATTCGCCCCATAAGATGCACACACATTTCCCCTTACTTTTTAGGAGGGAAAAAGTGTGTCTTATGGAGCGAAAAATACAGTACATTCATTTGTAAAAAAAGGAATATACAACGGGATAGACAGGAAGTCTAGTGTGTTGGTATGCATATGATTTTGGGGGGAAATTGTTTTTGTTTTTTCTCTTTGTTCTTTCCTTTTTTTTGTTTCATTTTCTTTCTAGGTATATAAAATTTGTATATAATTTTTGTATACATGTTGGAAATTATATTATAGTAAGTCCTGTAATGTAATATGACAACGTTTACCGATGTAATATAAGAACGTTAACAAATAAATAAAATGCAAATTGAAAAGAAAAAAAAAGGAGGAGGAGGAGGAAAGAGAGGGGGAGGGAGAGAGAGAGAGAGAAAAAAAGTTAAAGAGCGTTAGCCTCGCCGATGCCGGTTTTGTAAACGCACAAGACGCATTTAGAACCACCTCTTCAGGGAACTGCAAAATAACTAAAAATTATTGTGAAATGATTTATAATGAAATGAAAATAATGTTTAAACAGTGGTGTCCAAACTTTTTTCAAAGAGGGCCAGATTTGATGAAGTGAAGGGACGTGAGAGCCGTCCAAAGGGTTGAAGTTGTTGACCTTTTTAGAAAATATTCCTCTATGCCACATGAGCGGCAAGGATCCTAATTGCTAAAAAGTGGAAAAAAGAAATTGTGCCAACAAAAAAGGAATGGCAAGACAAACTGTTAGAGTATATTGAACTTGCTAGATTAACAGAGGCAATTAGAGATCACACTAGTTAAGAATTTCAAAAAGCATGGAGGAAATGCAGAGAATACTTCACAAAACAGTGCCCTAAAATACATACCTGGACTTGTTTCGATTAATATCTGCAGGAGACTTTGTGGATATTTAAGTTAGAAAAATCTTATTATTCAGAAAGGAAACAGCTTATAAGAAGTAAATAAGGAGACCAGATACAGGATAAAGGAAGTCTTTTACAGTATTTGGTTGCTTGTATTGTTGTATGTTATGCTCATTGTATGTTATGTTCACGTTTAATGAGGGTGGATTTCTGTATTGGGGGTGGGGGGTTTATGTTATGTTGTGTAATAAAAAAAGTTGTTGACCTTTCTATACGATTGAAGTCGGTGAGGTTTTTTTAGGATTTTACCCTGGGAAATAAACTGCCGCAGGGGGTGGATTCAACCGGCCGGCGGGCTGGATTAGGCCCCCAAAACGAACATTGAACATGCCTGGTTTAAGATAACTTTTGTTATAAGTCCAGAAGCCCCCCTTTTTTTACTAGGCGTTACAGGTCAAAGACTTGCCAAAAGAAGAAGAAACTTTTTATGTACGCCACAACTGCAGCTAGGATACTGCTAGCCCCCAAATGGAGAAGTGACAAGATACCAACTACAGAAGAATGGCAAGAAAAACTGATGGAATATGCTGAAATGGGGAAGCAAACCGGAAGACTCAGAGATAAGGACAATAGAGACTTTAAAAAAGACTGGTAACCATTTATGTTGTAGCTGCGGAAATACTGTAAAGAAATGGACTCACTAGCAGGGCTTGACTAAACACTTACAATTAACAAAACAAAATAGAAATCATAAACAGAGTGTTAGAATGATAAGAACGTAATAAGGCAGCCCTGTTAAATAGGTTATTGTATTTTAATATTCTGTTGGAAGTCGCCCAGAGTGGCTGGGGAAACCCAGTCAGATGGGCGGGGTATGTATGAATAAATGAATGAATGGATAGATAGATAGATAGATAGATAAATAAACAAGTATTTAATTTAGAGAATGCAGTATCAAGGTATAACAAAACAAGCAGGAAAAATCAGTATGTTAAACAACCAGATGAAGTTGAGGGAAGTCGCCGGGGGGGGGGGGGGTGTCAGTATTTTTCTTTGTATTAGACATATTATTGTGATGAAGATGAAAATGTAAAACTCAATAAAAAATATTTTTTTAAAAAAAAGAACTATCTCTACATATTGCAGTTGTTTCTTCTATCGCTTTCTCATCTTGGACGCCGCTTTTCCACAGTGAGCCAGCTGTCCCCCAAAGGGGCTGGCAACCGATACTTGAACCATCAAAAAACAGAGAGCGTTGGAAATACAATTGCAAGCCAAACACACAGAGCGCTCCAGTAAATTCAACAAAAAACCAACAATTTGGCACACGCAGAATTTAGTATTATAAACAAACAAACACGTTCCCCCCAAAACAATTCAAGCTTAAGTACACGAACACAAAGCAAAAGAAGTGTTAACCCAGGGCTTTTTTTTCCAGCTGGAACTCAGTGGGCGCCATTTCCACTATAAGAGAAAAAGAGAGGCGTTCATGTTGAGTTCTGGCACCTCTTTTTCTAGAAAAAGAGCACTGTGTTAACCGACGCTAATCCATAGTTATCCATATGGATCGTTCATCCAACCCTTGCATTAAGTCAATATTTAATTATTATTTAACAACAACAACAACAACAATAATAATAATAATTTGTTATTTGTACCCCGCCCAACAACAACAATAATAATAATAATAATAATAATAATTTGTTATTTGTACCCCGCCCATCTGGCTGGGTTTCCCCAGCCACTCTGGGCGGCTTCCAACAAAGATTTAAAATACATTAAAATGTCACAAATTGAAAACTTCCCTGAACAGGACTGCCTTCAGATGTCTTCTAAATGTCAGGTAGTTGTACTCTCTGACATCTGATGGGAGGTTGTTTCACAGGGCGGGCGCCACTACCAAGAAGGCCCTTTGCCAGGTTCCCTGTAACTTGGCTTCTCACAGGGAGGGAACCGCCAGAAGGCCCTCGGCGCTGGACCTCAGTGTCCGGGCAGAACGATGCAGGTGGAGACGCTCCTTCAGGTACACTGGACCGAGGCCGTTTAGGGCTTTCAAGGTCAGCACCAACACTTTGAATTGTGCTCAGAAACCTACTGGGAGCCAGTGTAGGTCTTTAAGGACTGGTGATGTGTGGTTTCGGTGGCTGCTCCCAGTCACCAGTCTAGCTGCCGCATTCTGGATTAGTTGTAGTTTCTGGGTCACCTTCAAAGGTAGCCCCACATAGAGCGCATTGCAGTAGTCCAAGTGGGGATAACTAGAGCATGCACCACTCTGGCAAGACAGTCCGCGGGCAGGTAGGGTCTCATCCTGCGCACCAGATGGAGCTGGTAGACATCTGCCCTGGACACAGGATTGACCTGCACCTCCATGGACAGCTGTGAGTCCAAAATGACTCCCAGGCGTGGTGCTTCAGGGACTGGTGCTTCAGGGACACAGTTACCCCACTGAGGACCAGGGAGTCCTCCACACCAGCCTACCTCGTCCCCCAAGAACATAATTTATTGTTATTATTAGTATTATTACCCGCTCTTCGCCCTAAGGTTCTTCCCTTGGGCAGCAAAAATGTGGAGCTACCACCAAAAAGGCTCTACCAAACCAATTTCTTGAAAAAAAGGTGCCCTATGAGAACAGGGACTCATCCTGATGAGCAGAATTAAAGCCCTGAGAGAACGCAATCCCACGGCACAGGTAAGCGAACACCAATGTAATTAACAATACTTATCTGCCGGCAAGTGGTGTTAAAATAAGCGGGGCCCACTTCTGGGCGAAGGCTGTTAGGATTTCATCGTCAAGAGGGGAATTAAGTTCTCAGTGGAGCAAAAGGGAAGAGAAACAGTCTCTTTAATCTTCACCTCCCCTCTTGCGGCGGAATGGGTGCTTCTCGATGGAGATTTGCTAATCACCACCTTCGGCTCGCTGAAGTAATTCCAGGCAATTCCAGGTGATTGTTTAAGGGCTTTGAGCACAATGAGCAATTACCTGGTGCCCGACGCTTCCATCAGGCCTCGTTGGACAGCAGAGGGGCTGTTGGCAGGTTTTGCTTTTTTAAATCTTGCTACCAACACACGTTGTGCGGCGGAGGCGAAAATATGAATTAGCCAGCTTTCCTCTTGCTTGGAAAACTGCAACACCACAAGGACAGAAACACACGCCGGAACCACAAGCCCACCAGGCTGAGACCCTACCTGCCCGCAGACTGTCTCGCCAGAGTGGTGCATGCTCTGGTTATCTCCCGCTTGGACTACTGCCATGCGCTTTACGTGGGGCTACCTTTGAAGGTGACCCAGAAACGACAACTGATCCAGAATGCGGCAGCTAGACTGGTGATTGGGAGCGGCCGCCGAGACCACATAACACCGGTCCTGAAAGACCTACATTGGCTCCCAGTACGTTTCCGAGCACAATTCAAAATGTTGGTGCTGACCTTGAAAGCCCTAAACGGCCTCGGTCCAGTATATCTGAAGGAGCGTCTCCATCCCCATCGTTCTGCCCGGACACTGAGGTCCAGCTCCGAGGGCCTTCTGGCAGTTCCCTCCCTGCAAGAAGCCAAGTTACAGGGAACCAGGCAGAGGGCCTTCTCGGTAGTGGCGCCCGCCCTGTGGAACGCCCTCCCATCAGATGTCAAGGAAATAAACAACTACAGTGGAACGAAGTGCCGTTCTGCGTGTGTTCATTCAGCGGCAGCGCCATTCTGCGCATGTGCAGACGGCGGCAGCCGCTTCTGTGCGTATGCAAATCGCGGCAAACCCAGTATTTACCTCTGGGTTTGCCGCAGTCACAAGTCGAATTGTTTGCGAGTAGGGGTGGTGGTAAGTCAAGGTTCTACTGTATCTGACTTTTAGAAGACATCTGAAGGCAGCCCTGTTTAGGGAAGCTTTTAACATTTGATGAATTATTGTATTTCAATATTTTGCTGGAAGCCGCCCAGAGTGGCTGGGGAAACCCGGCGAGATGGATGTGGTATAAATAATAGATTATTATTATTATTAATTTTAACCCTTGCGCTAAGCCGAAGTGGCACTTGGGGGGGGGGACCCTAAAACCAATCACCGTGACACAAATTGTTAAGGGTCATTACGGAGATTTCCAAAGGGTCCTCTCCAAACTGAGCAAATGGGAGGTAAAATGGGATATGCAATTCCATGTAAGTGTGCGCAAATCGATGGGGGCACGTCAAGGAAAAGGATCTTAATGTTGCATATATTCCCGTGGGGTCTGGACTGCAGGCGGGCAACCAGGAATGAGGCCAAGGGGGCATAATGGAGAGCTAAGGACGATGTTGGCGCAGTGTTGGTTACTGGAAGAAAACTGCTAGGATCATTATGCGGTTCCAAAAATCTATGGGTCGACCGCATTTGCAGTACTGTGTCCAGTTTTGGTCGCCTTGCCTCAAAAAGGAGATTGATGGGCTGGGAAAGGCTGCGGTTTCTTAAAAAAGGCAAGTAAGAGGAGAGACATGATGGAAGTTTTTAAAATTATTCGGGGCGTGCAGAAAGTGGACAGAGAAATGCTTTCCTCCCTCTCTCCTAAAACTAGAACTCGTGGAAATCCAATGGAGCTGAAGGTTGGGAGATTCAGGGCATAGAAAAGAAAGCACTTCTTCAGGCAACACATAGTTAAATCTCTGGAACTCACTTCCGCAGGGACAGCCACCAACCTGGATGGCTTTAAAACAGAACTGGGCTAATTCATTGAAGAGGGGAGGGCTATCGATGGCTGCTAGCCACAAAGGCTATGCTCTGCCTCAACTGCCGGAGGCGATATGCTGTGGCGTTTCCAGAGCCGGGGTGCCGCAGCAGAAAAGGCCCTGTCCCAAGAGGCTTGTGTAGGTCCTCCGGTGGAGCTTCTCCTGCCAATCTCAGGAGCAGGCAGGATGAGACAGGAAGAGGCACTCCTCCCAGTACAGCGGTGCCTCACAAGACGAAATTAATCCGTTCCACGAGTCTCTTCGTCTAGCGGTTTTTCGTCTTGCGAAGCAACCCTATTAGCGGCTTAGCGGATTAGCGCTATTAGCGGCTATTAAAGGCTTAGCTGCTTAGCGGCTAAAAGGCTATTAGCGGCTTAGCGGCTTAGAAAAAGGGGGGGGGAAAGCGAAAAAAATCTCAAGACTCGCAAGACATTTTCGTCTTGCGAAGCAAGCCCATAGGGAAATTCGTCCTGCGAAGCGCATCGAAAAACGGAAAACCCTTTCGTCTAGCGGGTTTTCCGTCTTGCGAGGCATTCGTCTTGCGGGGCACCACTGTATCACTTCTGTGGCTGAAGGGGGCAGCCCAGACCTTGGGGCCTGAAGACAGATGCCACGGACAACGGGGTTCGTCCTGGGAACCCCAGGGGTACCAGGGCAATGGAGAGAAGAGGGAGGGATGGCCTACCGTAAGCGCTGCCAGACAGGCTGTTGGTGGGCACGGCATGCTTCCCGTTCTGCGTCACTGCCCGGACGGGGAGCTGGTGTTGCCCAATGGTCATGGGCGCTGCTTGCTGGAGGATGGTGACTGTTTGCCCTGGGACCCCCTGGCCCATCTGACTGGCCACGGTTTGAATAACTCGACTGGCAGTGGGGATTGCAGCAAACGCAATGGTTGGCTTCTCATCCATCCCTGCAAAAGAAAGAAAGATTCAATTGTCGACCTGGCTGTTCATTCTGGGCAGAGTCAGAGAATTGAGCTGAATTGTCCCTGTTTATTGCCCATGCAGCCTCGGGGACCTGTTTCCTCCGCCCTGTTTCGCTTCTTACTCCCTTCCTCTGGATGAGCGGTACGGAAATATTATTTTCAGTAACGCCTGCAATTTCCACCAGTGCCTCTGCAGGGAACGGAGAGACAGAGGGCATGCCTCGCACCCCCATCTCTCAAAGTGAGCTGCAGTAAAAGTTCTCCTTTCCGAGTTCAAGTGAAATGAACGCTGATTGATTCCAGAGGACATCTTATTTATTTACTTGCTTTCTTAGCCTCCGCGGAGACAGAAAGGCCTGACTTTGGGCTATCTGTCAGAGCAGCAGCAAAATCACATAGATGCTCAGGACAACAGAGAGTTATTTGGACAACTAAATTTATGTGATGTAATATTGCTTTGAGATGACTGGATTTACAGCTCTGCAGTTTTGCCTTTGGTTAATTATTCATCCGATTTATTCTGTATTAAATACCAGGGTCTCCCTGCTGAAATACGAGAGGCAGATGTCAGAAGACACACCAGTCCAGGCCAGGGTTTCCTTGAAATGAACTTCTGATCCGATTGTTTTAACTTATGCTTCTTTCTTTTAATTAAGGAGGTCTCAATGCTATTGTGCATATTAATAACGGACTGATTTTACAGTTGTAAAAAAAGTAAAAAGGTAAAAGTAAAAATAAAAAAGTAAAAAAACTGCTGGACGGTTAAGTCCAGTCAAAGGTGACTATGGGGTTGTGGCGCTCATCTCGCTTTCAGACCGAGGGAGCCGGCGTTTGTCCACAGACAGCTTTCCTGGTCATGTGGTCAGCAGGACTAAACTGTTTCTGGTGCACCGGGACACCATGACAGAAACCAGAGTGCACGGAAACGCCGTTTACCTTCCTGCCAGAGTGGTACCTATTTATCTACTTGCACTAGCATGCTTTCGAACTGCTAGGTTGGCAGGAGCTGGGACAGAGCAACGGGAGCTCACCCTGCTGCGGGGATTCGAACCGCCGACCTTCCGATCGGCAGGCCCAAGATGCTCAGTGGTTTAGACCACAGCGCCATCCGTGTCCTATTTACAGTTGTAAACCACCTAGAAAACACTTTGGCATATAAGTGGTAGATAAATGAAATTATTATTATTATTATTATTATTATTAGTGATGATTTGTAGTGCAAATGTCAAACGGAGCAAAGCCTCTACAGCTCTGTGTCTCCAGTCCATATGATACAATTGAAGGATGCTATTGTTAAATCCCTTATGAAGAGAGTTTGCCCACATGCTTGAAGATGTACCCCACTCCTAACTGGTTTGCCTAATCTGCAAGAACTCGAGGGCAGCCTTGTTCCAAGATTTAAATGGCCGACAGATGGACTGGGCACTTGATTAATTTTAAAAGGGCAACGGATGCCAACCAGCCAAAGGCCTGGCTAAACAGGAACGTTTTCACCTGGCACCTAAAGGCGTATAATGAAGGTATCAGCTGAATCTCCCTGGGTTTTTCTGTGAGTTTACTAAAGCAGTTTGCAAAAGGATAGGCAAAAGCGTTCCCCGTGGGGAACCCACATCCCGTCAGGAGTGCTACGCTACCTCTGGTCTCCCCAGCCAGGTCCAAGACGGCTCCTGCTGCTTCGTGGGCGCCCGCGGCCGGCACTTGGTTGGTCAGTATGTACCCATTGGCCGAGCTGGCTGAGGTGGTGACCACCCTGACCATGGTGACCGTGGGGGCCTGCTGGACGACGTGGATGGCGTGCCCCGAAGGCTGCTGAGAGGTCACAATGGAGGCTGGCATGTAGGCCACCGGCTTGGCCACGAGGGCCGAGGGCCGGGGAGGGAGGGCCATGATCACCGGCTGGGCACTCACGGGCGAGCCTGGAAAGAAAAGGGAAATTGGAAATTCGACCCCAAGAACACCAGCGCTCAGGCAAAGCAGGGAGGCTGCTGGGCTCCAACTCCTGTCCGCTGCGGCTCAATGACTCTGAGACAGCGATGGCAAACCTTCATTACAGACCGAGTGCCCAAACCGCAACCCAAAACCCACTTATTTATCGCCAAGTGCCAACATGGCAACTTAACCTGTATATCTCATTTTTCCTGTGTGTTTCACGTTTCTTCTTTATGACTGCTGTTGTAATAAATAATCCTTCATAAAAGTTATTGCATTACATTCTTCATTAAATTATCTTTCCGTTGATATATAATTTTATGGTATAACTCAGTGCTTTTTTTTTCTTAAAAAAAAATGTTTAGGGATACTCTCATTTTGTCTCAAGAAAATCACCACCGGGGAGAAAATAAATACAGTTCAAATCGGGGGGAAATAAATACAATGGATTTCTTTTCCTGTTAGATCCACAAAATGCGTAGGGGGGTGCGTCTCCTTGTGTCTCCACAGAAAAAAAGCACTGGTGTTACTCCAAAACAAAGTTCCTTTGGCTGCCGTTGGATCGCAGCCTCCACGGAATGAATTTTTCATGGAATGAAATCATGAGATTCAGAGAATCTCATATATGGATGTGGTAAAAGTTTCCCCCCTTTATTATTTTGAATTTGTTCTTGTAAAAACCAATAAAAAATATTATAACCCCCCAAACCCCAAATATTTAAAACTTTTTAAAAAATCAGCAGTGGGCTGAAAGATTAAAATATACACCAACATTCTGTGTAGCTCTGCACCAAAATGATTCTAGCAGGCGCCAAAAAGAGTACGAGCTGTGACCATTTTGCACGCTTCCAATTGACGTGCGGATCGTTTTGGACTCAGAAGAGGGTGGGCTTATGCATGCAAGGACCAGAAACACCCCGCTCCCCATGCAAATCTTGGGTTGCCTATACAAAGAAGGCGCCTGCGTGAGCTCAATAGGCAGGGAGTTCCCAAGGGCAGCTGCTGCCACACCAAATAATGTAATTCCTTCTCTCCCGCAAAGAAATGCCACAATTTACTCACCAGGGGCGCTCTGCGAATACCGATACTCTGGGACAGAGGCTAGTTTTGAGCCGAAGTCGTGGTCGTGCGGAATGGGTGACCCCTCCCTGGACAGGCACTCTGGGGTCTGTAGGCCACTGGTGTGGGGCGACAGCAGGCCAGGGTGAGTCGGAGACGCAGGGGCACTCCTGGAAGGCAAGGAGGCAGTGAGCCAAAGGCGAGGGCAGCAGGAGGCTCGGCTAAGGCTCCTAGTTGGGCACTAGGAGAGCCAGCCGCTGGACTGGACGGGACTCGCCGGATTTTCCTTCATTTGTGTGGATCTGGTGACCGTGTGAATCATGCAGCCAGAATCACAGCACAGAGCAGCCACATGCCCCCAACCCTGGAGAACCTCGCCCATTTACTTTACAAACAGCTGGGCCTGATAAGCATTTACTGTTCCCAACCCTAATCCTACGGAAAGTCATCTAATTAGATTTTAATTTGATCCTGACTTGTTTTTAGGAGGTATTGTATTTCTCGCTCCATAAGACGCACCTAGTTTTTAGAGGAGGAAAACAAGGGAAAAAAATTCTGAATAAAACAGTGGATGTGTGATTTTTGTGGTTTATGCTGTGGCCACAGACATGTGATTTGACAGGTGAGTTTGGGGTAGCCCAATGCAAAAATCCTGAGAATCCATGTGGATCCGTGCTTTGTAACCACATTTTTGCACCACTGGGGCCCCACGAAACAGCGGATGTGTGTGTTTTTTGGTGCATGCTGTAGCCATCGACATGCTATGTGATCTGATGGTGAATTTGGGGTGACCCAATGCAAAAATCCTGAGGAAGCCTCCTTTCTCTCTAGCGTCCCTTATCTCCCTCCCTGATTGCTTGCCAATCTGCTGCTTCCTTTCAACACTCCCTTCCCTCTTGTTTGCCTTAGTGTCTTTTCCTTAGCTGGAGCAGTTTTTTGCTCCTCCTTTTCTTCTAACTTCTCTCCTCATTCCTTTAGTTTTCCTGTCTCCTCTCCTTGCAAGTTCACTGTCTTTACCTCCCCCCTCCCAGGCAGCCTCCTTTATTGCTAGCGTCCCTTATCTCCCTCCCCAATAGCTTGCTGATTAGTGCCACCCACAGCAAAATGGGTTTGACTTGGAAAATCCCCCCTATAGTTATTTAGATGGTTAATCAAAAGCTTGACTGAGTGGATAAGATGTATGCTGCCCCTTTCAGCCTTGCCAAATCTGGCATGTTGGCAGGCTGCCAGTGGGAAGCGCATGCCAGGAGTTGGTGCTACCTTGAGTCCCTGTGTCAGGAAAAGATGGGATATAAACTACAACAACAATGAGAACAAAAACAACTTACCGGGATGAGAGAGGCCCAAAGGGGGTTCGGAAGCAGGAAACCCCCCTCTGCCTCCTTTTCCGGAAGGCCTGCTCCACCAGTTTGCCTTCGGAGGGGGGATCTATCCTCCAGAACGAGCCCTTCCCAGGCTCCTCCTGGGAACGCGGGACTTTAATAAAATAGCGGTTCAAGGAAAGGTTGTGCCGAATGGAATTCTGTGGGGAGAAAGAGGCAGGAGGATGACGACCGCAAAGCCAAGTGGTGGATTTAATTTTGTTTTGAGCGAGACCGAGAGCTCCACCTCCGCAGGACGCCCCCCCCCCGGCAAGGCCCTTGCTCACCTGCCAGCCTTTATCCGCCGTCCTGTAATACGGGTAATGCTTGGTGATGTGGGCATAGATGCCACTTAGTGTTAACTGCCGGTCCTGGGCCGACGAGATAGCTTGGACAATCAGCTGGGCGTAGGAGTACGGAGGCTTGGACTCATCCTGCAGGTGGGTGGCACAAAAGACAGGCGCGCAAGGGAGGTTTTTTGTGTGCTTTATATAACTTTTTACTGTTTTCCTTTAAACAACATTTCCAACATTACAAAAAGAAGCACAAAAAACCCCTTTTTGCTCTGCCAAGCTTACGACTTCCTTCCTTCCCTTCAACAGGTATCACATATCAAATCCAATCGCACAATTTAACTCTTTACTATATATCCTCATTGTAGGATTTACTTCAATCCTGCTAGTGTCTTCAAATTTTTGCAATGACGCAAGGGAGTTTTTGGCGGCCCAGCAGCTCATTAACTGTTTGGGGGAGATTTTGCTGAGCACAACGGCAGCTGCCAAGGCAGATGCGTCCCAAGTCAAAAGCAAACCACCCTTCTGTGTCCCACCCCCCACCCAATGAAAGTTTCGCAGTGGAAAATCCCCCATATCGCTGCTTCTAAGGCCAAATCGTGATTCCTCCACGTGACCCAACAGGCACTGGAGAAGCTGTTTTGCTTTTTTAATTGCATAAAGTCTTCTCACGATTAAAGCAACAGGGGTGGGTCGTGTCCTGTTTGCAGGCTTCCCAAAGGCATTGATACTGGACCAGGTGGAGCTTTGATCACATGTTGGAGAGAAATTCTTGTGCTGATGCCTCTTGTAACGCCTCTTACAGAGGCAACCTCTGATATTTCAACCAGCAGAGATTTGAACCTGTTTTTAAAAAACCTTTAAGCAAGCCTTTAAGCAGATGTTGAATGACCGCCTGTCGTGGATGCTTGAGTTGCGATTCCTGCCCTTGGGGGCCCCTCGAACTCTGAAGTTCTATGACATTGCGCTTCTGCTTATAAAAACTGCTTTCTTCTTGTCTTTTCCTGATGCGGTGCATTCAAGATACAGTGGTACCTTAGTTCTCGAACTTTATCTGTTCCAGGAGTCCATTTGACTCCCGAAACCGTTCGAAAACCAAGGCGTGGCTTCTGATTTGCTGCAGGAGCTTCCTGCACTCAATCACAAGCCGCGTCAGACGGTCGGCTTCCGAAAAATGCTCGCAAACCGGAACACTTACTTCCGGGTTTGCAGTGTCTGGGAGCCAATTTGTCCGGGACCCAAGCCATTTGAGAACCAAAGTACCACTGTACACTGGCTGCGAACGGGATCCGTTCCGGAGGCCCCTTCGCAACATGAACAGAACACAACCCACGTCTGCGCGTGTCACAATTTGCCGTTTCTGCACGTCATTTTGCGCATCTGCGCATGCGGCAAAACCCGGAAGTAACCCTTTCCGGTACTTCCGGGTTGCCGCGGGACGTAACCTGAAAACGCTCAACCTGAAGCAAACGTAACATGAGGTATGACTGTATTGCAATTCCAACTTTTATCTTATTTAAGAGCGATGGTTTCAACCAGCAAAGGAGAAAAGCTGAGAGCGCCATCGAGTCGAACACCCTTGCAGCTTTTGCAAGACCCCCTCGAGAGAGAGAGAGAGGCCTTGTATGCAACGTTACGCCAACCTGCCTGGCTGGACAGGAAGAAGCAGCTCTCGCTCGACCATCGAGGGGAATCCTTCGGCAGGAATGCATCTACAATTTACTCAACTGTCTGGTACCGGAACCGGGGAGCCCACCCCGTCGCGGCCCTAGAGGGGAGGAAGTGACAGCTGAGCTGCCGCCGTTAGCAGTGATTAATGGAACGCCGGGCTCCCTGGCCTTTGCAAGGATGCAGAAGAAGAGGGGAAGGTTTCGTGGTACCTTTGGGCTGTCTCCGCCAGATGCATCCGCCTGCTGCTCAGACGTTGCCTTGGCCGCATATTCCGCCACCAGCTGCAGGTCCGAGGTAATATTCTGTGCGAAGCGGTATCCTGAGGAGCCAGCGCCACGCGGACTGGCCGGGCACGAGTTGGGAACACTGCGGAGAAAAAGCAATAATAATAATAATAATAATAATTTATTATTGGCAAAATTGACAATGAAACGAAGAGGAAGAGATGACAACGAATTTAAGGAAGATTGGAAGGACTTTACTGCATATATACAGAAGCAATGTACACAGGTTAACACATCAGCGTTCCAAAACCAAGGCGCACTTTCCCATAGAAAGTAATGCAAAACGGATTAATCCGTTCCAGACTTTTTAAAAAACAACCCCTAAAACAGCAATAGAACATGAATTTTACTATCTAACGAGACCACTGATCCATAAAATGAAAGCAATAAACCATGTACTGTGGTCACATAATCAATCAATCAATCAATCAATCAGTAGCTGAACTGGGTTCCACACAGTCACAAAAAAACAAAAGAGCTACAAAAACAAAAATGCAAAATAAATAGCAAAAACAGACAGACCACAGTGTAACACTCAAAATGGAAGTGTGGCATTCAAACCAGAGTATGTTCGGCTTCTGAAAAAAAGTTTGCAAACCAGAACACTTCTGGGTTTGCAATGTTTGGGTTCCAAGTTGTTTGAGTACCAAGGAACTAAAGTACCACACTGTACAGTGGTACCTCAGGTTACAGACACTTCAGGTTACAGACACTTCAGGTTACAGACTCTGCTAGCCCAGAAATAGTACCTTGGGTTAAGAACTTTGCTTCAATATGAGAACAGAAATCGCGTGGCAGTAGTGGGAGGCCCCATTAGCTAAAGTGGTACCTCAGGTTAAGAACAGTTTCAGGTTCAGAACGGACCTCCAGAACGAACTATGTTCTTAACCTGAGGTACCACTGTACTGTGATTTATTAAATTTGTATATTGCCCTTCATCTGTATATCGCAGAATAAAAATACAAGATTAAAAAAACACAAAATATGTAATAAAAACAAGAACAGAAAAACACCCCCCAAACCAATGAACTCCCCCTCCCCCATTTAAAAAGGGGTAAAAGATGTCAATCGGTCAAAGGCCTGGCCGAAGACAAACGTTTTCTCCTGGTGATATATACAGTGGTACCTCGGGTTAAGTACTTAATTCGTTCCGGAGGGCCGTACTTAACCTGAAACTGTTCTTAACCTGAAGCACCACTTTAGCTAATGGGGCCTCCTGCTGCCGCCGCACCACCAGAGCACAATTTCTGTTCTCATCCTGAAGCAAAGTTCTTAACCTGAAGCACTATTTCTGGGTTAGCGGAGTCTGTAACCTGAAGCATATGTAACCTGAGGTACCACTGTAATGAAGGCACCAGCAAAAAAACCCCATCCCCACCCAGGGATAGCATCGCACAAACAGGGAGCCACTGCAGAAAAGGCCCTGTTCTCGTGCTGCCATCCTTGGGACTTTAAAGCATTTAGGTCCCAAGTAGTTTACGGCTTTATAAACCATCATAGAAATGGAACAGTGATGTATCCCACGGCTAATCCCTGCAATTTCTCCAGAAAAGCTCAGGAGCAGCATCCATTGACACCTCCTCCACCCCAATCTTATTCTCAAGAGAACCCCACCAGGCAGGTTGGCTGGGCAGGTCACTGAGCCGAGATCACCCAGGAAATCTTTGAAACCGGGTCCCACTGCTCGCAGACCAACGTTAAAATCAGCAGACAAGGAGGCTGGATTTCCCAACCGGCTAAATAATGCAGAACCACCCTCAAAATGTATCTGGGCAGCCCATGTCCCTCTTAGTGTTTCCCTGGGAATCTCAGCTCTGCCCTCCCGATTGCAGAAATTAATATATATGAAAAGTGACGGAAATGAACAAAGCCACCGCTTGTTCAATATTCATCATTTCTCCAGTCCGTATCTTCAGAGTTTTCTCGGGAGCTTTCAAGAAATGTTTTAATACCTTGCTGCCCTCAAATACTGGAAAAGTAATTACTGCGGGGGTCTGCCTATTACTGCTTGCCTTTTATCCTATTCACGAGGACGACATACAAATCTTGTGCCCTGAAGATTCCCGCTCCACCCTGACCTGGTTTCAGTGTGGCCCTCTGAGCTGGACGACCGACTCAGTCCTGGAACGAAGAAATCCTAAAAGTGACCAGGTGAAGATTCAGGGACATGGAGGAAAAGCTCGGAAATCCAAACCTCGAGTCTGCCATAATATTCTGTGTTTTTCTGCAAATACATATATGCCTGTAGAGGTGCAATCTCTCCAGCATTCAGGCCAGGTTCCTGGGTGTATCAGCACCAGCTTCCATGGCATTAGGTACCAGCTACAGGTAAGAATAGGGACACGGGTGGTGCTGTGGGTTAAACCACAGAGCCTAGGACTTGCCGATCAGAAGGTTGGCGGTTCAAATCCCCGCGACGGGGTGAGCTCCCGTTGCTCGGTCCCTGCTCCTGCCCACCTAGCAGTTTGAAAGCACATCAGAGTGCAAGTAGATAAATAGGTACCGCTCTGGCGGGAAGGTAAATGGCGTTTCCGTGCGCTGCTCTGGTTCGCCAGAAGCGGCTTAGTCATACTGGCCACATGACCCAGAAGCTGTACGCTGGCTCCCTCGGCCAATAAAGCGAAATGAGCGCCGCAACCCCAGAGTCGGCCACGACTGGACCTAATGGTTAGGGGTCCCTTTACCTTTACCTTACAGGTAAGAATCAAGGTGAGTCCCCTTCTCTGGACTGAGATGGATTCGAAGGGAGGCTTAGACCCCACAGTTAATCCACTGGGTAGGGTTTATTTCGTATCCCACGTTGTGGCCCCACTGGCCTTTGATTGCGGTAAGGGGGTCTTGTAGGGTCTGGGGAGTAGCATTGTGTATATTGTGAATCGGTCCAGGGCTTTATTAAGAGAAAGGGGTACACTTACAGCAAACCAGCCCACAAGATCTCTGAGTGTTTACAGATGGACGCTGCAGCAAGGAGATGGTTTGTCCAGACCCAAGGGAACACTGATATATTCCTTATAACACAAAGCAGCATATATCACTTTGGCCAGGACTTCCCAGGACTTCTGACCGGTAGGGCTGGGCGATATATCCATATATCATCCCAAACCAGTTTGAAGCCCATATCGTGATTATCAGTTTCATGGTTTTTGACCTGGTGATATACTGCGAATCAGGGCTGGGCAATATATTGTCAAAAGCTGGTTTCAAGCACATATCATGATATGGTTTCATAATTTTTGATGTGTTTGCGCCACTCAAAATGACTATGTGGGAAAAACTGTGAAGCCAGTCAAGGCCCCTATTAAGCTCCCTGATATACATTGTGATATATCAGTGTATCACAACATTTAGCTGGTGATATATCACGAAGTTGAATAACAGCTCCATCCTTATTTCAGACAACGTGACATATCAGTAGGTCACGATGTTTAGCTGGCGATAAGCCATGAAGCTGAAAAACCAGATTATCTACTGACCAGATGAGGGCGTAGGTGGCAAATACCCAAACTCCCCTTTCTGGGCTCAGAGCCCAGCGCACCAAACCCCACAGAGATAAGGACAGCATCAAAGCCAGACAATTAGCTTATATCAAAGCGAGTGACTATAAACCTATATGAGCTCCTTGATACAACAACTACCTATTAATTGTGGAGTTACCTTGACGACCAAGAGGGTGTTTTGCAGAGCTTCCGGAACGGTTCACCTGTGGTTACAACACAAGCAGGGTAAGGTAAAGGTAAAGGACCCCTGGATGGTTAAGCCCAGTCAAAGGTGACTATGGGGTTGCGGCACTCATCTCGCTTTCAGGCCGGGGGAGCTGGCGTTTGTCCGCAGACAGCTTTCCGGGTAATGTGGCCAGCAGGACTAAACTGCTTCTGGCGCAACGGGACACCGTGACAGAAACCAGAGAACACAAAAACGCCGTCTACCTTCCCGCCAGAGCGGTACCTATTTATCTACTTGCACTGGTGTGCTTTCAAACTTCTAGGTTGGCAGGAGCTGGGACCAAACAGTGGGAGCTCACCCCGTGTTGGGGATTCGAACAGCCGACCTTCCAATCAGCAAGCCCAAGAGGCTCAGTGGTTTAGACCACAGCGCCACGCGCGTCCTTGTATTCTAACACAAGCACCTGCATAGAGGACAGGTAGAAAGAATTTGGAAGCTGCTGGCCTTGATACCAGACTCCTTAATCCACATCAGCAGCGACTCCCTTTCGCTGCAAGAGATTTTGGCAGCAACATGCAATGAAAGCGGCGGAGAATCACAGTGAGGAGAAGTGCCACAAGATGGCACTCGTGGCACGAGCTATAAATCTGGAGGAGGGGGCTGGGGGGGCAGAGAGAGAGAGAGAGAGAGAGAGAGAACGTGTGCCAAGCAACAAAGCAGAAAAATAATGACTGCTTGCTGAAACCGCTGCCTCTCCCAGACAAAACAGGAGCAACTGGGAGGATTCATAAGCAGGTCAAGACAGATTATCAAACAGATTGGACTGGGTGCGGGACGGGGAGAGAAGGAATGTTTTTAGGGGGGTGAATTGCAACGGGGCAATTCAACACCGGGGCGGAGGGTGGGGTTTCTGCTATCCAGTCACCCGCAAGGAGCAAGCCCTCAGCACCCACAGCTGAAGGCGGCCGGCTATCTACTCTGAACAGAATAATAATAATAATAATAAGAAGAAGAAGAAGAAGTTATTTATATTCCGCCCTCCCCAGCTGAAGCCGGGCTCAGAGCACCCTTGACAGTCATGCACAGCACACGTTCCCTCCATGCCCTCGGCAAAGGATCAGGAAAATCTACAACAGGCAGTGTGGTGCAGTGGTTAGAGTGTTGGGCTAGGATCGGGGAGACAAGGGTCCGAATCGCCACTCAGCCATGAAGTTCACTGGGTGGCCCAGGGCCAGTCGCTGTCTCTCGGCCTGACCGACCTCACAGGGTTGTTGTGGGGGTTAAAAAAAGTAGGACCATGTGAAGCACCTTGAGCTCCTTGCAGCAAAAATGTGGGATAGAAATGTAATAGGGAAGTAAATAATACAATCGATGGACACGGTTTAAGTGGCACCACCAATGTTTATTCTGTGAGATATTTATGCCTGTCTGTCTTCTCTTCTTCCTCCACAAAGCTCAGCTTTTCAACACAGGCACCGAAAAGCTAAGCAAAATGCAAGTTCAGGGTAGAGGTAATTGTTGTTGCAGCTCCTAATTCTACCGAAACAAGGCCTGCTAAGACACAGTGCAGAGAGGAAGGCCAAGCCTTTTGCATCAGTGTCTGTGTGCCCACGTCTGAATTTGCAGATATCCCTGCAGCCCAGAAATGGAAGCAAGAAGAAATTCCGACGAAAGAAGAATGGCAGACAAAATTAATGGACTACGCAGAATTGGACAAAATGACAGGAAGGATTTGAAATCTGCGGGACCAGAGATTTACAGAAGATTGGAAGAAATATACGAACTATTTGAAGAGCACTTTCTTTGGAAGCCAAACGTGCTCCGTTTTGAGTCTGATGCTTCCGATTTGAGTGCCACACTTCCATTTTGAGTGTTACGCTGAGGTCTGTCTGCTTTTGCTATTTACTTTGTGTTTCTGTGGCTCTTTTGTTTTGTTTTTTATGACAGTGTGGAACCCAGTTCAGCTGCTGATTGACTGATTGTGTAACTGCAGTACATTGTTTATTGCTTTCATTTTATGGATCCATGGTCTCGTTAGAGAGTAAAATTCATGTTAAATTGCTGTTTTAGGGTTTGTTTTTAAAAGTCTGGAACGGATTAATCCATTTTGCCTTACTTTCTATGGGAAAGCACACCTTGGTTTTGGAACGTTCTTCTGGAACGGATTAAGTTTGAGAACCAAGGGACCACTGTACAGTATTAAAATCACTTAAAACAAATTAAGAGTCCAGATGGGTGGGGTATAAATGAATGAATGAAGGGTAGGTCATATGTTGTGTGCATGTCTATCTACCATTATTTATTATCCATCATCAATCTATCAAGCTATCAACTGTCTGTCTGTCAGCTGTCAAAGGCTAGGATAAAGTTCTGCATCTTCAGCACATGACTGAAACTCCACAATGTCGGTGCCAGATGCATCTCTGTCGGGAAGAAGGTTGCAAGACATTGGGGGTGGGGTGGGGGGGCTGCTGGTCCGACTGCCCAGTCTGAGTGGAAGGCTACTCAGGGGCAAGCCCTATTGCTCACAGTCAAGACTTGTGATTTCTTGGAATCTGTACTGGCAGGAAAAATTATTCCACCCGGAGATGTTGATCACACACTCAGCCAGCTGTGATTCGCTTCTCTGTGTGTGTCAATTTGTCCTACAGACCGAGAATTATTCATGTACATCCGCAATCCTTGGTCTACGAGACACAGACACATGTGCCTCTGCATTTGCTTCGCGGAACAAAAAATGGAGTTGCATCCCAAGCCAGCGAAATCAGAGCCCTGTGGTTTAGGATAACGTGGAAATGGGAGCGGATTGTCTTAGGAACTTTCCATTATGCACTGAATACAGTCTACAGGTTAACAAGCTTGCCGTGCCAATTAAAAAGACATCAGAGAAAACTGCCAGTGGGGGAGAGAGAGAGAGAGAGGTGTAGGAAGGTACATCTCTAATAGAAAAACAAAGCTATATAATCATACCTCGGGTTACAGACGTGTCAGGTTGTGCGTTTTCGGGTTGCGCACTGCGCGGAACCCAGAAGTACCGGAATGGGTTACTTCTGGGTTTCGGCGCTTGTGCATGCGCAGAGATGCTAAATCGTGCTTTGCACAAAAGCACCGAATCCTGACCCGCATGTGTGCAGACGCGGCGCTGCAGGTTGCGAACGTGCCTCCCGCACGAATCATGTTAGCAACCTGAGCGTCCACTGTAATAATAAAACCAAACTAGCACCCAAGTACTTATTCTTATGCAGCAAAAAGGGGTACCATCCACAACCAAGATTATGGAGATATTGTGGATCTGGAACAGGCTCAGAAAAGGAAAACTCAAATGATGGGAGGGGATTCAGTGACTCCCCAGTGAGGAAAGGTGGCAGCATTGGGGACATTTTGGCTTAGAGAAAAGGAAAGTAAGAGGCACCATAATAGGAGTTTGTGAACATATGTGTGGCATGGAGAAAGTGGAGAGAGGAAAGCGTTCCTCCCTCTCTCATAATACCAGAATTCACGGCCGTCCGATGGAGCCGAATGTTGGAAGATTCAGGACAGATAAAAAGGATGGAGTTCTTTACGCAGAGCGCATAGTTAAACTATGGAACTCCCTTCCACCGGAAACAGCGATGGCCACTTTAAAAGCAGATTGGACAAATTTATGGAGGAAAGGACTATAGATGGCTACCCTCCGCAGTGGCTGTGCTCAGATGGTGATGTTTCTGAATATCAGTGGCTGGAAACCACGGGACGGGAGAGGGCTCTTGGGTTCGAATCCTGATTGTGGGTTTCCCACAGGTATCTACTTGGCCGCGGTGAGAACAGGTGGGCCATGGGCCTGATCACAGAATCATAACAGAATTGTAGAGCTGGAAGGGATCACAAGGGTCTTTAGTCCAACCCCCTGCAATGCAGGAAACTTTTCGCGAAACATGGGGCTCCAACTCACAGCCCTGAGATTAAGAGTCTCGTCTCTCACTATATATCTATATATATACACCTATCTCTCTATCTATTCTGGACTTCCATCCTCCCCCTTTGTGGGTCCTATTATTTCCTCCCGCATCTTTTATGACAGTCCAAATCCTTTGCATCTCCACTGTGTCCAGAATTCAACCTTAAACTACAAGTGATATTCTAATCCTAATACAGTGGAACCTCTACTCAATGGATGTAATCAGTTCCTGAGGTCCATCTGTAAGTCGATCCGGGTCTCTGATAGAAGTGTCGTTGTGCGCAGGTACATTCGGCGGCGGTGCGCATGTGCAGACGGCGGCAGCCAATTCTGCACACGAGCAAATGGCAGAAGCCGTTTCTGCGCATGCGCGAATCGCGGCAAACCTGGTATTTACTTCCGGGTTTGCCGCGGTCGCAACTTGGATCGGGCCCAAGTAGAGGCGGTCGTAAGAACAGGTTCTACTGTAATGATTTTAACTGCTTGCAATGGTCTTTAAGATAAGTTATAAATTTTCCCCATTCCTTATTAAAATTTTGGTCTTCCTGATTTCTGACCCTTCCGGTCATTTTAGCCATTTCAGTATAGTCCGTCTACTTCATCTGCCATTCTTCTCTTATGTTTTCTACTGACGAGCTGCAGCCCTCCTCAAAAAGCTCCCCAAACTCCTTGCATGTTAGGATGGGATGCAAATGAAGTGAATGGCTGAATAGAGTGAATTTAAGGAGCCATTCTTTGAGCCTAGTTCTTCTCTGTGTTCTGAACAGATCCCGGGCGTCTCTTAAGCAGAGGGATATTCTAGCCTGGCTGCTTGGGATTCAGTGAAACGGCAACGACGGCAAGGCAACCAGAAGCCTTTGCTATGAAAAGGATGCGCTGTGTGCCCCTGAGATATGCCGGGGTCCTCAACTGCTCTGATCCGTATGCGATGCCAAGCCAAACTATTGCTTGGACAGAGCCAGCTAGAAGGAAAACACAGCCTGCTTCGTTCAGCCCTTCTGCTGTCATTGCTCCTCAGAAACTAAGCTGTGGTTTTGCTCAGTGCAAAGCTTTGTAGTTGACTTACTCCCAACAGACCATGAGCTGTAACCAAGGTTTGTTCCTGGTTTAGTGCTTGCGGTTGTGCCAGAAGGGGCTGGTGGGATTTGTAGCCTTACAACCTCTGGAGAGCCACAGATCTCAACTCAGATATATAAGCCAGGAGTCAAATAGCTCCTGAAACCAAGATTGCTGTTGCCAAAAATGGAATGTCTAGCTGCCATTTTGGGACAAGATGGCTTAAAAGTCTTATTTCTCAAGTGATGGACTGACCGTGATTGATTCTCGGTTGAATATCTGGGTAGTTCAGATGACAACTTTCAGCTAGGTTGAGAGCTTTGAGTACTTAAAGAAGAAAAGTTGCTTGATCCAGCGACAGTCCACATATATATTGGCCTATTCCGACCTCTTTTTCTTTATGCTGACGGCTGCTGCTCAGGCTGCACAGAAAAAGCAATTTAGTTCCAGAAATTCGTTCCAATTGTGCAGATAAAACATAACTGATAGAATTCTACAGGATGGGGTATTAGTGTGTGCCTGGCTAATTTCGAACACAGATCCCAACCCGTCCCGGATTTAGATGACATCTTTTATTTGCACGGCACACACTTGAGATAAATTTTAGAGGACCGTTGTATTCTATCAAGCGCATTATTCATTCTCATAACGAACTCTGGGGAGGGTACCTTTGCTCCCATTTTAGAGGTGCAAAACTAAGGCAGAAAACAAACCTAGCACAGACTTAAAGTTTGCCTAAGGCGACAAAGGGACGCGGGTGGCACTGTGGGTTAAACCACAGAGCCTAGGACTTGCTGATCAGAAGGTCGGCGGTTCGAATCCCCCCGACGGGGTGAGCTCCCGTTGCTCGGTTCCTGCTCCTGCCAACCTAGCAGTTCGAAAGCACATCAAAGTGCAAATAGATAAATAGGTACCACTCCGGCGGGAAGGTAAACGGCGTTTCCGTGCGCTGCTCTGGTTCACAAGAAGCGGCTTAATCATGCTGGCCACATGACCTGGAAGCTGTACACCGGCTCCCTCGGCCAATAAAGCGAGATGAGCGCTGCAACCCCAGAGTCGGCCATGACTGGACCTAACAGTCAGGGGTCCCTTTACCTTTACTAAGGCGACAGAAACTGGCACATGGCTCTTCATCGTGTTGCGGCCACCGGCTAGCCCGAGACAGCCAGCGATCCTGACGAGCATTTCGATACGCGAGATCGAAATGTGACACGCCAGCCACAGAGTCTCCCGGGAGGCATTGCCAACACGACCCAAACGAGAAAGAAAGAGCGAGCGAGCAATGAAGATAATCTGAGCAATTCCAGCCTCATGCTTTCCCCATAAAACCCTGCTGTTTCCAATTAGGGCACAATTCAATTTAGACATGCGTTACGAGAAACAGAATGCACACATCTGAAGACCGCGGACATTTGCAAAGGACGCGCATCTCCGGGGAGAAGGCAAGGCAATTATATTGAAAGCATATTTTTTTTTGAATGTAAGCTATCTCGAGAATCAAATCTGCACTGATCTGAGACTAGAAGATGAACACAAATCTAAGCCGGCCTCCCCCTTTCACGCTCTGTGGCTCCGCGTCACTCATTTCCCTTGACAGCGAGCTCCTGCAGAGTTTCGTTTCCCCTCTTTCTCGTGCGCCACCAATGCAGCCGTCTTCTGTGGTCCACGCAGGGAACTCCAATATGTTCAGGGCAGCTGCTGTTGCGATACTGGCAAAGCAACCTGTGTGGCTTCCGGCCCACGATCGTCGCAGTTACCTGCATTTCACAGAGTTTGCAGGAGAAGCATTCAAGTTGGCACAGATGTCCCAGGTCCCCACGTGGGGAAAAACAAAACAAAAACACATAGATTCCTTGAACGTAAAACTTAGGTTTAGAGGTTCTAGGGTCAATCTGCTCAATCTGGTTGCCGGGTTTGTTTTCTATGATATACATTTAAAAAACGTATTCATCTTTTTAATGGGGAAAAGCAACTTGCAACATTAAGAACCACCATGAAACAGCCTAAACCTAAAGTAACAAAACCATGGACCAGAAACAATCGAGAACATCTAGCTAAAAGTTGAGCGCTGAAAACGAGCCAAAAATCAAACTGCAAATCAAGTTAAAAATGGCTGGGAAGACAGGAATGTCTTTGCCTCGTGCCTATGAAGCTGGCAAAGCGAATCTGCTAGCCGAGGGGCCACCACCGAAAAGGCCTTTTCTCACAGCGGCGAGGTTATTATTAGCCCAGGTTTGGAAACAACAGCAATTGCCAACAGTAGAAGAATGGCGACAGAAGGTAATGGAATACGCTGAAATGGCTAAATTAACGGGGGAAATTCGAGAACAGGGCGATGAAACATTTCAAAAAGAATGGGAAAATTTAATGTTGTACATAGGAAAGATAAGGTGAAATAGTGAAACCAGTAGAACTGAAACAAACCTCACAATGTAAAATACAAAGAAATTTACTGGATAATAAAAACAATAAGAAGTAAAATGTACAATGTGACTAATGTAACTGACAGTAGCTGTAAATGAATATAGACAGACAACAATTGTATATATAGAAGGATTTGTTTGTTTAGAGATATTCTATGGACAAATATGGAAGAAGAAGAAGAATACAGTGGTACCTCGGGTTACATACGCTTCAGATTACATACACTTCAGGTTACAGACTCCGCTAACCCAGAAAAAGTGCTTCAGGTTGAGAACTTTGCTTCAGGATGAGAACAGAAATCGTGCTCCGGCAGTGTGGTGGCAGGAGGAGTCCCCATTAGCTAAAGTGGTGCTTCAGGTTAAGAACAGTTTCAGGTTAAGTACGGACCTCCGGAACGAATTAAGTACTTAACCCGAGGTACCACTGCATACAAAATGGATGAAGACAATGCGAAAAATTTAGATGCGATATGAAAAAGCCAGAAGAAGGAAGGAGGGAAGCCAGCTCTTAGGAGCAAGTATAAATGTAAAATGTAATGCAATATGTGTATGTGGAGTATGTAACTGAAAAACCAATAGATTATCCTTAAAAAGAAAAGAAAAGGCCTTTTCTCCCCTTTCTGCTCCCTTGGAAGAGGCACACAGAGATCGGCCCCTCCTGAGTTGACTTTTTTTCTGGCAGGGGAGCCCTAAGAGAAAGTGAGATCTCTCCACCTCCCCATCTGAAGTGGGACAGGCTGCGCTATCACCTTCATCCCAGTTCTGCCTGCTACATGTTAAGGCCAGTCCAAAGAGGAAACGAGAGAGGAAGGAGAATCCTAGAATTGCAGAATTGGGAGGGACCACGAGGGTCATCTAGTCCAACCCCCTAAAATGCAGGAATCTTTTGCCCAATGTGGGGAATCAAACCCATGACTCTGAGATTAGAGTCTCACACTCTACCAGCTGAGCTGATTCTGGTTTGATATTTGCATCCCGCTTTCCCAGCAACAAATGCTAACATCAGCGGTCCGACGAAAGAAGAATGGCAGACAAAATTAATGGACTACGCAGAATTAGATAAAATGACAGGAAGGATTCGAAACCTGCGGGACCGGAGATTCACAGAAGATTGGAGGAAATATATGAATTATCTGAAGAGCAACTGTAATCAACAAATTACGCTAGTAGGACTACAAGAGGTTTTGTAAGGAGGAATATATGAAACACTGCAAAGTAGAGAAAGAGATATTAGTTATGAGATCTAAATGTAATAGTGAAAGTAAGAAATGTAAATTAAGGGAATAGATTGGAAAATTTTCAGATGTGATTGATGGAAGTCAAAAAAACTGTATAAGATATAAAAGTATGTTTAATTATTGTTGAAGATGAAATGTTAAAAAACTAATAAAATTTATTTTTTAAAAAATGCTAACATTAGCGGCGACCCAAACGCAAACTACAGAGTCAAACACGGTAACCTATAAACTGAGCAAGCGTCAACAACAAATTTGTCCGAACAATCAATACAATATTGCAGTGAATTTGCTGAGCACCAGCCCTGTTTTGGATGACACCCTCTCTCTGCGAAGGGGCTTCTTCCTTCCTCCCAGGCAGTAAGAACTTCAATGGTTTTTTAAAAACCGGCTGGCTCAAAAGCTTTGCGTTTAGCAGCCATTGCAGAGTTTTAGCTTGTTTTGACTATCGAGTCCCGAAGCTGATTTGGTTCTGGAACAAGGCAGAATTGTGGAGAGGCCACACCAGAGCCCTCAAAAGGGCCTGATTTGTACTCTCCCCCATCCCAGGCAACCTAAAAAAACAAAAGTGCCTCCTACCTAATGTCTGCAAAATCTTTGCTTGAAACCGGCTGCTGTTTTGGCCGTCCTAAGTGAGCATGATCTCACAGACAGGATGTTTCTATTGGCTTTCTCTTGCAAGGCCGAATTCCCCATTTCTCTCAGTTGTGCAACATGGCAATACAAGCTCCCCATCCCCTTTTTAATGCTTTATTTTTTACCACAAAAATGCACGCCCCATATCTGAAACAAAGCACAAAACAAGCGGGGCTCAGTCCAGCAGGCGTGGGTCATTTCCTCCCTCACTGAAACCCTGAAAAAAGCAGTAAGTTATTTTTTTGTGGAGGGTTCTCAATGACTGTCAGAGGCAAATATTTCAGCTGCTGGAGACCCTGGGGGGAGCATGGGTTTTCCCTCAGGGGCATCTGCAAGAAGAGAATGCTGGGCCGCGAGGGCCACTGACTTCCTATGTTCTCGAACTCTGATCTCCCAGGTCCTGGGAGGATGTCCCTTAGAGAAGGACCTAAACTATTTCCCTTGAAGCCCAAGTTTCGCAGAATCATAGCGAGTTGGAAAGGACTCTGAGCATCACCTAGTCCAGGGGTAGGCAACCTAAGGCCCGGTGGCCGGATGCGGCCCATTCGCCTTCTCAATCTGACCCGCGGACCAGATAAGGTTCCTGTATACTCATGTGCTTTTCATACCGGTAGACAACTGCATTGGATCATCTAGTCCAGCGGTTCTCAACCTGTGGGCCCCCAGATGTAGTTGGACTACAACTCCCATCATCCCTAGCTAGCAAGGCCAGAGCTCAGGGATGATGGGAGTTGTAGTCCAACAACATCTGGAGACCCACAGGTTGAGAACCGCGGATTCTAGTCCAAGGGTAGGCAAACAAAGGCCCGGGGGCCGGATCCGGCACAATCGCCTTCTAAATCTGGCCCACGGACAGTCTGGGAATCAGCGTGTTTTTACATGAGTAGAATGTGTCCTTTTATTTAAAATGCATCTCTGGGTTCTTTGTGGGGCCTGCCTGGTTTTTTTTTACATGAGTAGAATGTGTGCTTTTCGAATTCTTTCTTAAGAATGACCAGAAACTGTTTTTATATGCAACATCAGCGGCAAGGTTATTGTTGGCCCAGGTTTGGAAACAGCAACAAATGCCAACATTAGAAGAGTGGCAATACAAGGTTAGAAGAATGGCGTCAGAAGGTAATGGAATACGCTGAAATAGCTAAATTAACGGGGGAAATAATAACAATAAGAAGTAAAAATGTATAAAGTGACCAATGTAACTAACAGTATTTATAATGAATACAGACAGACAGCAAGAATTGTATATATAGAAAGATTTACCGTATTTTTCGCCCTATGGGATGCACCGTCCCATAAAGCGCACCTAGTTTTTTGGGGGGGAAATAAAGGGAAAAAAATTATTTCCCCCCAGGCGCGGGGCTGGGGCGGGGGAGGCCCGAGCTTCCCCCGACCCCAGCTCCCAAACAGGCAGCTCTCTGCAAGCCGTGGGAGCCCAGCGCACCGACCCCTCTCGCTCTCCAGGCTTCAGCGAAAGCCTGCATTCGCCCCATAGGACGCACACACATTTCCCCCTCATTTTTGGAGGGGAAAAAGTGCGTCCTATAGGGCGAAAAATACGGTATTTGTCTACAGACATTTTATGGAAGATTATATACAAATTGGATAAAGACAATGCGAAAAATCAAGAGATGACACAAAAAAGCCAGAAGAAGGAAGGAGGGAAGTCAGCTCTTAGGAGCAAGTATAAATGTAAAAAGTAATGTAATATGTGTATGTATAGTATGTAACTAAAAAACTAATAAAGATTATCTTGCAAAAAAAAAAAAAAAAGTGTGCTTTTATTTAAAATGCCTCTCTGGGTTATTTGTGGGGCACAGGAATTCGTTCATTATTTTTTCAAAATATAGTCCAGCCCCCCAGAAGGTCTGAGGGACGGTGGAACAGCCCATGGCTGAAAAAGGTTGCTGACCCCTGATCTAGTCCAAACCCCTTGCAATGCAGGAATATTCAGCTGCTGCCCGTGATGGGGCTCGAACCTGCAACCTTGGCGTTCTCAGAGCCACGCTCTAACCAACCCAGCTGTCGTTTTCCTCTGGGTTTGTTTCATTTGACGTTTTAACGCGCCGCAAACCGCCTCGAGTTATTTTCCTTTAAGGTACAAAGCGGTACAGGAATAAAACGTGGAATAAAAGCAACAGTGTCTGCTAGCGGCAAAGCAATTAATTGCTTAATCGAAAAAAGGAAATTCAGAAGAAGGGGGAAAGGAGGGGAAGCGGAGGAGGAGGAGGGGTCTAATAATAATTTCTCAAAGCAGCAGCAGTTTCCACAGTGGAACGGCTGAAGTGAGCATGCTGGGCTGCGTTTAGTTGACTCAACTTTTCTCCAGGTGCCGGGGAAAAAGGAAATGCAAACTTTCAAGAAGGGGGAGAGAAAAAAGAAACGGAAGAGGTTCTTTTTGCAAAGAGGAGGGGAGATTTCTGGGAAGTAAACAGAGAGGCGGGCAAGAGGCAGAAGGGGTCAAGGGATCGTTTGCTGGGCGCTGCCAGGCTGCCTCTGCCCGCTTTGGGTTTCTGTTCCCTTGCAGTTAGAAAGCCCTGCCCCTTAAGTGTGGGGAGGAATAGGAAGGGGAGAGGCCAGCCGAGGCTCCGGTTTCCAGAAAGGAAAGTAAACTTAGGATCTGCAAAAAGTGCCCCCCCCCTTCCTTCCCTGCCCCGGATGGCCAATCAGGGCACGGCGAGGCAAAGGCGCACCAAATTAGGCAAGTGAAACAGCTACCAAAGCAAGAAGGGGGGGCGGGGGGGGGGGAAAGCTGAGCTGATGAGATCAGACTCCCAAGGGAGGGGTGGAGAGGAAGGGCTGGGAGTCCCCACCCACCTCGCTTTCACAGAAGGATTGCTGACATTCTTAGAAGACGAGGAGGAGAAGTTGCTCCCACAAAAGCAGCCAACCCCAAAGAACCACATTTCAAAAAAGGCCAATTTTCTTGCAGAGGGTCAATGGGCAAGGGGGGGGGAGTGTTGCCACTGGACAGGGGCTGCGATTCCAACAGCCGGCCAGCTGGAAGCAACCTGGAAAACTGCTAAGCAGGCACTGTTCCTGTTTTTGTTTTTTTTAGCTCCAGGTTCCTGCGACACGGGTGGCGCTGTGGGTTAAACCACAGAGCCTAGGACTTGCTGATCAAAAGGTCGGCGGTTTGAATCCCCGCGACGGGGTGGGCTCCCATTGCTCTGTCCCTGCTCCTGCCAACCTAGCAGTTCGAAAGCACATTAAAGTGCAAGTAGATAAATAGGCACCACTCTGGCGGGAAGGTAAACGGCATTTCCGTGCACTGCTCTGGTTCACCAGAAGCGGCTTAGTCATGCTGGCCACATGACCCGGAAGCTGTACGCCGGCTCCCTCGGCCAGTAAAGCGAGATGAGCGCCGCAACCCCAGAGTCGGCCACGACTGGACCTAATGGTCAGGGGTCCCTTTACCTTTACCTGCGACACAGGGGTAGGCTGCCTCTGGGCATGGAGGCTCCACTGAGCTCACGGCAGCTGAACAGTTCTCCTATTGACCCCGCGAATCTGCCTAACCCACAACTGTCAATCACCGGAGCTCGCAGGAGCAAATCCTGCAAGTTAAAAATTGTGCAATGCAAGGAGAAAGAAGAGCCACTTTGGGCCCCATAGGCAGGGAACTCGTATTGTACTTCCAAAGGCTTCTTCCCCCTTGTTTTGTGCTCTCAAGGTAGCTCCGGCTGACCGATGGTTGACTAGGAAGCTGTCTTCCACAGAGTCAAGACGAGTGACCCAGGCAGCTCAGTGCAGGCTGCACTGGCCGGCAGCGGCTCTTGAGCACTTCCGATGAGGAAGAATGTGTCTCAGCCTTGCACCACCTGTGTCTGGGGCGTTCTGCATGCAAGACAGCTGCTCCACCCCTTCCCAGCCCAAGCACAGCCACTAAGCTTCACGACCAAGAGGGTGTCAGGGGGTGCGCTACCTGCTTGCCTTTAATGCATGAAAAGCACATTATTATTATTATTCAAATATACTGAAGACGGCCGATCTCATTCATGTCCGGAGGAAGAAAAGCAGTTTAGAGGAAACCTCGAGAGGTGTGCACAGAAAGGGGATGTTTGTAAACAAGAACGAAAAGGTTGAGCAAAAGAAGGAAACCTCAAGAAAGGCTTCTGCGGGCTTTTTTTCCAAGAAGCTCAGATAGATTTGCTTTTTGCTGAAGCCCCAGCAGATGTTAAAAGCGCTGAGCATCTCGCAGCCCTTTTCTTGCAAGACTACCGGTGGGAGAAGCCAGGGCTATTGTCTTCAAAGGGGGGCAGGGAAGCAGAGGAGATATTATGATCTCGGGGTCCCTTCCAATTCTATGAGGGGGGCAGCATAAAAAATTATGCAGGTTATGCACTGGATAGCTTTGCCCCCCTCCCTCAAAGCGGCAACCTGGAAACCAATCCCCAAGGTGTGGTTCTTTGTCTGAAAGAGGGAGGGTGTCAGGTGAGGAAACCGCAAAGGCTGCTTGCGAAAGGGGCTGAAAACAGAACTTGCTGCCCAGCGTTTCTCCTGTTTTCACACATGCAAGCTTTGGAACTGAGTCCTTGTAGAGGAAAAGGATCCTGAGATCACGTTAAGGGTAGCCAAATTCTGTGCAACTGCCATTAAACTTAGGGAACAAGCTGTGGTATCGTAATGATTAAGGCCTGCTTAAATGATAATTTTAGGTTATATGTTAGCGACTAAGTTTTAATTTATATATATTTTTAACTGTTGCTATATCTGTATTAGTAGAGACATCACCTTGCCAACAAAGGTCTGTATAGTTAAAGCTATGGTTTTCCCAGTAGTGATGTATGGAAGTGAGAGCTGGACCATCAAGAAGGCTGATCGCTGAAGAATTGATGCTTTTGAATTCTGGTGCTGGAGGAGACTCTGGAGAGTCCCATGGACTGCAAGAAGATTAAACCTCTCCATTCTGAAGGAAATCAGCCCTGAGTGCTCACTGGAAGGACAGATCCTGAAGCTGAGGCTCCAAGACTTTGGCCACCTCATGAGAAGAGAAGACTCCCTGGAAAAGACCCTGATATTGGGAAAGATGGAGAGCCCAAGGAGAAGGGGACGAGATGGTGGGACAGTGTTCTCGAAGCTACCAGCATGAGTTTGACCAAACTGCGGGAGGCAGTGGGAGAGAGGAGTGCCTGGCATGCTCTGGTCCAGGGGGTCACGAAGAGGCGGACACGACTAAATGACTGAACAACAACAAATATCTGTATTGTTCCTGTTATACCTAATTGCAAATTCAAATGTATCCCTATCGTGTTTTATGGCTTCCTTGATATGGTATGTGGGCTGGCACTTGTCTGTGACCGAAGTAAAAAAAAAAATTCACAGATGCAAGCTTTGGAACGGAGGGACAAAGGGCACTTTGGGGCTGTTTCTCTTCCAACCACCAAAGGAAGGCAGGAAAACCCAGGGAGATGTCTCCTGCCAGGGCAAGACATGAGCCCACCACTGCCTCTCCCAGCCTTTCCCCAACCTGGTGCCTTCCAGATGCTTTGGACTACAGCAGCCATCAGCCAGAACAGGCCTGCCGCTTGGGGCTGATGGGACTTGTAGCCCAGAACATCTGCAGCAGTGGTTCCCCCAGGGGGGCGATACCACCCCCTGGAGAGCAGTGGGGATGCTTAAAGGGGTGCAAAGAGGCAAGGGGGCAACAGGGACTGCAAACGACAAACAGAATTTGAAAAGTTGCCGCCGCTGGACCAAGGGGTTGGATTAATTAAACTGGATAGTTTTAATTGCACTTTGAATAAATGTGCAATTGACTGTTTTGGCCGATCGATGACTTAAGAGCACCCTTCTTCAAAGATGTAAATCTCCCAGCTGAGAGATCGACTGGGTATGTGATTAACTTTTTATTAGGGGACAGGTCGTCCCCCCCATTTCTGAAAAACTGGGCTGTTTTGCCTATAGAGTGGCGATTTTAAGGAGAAAAGTTTCTGGGGATGCGTTAGGTTCTTCAGGGGAACCAACTCTTACCTGGCGGAATTACCTGGTTTTAATAATGTGTTTTATGCATTTGCTCTGTAATGGCTTTGGCTGCGCAGATAAATAACAATCACCCTATTTGTTACCTCTCCTGAATTTTATTGTGTTGTTATCATCCTTCGAGGGCAGTGCAAACCGCTATTCTGAAAAACGCAAAGGGCAGGAGGCAAAGGGGATGAGTTTATGGCAAGAAGAGGGCAGTGGCCCAAACCACTGGTCTAGGGAGCATATTCACCCAGTCCTTTACCAGTTGCACTGGCTCCTGCTGGAGTATCGGGTCAGGTTTAAGGTGCTGGTCTTGACCTTTAAAGCCCTTTGTGGCTTAGGGCCCTCGTATCTATGGGGTCGCCTCTCCTGGTATGTCCCACAAAGGACCTTAAGGTCCATGAATAACCATAGTTTAGAGGTCCTGAGCCCTAAGGAAGTCAGACTATCCTCCACCAGGGCCAGGGCTTTCTCAGTGATGGCTCCGACCTGGTGGAATGCTTTGTCCCATGAGACCAGGGCCCTGCAGGATTTAACTTCCTTCCGCAGGGCCTGTAAGACAGAGCTACTTAGCCTGATCTTTTATTCCCCTTCCTCCCCTCCCCATCCCTTTTTATGAAGATCACCCACTCTGGGATCCCACAGCTGGTTCTCCCCTGGTCTCCTCGCTGACCCAAGTGGGACTAATTTAGCCAGCTAGCCCTGGTGATCATCAAATGTTTATTAGATGGATTTCCCCCCTAAATTGTTATCCACACTTTATACCATATTTTATGCTGTGGGGTTTTTTATCGTAGCATCAATTAAGTGTTTTAAATTTGTTGTTAGCCTCCCTGAGCCCGGTTTCCTGAACCGGGAAGGGTGGGGTATAAATAAAATTTTTATATTATTTATTATTATGGGTCACCAAGTGGGCTAGCAGCCTGTGCCTGTGCATTGCCAGGGAGCTACGGCCGCTCCTTCTTGCAGGAGCCCTGCCCCACGTCGCTCCCTACAGCAGGCATGTCTAAAGTCCGTTTTGGGGGCCTAATCCAGCCCCCTGGCCGGTTTCATCCAGCCCCAGTGGCAGTTTATTTTCTTGGGGTCAAATCTTAGAAAAAAGCTCAACAACCTCAAGCTTAAAAAAAGCTCACGCATGTTCATTTCATCAAATCTGGCCCTCTTTGAAAGAAGTTTGGGCCCCCCTGCGCCCACAGCAAGCTCAGGCCTGCGTGGCTTCTGAGCGACCCACGACAGAAGCTGCCCTGGGATTTCGCCAGCTGATCTGCTCAGGATGGCTCTGTTAACCATCCCTGGCTTTCTGAAGTCTTCCGAGTAGAGGCCTTTCATGGAGACCTTCTGCAGGCTGAGATTCTGCTCTGCTGTGGACAGGCTGTTATCGCTTAGGCAGTGCGAGAAACTCAGAGATATGAGCTAATCGCCAAACGGAACCTTTGGGTTGTGGTTGCCACAATGGAATGTCCTAGTGCCCTTTTTAAAAAACGGGGCCGTTGTTGTTAATTTCATTTCTATACCGCTTTATATTTTAAAGGGGGGGGGGATCTCAAAGCAGTTTACAACACATTAAAACTTCAAATAAGACAATGCAAAATGAAATAAACTCAAGCTTCAAGGAAAACAGTTCGGGTCCTGCTCTAAGGGACATTTTGCTTTCCCCATATTTATTTACCTACTTAATTTCTAAAGCTGCCCCATAGCAGAAGGACTCTAGGAAGGCAGTGGGGTGTCATGGTGAGTGCCAGATGAGGACCTGGGAGATCAGGGTTCGAATCCCCACTCACTGGGTGACCTTGGAGTCAGTCACAGCCTCTTAGCCTACCTCACAGGATTGTTGTAGGGATTAATGGGCCAGGTCCTCCTTGGAGGAAAAAGTGGGATATAAAGGTGAAAAATAAGCTAGTCTGCTGACCTGCTTAAGAAAGTTGGAGGGGCCAGCCAGATGGAGATGTCAGGTGCCAACTTGGAGTCCAGAAATCTCCATGTGGTCTGGAGTATACCTTCAGTATACCTGAAGGAGCGTCTCCACCCCCATCGTTCTGCCCGGACGCTGAGGTCCAACGCTGAGGGCCTTCTGGCGGTTCCCTCACGGCGAGAAGCCAAGTTACAGGGATCCAGGCAGAGGGCCTTCTCGGTAGTGGCACGCCCTGTGGAACACCCTCCCACCAGATGTCAAAGAGAACAACTACCTGACATTTAGAAGACATCTCCTAAACTTCAGGGAAGTTTTTAATGTGTGACATTTTAGTGTATTTTTGGTCTCTGTGGAAGCCGCCCAGAGTGGCTGGGGAAACCCAGCCAGATGGGCGGGGTACAAATAATAAATTATTATTATTACTATTATTATTATGGTCGCAATTGGACCCACGCCACTTGCAAAACGCACCTGGGAAATTTTTAACACTGCTCCCTGGCAGACTCAAGGGCCCCTGTGACTCCAACCGTTGCACCGGAGGGAGACACAGGTGGGTGCCGAGTCTCACTGCCCCCCTTTATCTCATTGGATGCATTTATATTCTCCCGTTCGGCCGAGGCGCTCAAGGCAGGTTACAACTCAAAATGCAATAAAACAAATAAATGGTTCAAAGTATTAAACGCCAAGACTCCTCTCAGGCTGACGGATGGTTCTCTTCACGGGAGCCCATGGCGAGCGCTCCCTGAACAGTCACATTAAACTGCTGCTTAGAACAAACCACGGTTCAATGTGAACAAGGAAGTCGCCTTCTCGACTTTGCAACACACACACCTCCTTCAAGGGAGCCGGAGCAGAGCGCAAGGAGTCGTTCCAGTTTAGCTTCGCAAGAATTCCAGCGGCAATTCAGCAAGAGTCATGGTTCTGCGAGGACTGGAACTCAGGTCCAACAGTATCACTGCGTCCTCACAGTGCCGCGACACAAAACACAGTGGGACCTTGGTTTAAGAACAGCTTAGTTTACGAACAATTTGGATTAAGAACGCTGCAAACCCAGAAGTAGGTGTTTTGGTTTGTGAACTTTGCCTTGGAAGCAGAACATGTTCTGCTTAATGATGAGTGTGTTCCACGTGTAAATTGAGTCCCCTGCTGCTATGGGAATGGTTTAAGAACGCTTTGGTTTAAGAACAGACTTCCGGAACGGATTAAGTTCGTAAACCAAAGTACCACTGTACTGCCCGGTCTGAAAATCACCACTGGGCATGGCTACTGGGTAGCAGAGGAGCCCCCGTTTCCTAGCAATCCTGGAAAACCCAGCCCCACACCAGGGCAAATGGCTAGAAAGCAAAGTTTGATAGAAAGCAGAATTTGATGTATAGCGCTCTTCATGGGCGGACTCAGAGCAAAAACACGCTCCTGTGCAAAGAAGGAGCGGTTTAGAAACAAAACATAAAAGTAATCCATTAACAACTTGGTTCTGTCAAGATGCCAGCAAAGCAGACAGGGTAATGTTATGTATACTTTGCTTGCTGCTCAATTGGCACAGAGTTTCACAAAATATGCATCATAACAAATCCCTTCTTCTGCCTCCACCAGGTGCCTTGGTTTCCATACAACCACGGAGTCGTTGTGAAGAAAGTTGGTGTAAATTTTAATTTGTTTCGGTACTGTAACTTTTTGTACACTTTGATATTGTTGCCATTTTTTCTCCATTTCTCTTTTTGCAAACTGCTTTGAGGTTTTTTGTTAAAACAAACAAGCAGTGCACATGTTTTATGACACAAAGAAACAAACCTAACTTAACTGGGACATCTTCTATACGAGAGCCAGTCTTGCTCTGAATGTTACATAGCGGTTCTCAAACTTTTTTTTCTCTGAGCCATACTTGCAGAACAAAAATTTGCTCGTGCCACACTGATTTTTTAATAGACAAGAAATCACAAAAAGCAGCAGCTCCTAGCAGTGCTTGGTTTAGAACACGGAAGACTTTCTAATATGATCATGGGGAATCTAGTAAGTATGAAACAATGCAGCTAACACAAGAAAAGGAGCAATTCCCAAAATATAATACTGAATATTGTCCTCGAATATTCCTGCCACATTTCCCATCCTCTCCTGCCACACCAGGGTGGAGAAGCCCTGCTCTAGCACGAGCCGGGAGAAGCGTAACTTGGCCGTGTTTCGTGATAGAGCCCGTTTAGTTTGGGGTGGCAAAACGTGCTTCCCCCCATCGCTGGAGTTAGCAGGGGCAATTTTAGCCATCATTGCAATGGTATCCCCATTTGGGCGAAAGGGGGGGGGGACTTGGGGACAGGAGGCCCAGCGTGACGTCCTCTAAAAGGCGTGCCAAGGCAAATTTTACTTTTGTGTTGTATTCTGTGAACTGCCCCATGATCTTTTGACGAAGGGTGACATGTAGAATTAATAAATACAGAGGTACCCTGGTTCTCAAATGCCTTGGTTCTCAAACGCTGAAAACCTGGAAGTGATCCGGTTTTCAAATGTTTTTTGGAAGCTGAACGTCTGATGTGGCTGTCGGTTATTGTTTCCGGGGTGCCTGCACCAATTAGAAGCTGCACCTTGGTTTTCGAACATTTCGGTAGTCAAACGGACTTCTGGAACAGATTAAGTTTGGTGCTTTTGCTTTTTAATTTGCGTTTTTGTTTTCGAGGCTTTTTCAGTTAATTTGTTTTTGTGACTGTGTGGAAGCCAGTTCAGCTACTGATTGATTGATTGATTGATTGTGTGACTGCGGAAATGGATAAAAGCCCCCCCATCCAAACAATGACTATCATCAGTACAGGTAAGAAAAAATAATAAATTTCATTTTCATCATCTGCAATACTGTCTTATTTATTTTGTAATACAGTACATTGAATATTGCTTTCATTTTATGGATCAGTGGTCTCGTTAGGTAGTAAAATTCATGTTAAATTGCTATTTTAGGGGTTGTTTTCTTAAAGTCTGGAATGATTAATTCGTTTTGCATTACCTTCTATGGGAAAGCGCGCCTTGGTTTTGGAACGCTTTGGTTTTGGAACCGACTTCCGGAATGGATTAAAGTTTGAGAACCAAGGGACCACTGTAATAATAAAGGAGCCGCATTTGCGCTGCTTGCCTAAAGTCTCTGCAGCGCTAGCCGCCTCTTCATTGCCCTGACCCACCAAAATGACAGGCCTTTCTCTCGCTTTGCGCATCAAACACGTGAGCATAGACTGATGGGCTCCTTTTGGGGGGGAAGCGCCCTCAAACTGGTCCCGCAATGGCGATTTGGTGCGGAACAGCAAAGCTCCTCCTTACCTGATCGTGCCGGTGGGAGAGGGCAGGGGGCTGACCAGGCTTCGGAGGTCCGGCTCCGGAATGTGGATCTTAAGCGGCGATATCTGGGGGTAGAGCGGCCGAAGTGGAGGCGACGAGGCTGCTTCCTTCGCCTCCTCTCTGTGGTAGAGCGATGTGAACTGTATCTTGATGATTGTGCTGGGGAATCGAATAGTACACCTGGGGGAGAGGAAGGAGAGGGAGAAAAAAGAGTCAAACGGCCTGCAAAACGTTAAGGGCCAATGGTTCGAGACACGCAGCGAGGAGAGAGTCAAAACGGCTGGTTTTCTAAGTCCCGCAGAAAACAAAGTCCTTCTGCACACAACACGTAAACCATGGAACTCCCTGTTGCAGGAGGGCTGTCAGGGGCTACAACTCCCATTAGCGCCAGCCAGCACGGCTAACTGTCAGGGGATTTGGGAGTTGTAGTTTAGGACCATTTCCAGGGCAGCGTTAGCAACTCAAGATGTATCAGCTGGGAGCGAAATGGCAACTTAAATCAAGGTCGCCACAACAGAATGCCTATTTACCCAGGGGGTGGGTGAGTGGGTATTTATTTTTGTAATTTGTATACCACCCTATACCTGTAGATCTCAGGGTGGTTGGACTAGATGTCCCCCAGGATCCCTTCCAACACTATATTTCTCCGATTCTACGATTTAAACTACATTGCTTGTACATCGCTCGCTCTTACAACAATTCACTTGTACGCAAGGAGAAACACGCACTGTGGAAAAACGGAAATGTTATTAACTATGGACTAAGTCAGGGGTTTCTAAACGGCGGGCGCAAACCTGGCACCCAGAAATCTCCACGCAGTTGCAGCTGGACCCGTGCCGGTAGGAAAACGTGCCTGGGAAATTCCAAATACTGGTGCCACCCTATAATCTATAATCACGCCAACTAACAGCATCTCTCCAGGGGCTCAAGCGGGGGTCTTTCCCAGCCCGACCTGCAGGGGCCGATGAAAAAATTTGGGACCTTCTGCGAGCAAAGCAGAAGGTGGCACTATCATCATCATCATCATCATCATCGTTACAGTCATACCTCGGGTTACAGACGTTTCGGGTTGCGCGATTTTGGGTTGTGCACCGCGCCAAACCCGGAAGTACCAGAATGGGTTATTTCCAGGTTTCAGCGCTTGTGCATGCACAGAAGCACTAAATTACGCTTTGCGCATGCACAGAAGCACCGAATCGCAACCCGCACGTGTGCAGACGCAGTGCTGCTGTTCTCAAATGCTGCGGGTTGCAAAAGTGCTTCCAGCACGGATCACGTTCGCAACCCAAACGTCCACTGTAATAAATTTATTAAATTTATATACTGCCCTATACCCTGAGGTCTCAGGGCAGTTCACAGCATAAAATCAAAATATAAAACCACAAAATATATAGTCAAAATAAAAACAACGCAATAACCCCACCACCACCACCATCAAGCCAGGGCCCGTGCCCTAATGAAACACACCAAAACAAAAGGGCTTTCCTCCTCATGCCTTGTGCAGGTTGCTTTGCTCATGTCGACTGCAAGGTCCCAACTGCAAGGGAAGCCTTCTGCATGATCACCTGGGCTGGGCTGAGCAGCCCCCCTGCAGCGATGAGATGTGCTCCATTCGCACATCAGGACCCCAAAACGCATCTGCAAAGGTGCACCCTTTGCAAACCGCTGCCGGAGCGTCACTGGTGCCGGGTTCCCCCAGTGGGTCGGCCAGGCCAAAGCAACCCGTCCCAAAGTCACAGATGCATCTTCTCCTCTGTACAGTAGTACCTTGGTTCTCAAACGCCTTGGTACTCAAACAACTTGGAACCCAAACACTGCTAACCCCAAAGTAAGTGTTCTGGTTTGCAAACGTTTTTTGGAAGCCGAATGTGCTCTGTTTTGAGTGTTACGCTTCCAATTTGAGTGCCACACTTCTGTTTTGAGTGTTACGCTGAGGTCTGTCTGTTTTTGCTATTTAGTTTGTTTCTCTGCCTGTGTGGAACCCAGTTCAGCTACTGATATTTTGACTGTGTGACTGTGGTGCATTGTCTATTGATTTCATTTTATGGATCCATGGTCTTGTTAGATAGTAAAACCCATGTTAGGGACGCGGGTGGCGCTGTGGGTTAAACCACAGAGCCTAGGACTTGCTGATCAGAAGGTCGGCGGTTCAAATCCCCGCGACGGGGTGAGCTCCCGTTGCTCGGTCCCTGCTCCTGCCAACCTAGCAGTTCAAAAGCACAAAGTGCAAGTAGACTGATAGGTACCGCTCCGGCGGGAAGGTAAACGGTATTTCCGTGCGCTGCTCTGGTTCGCCAGAAGCGGCTTAGTCATGCTGGCCACATGACCCAGAAGCTGTACGCCGGCTCCCTCGGCCAATAAAGCGAGATGAGCGCTGCAACCCCAGAGTCGGCCATGACTGGACCTAATGGTCAGGGGGCCTTTTACCTTTTTTAAAACCGATGTTAAATTGCTGTTTTAGGGGTTGTTTCTTAAAGTCTGGAATGGATTAATCCGTTTTGCGTTACTTTCTCTGGGAAAGCACACCTTGGTTTTGGAACGCTTTGGTTTTGGAACGGACTTCCAGAATGGATTAAGTTTGAGAACCAAGGTACCACTGTTCTCCGTACAGCGGTGGAATAGCCAGAGGAGCTCCACCCGCTCTCACAAGCAAGGAATTGCCAGTAGGCACACCCTCCACCCAGCGTGGCACAGCAATTAGTAGAGGAACCATTCACCTCTGACCCCAGTGCATAGCCATCGTTCTGCAAAATGAACCCCGGCTCCCCAATTTGTCTCGAAGAAGCTTGCTCAGCAGCTCGGGAGCTGAGCGTGGCAAGAGTTTTATTGTGCCCCGAAATCACGTCAAGGAAAGGGCCCATGAAATGGAAAATAAACTTCCTCAGTCACTGCCTGGCTGCTCTCCATCTATCCTTCTGCGGTGAGCTCCCTTGCCCTCCGCAGCAAATTTGCCGGGGGCTTTCGGACTCACGGTCAGTATGCTGTTAGCGCCACTCATATGGCTGGGGGAATGAGAAGGCCGGGCTCCCGGGGGCAACCCCTGCAAAAATGGGAGCAGGCGGCAGAAAGCTCAACACGCCGCAGCCGAGTTTGACCTACAAGCTTTTGCTGAATTGCCGCTCACCGTTTCTAAGCTTTTTATTCGCTCCGCAGCCTCCTTCCAAGAACGCGAAAGCTTTATCGTCCGTGCTGAGTGTCGTCGCAGCCTAAGGTTCTGAGCCTGTAAAAACTCAGCCATTGCTTTGTGTGATAAAATAAGTCCCCCCCCCGCCACATTTTTGCGCTGGACTGCCTCACAATATGACAAGCGACAATGGAGCTGTTTGTTCCACACCATCAGCAAGCAGCCCAGGTTTGCCTCTGCAGTTGGGAAGAAGCTAAAGAACCCTGCACTCACTTGAACCTTTTTCTCGGCTTTTTCCAGCAGCAAAGCAGGAACGAGCTCGGCAAGTTTTCGCAGCCTCCACCAGGCACCTTGGGATCAATACATCACCGCTCTGTGAAATCCCCTCGCATAACCTGCATTCCCCAACAAACCAAAACACTCCACCTGCTTTTTGCTCCAGGGAAGGCTACACCATTTCGGCGGACATTCTCCCAGCCAGCAGTTATGTCCGATGGCAACCGGCCACACAGACCTCAAACGTGCTATAAGGACGGGCCGTTATGATGGACGTTGTAGCATACAAGTCAATTTTCGGCGGGCGCATTTTTCTCACCGCCAAGACGGCTGGCAGCGCATTGCCAAGGTTACGGCTACCTGTCTACGTCTCTCTTAACAGCAGCCTCTTAAAGGGATGTGAGATCACAATTGCAGCTCAGAGAGACGCTCCGGGGTGGAAGGAGCAGCAGTCGCCGTCGTGAGTGGAAGTGCCAAGAGCACAACTCCCATTTCTCGGGCTCACCATTGTTTTCCGGGAAGCACTCTCATTCTGGCAGTTAAGAATAATGTTTCCAAATGGGGAAAAACCAAATTAAAACTCTTGAACACGCACGCCCACTCAACTCTGCCACCGTGGGCTCCTTCAGGAGGAAGTGCAGGATATAAATTCAAAAAATAAGTTACCGTATTTTTCCGTGCATAAGACAATGTATGTTTTTTTAAAAAATAATTTAAAAAAAATATTGGGGGGGTCATCTTATACACAGATAGTGCAGAGGGGGGACGGGTAACTGGTGACAGCGGCGAGCAGGAGATTGTCAGCAGTGATGGGGGGGGGGAGATTGGTGGCTGCGGCAAGGCGTGCGATTGGCAGCGGCAGACAGGCGAGTCATTGTCAGCAATCCACCCTCCGAAAGCTCACCAACTCTGAGCAATCTGCCCCATTTCCTTAATGGGGTTGTTCCACAAATGGAGAGCCACTGCAGAAAAGGCCCCGTTCTCATGTTGCCACCCTCCACACCTCTCGTGGGGCAGGCCCCCAAAGAAGGTCCTCAGATGAACATTGCAGGGTCCGGGCCGATCGAAAATACCACTCTACCCTCAACATCCAAAATTTAAAAGCTCACAGAAGATTAATACACGCCTAAAACTTGAAGAGCGTCATAATAAACATTTGAGGCTAATGGAATTTTTAAAATTATTTTTTAAAAATGCAATTACTTTGCTGTCTTTCCCCCTTAATTTCAAAAGAATGCATGTTCACCCAAAAAACGTCATTCGTTTTCAACTGCTGCAGTGGAGGGGGGAAATGAACAAACAGACAAACAAACAAAAACAAACAAACCCTGTTCCTAATAACAATAGTAAAGGAGAATAGTAGAAAGAAAAAAAAGGATTCCTTTGTGAATCCCTTCTGTAAAACATCCGAAATTCAACAGCAGCTGCCAAGAATGCATGAATAACACGAGGCTGTAAAGAAAAAGAATAGCAGCGTTTGAAAGCTAGAGATCAGAGAAGACGGGAGAAATACCAGAATTAAAAAAAAATAAAATCAAGAGAAGTGTACGGCTGTGGGAAAAGAATAAGCAGACTGCAAACAAATCAACAGAGGGGGAAATAAGACTTGGGGCCTCTCCTCCGCCTCAGGCTTTCTTTTTTAAAAGAACACCTTTTCACAGTTCGCCGGGCGATAGGCGCTGTAAACAAGGCCGTATAAATAGGAAGGCTTCCATAAATCACCGCGGAACTGTAAATTCTGGAGACGTCTTGCATTGCTCAATCCCTGAAAATATTTGCACTATCGGAGCTTGTTTACACGCTCGAAAGATCCAGAGGCCAGTTTGGAAGGTTGTTCTCTTGACACAATAATCCTGGCTGGGCTCACATTGGGTTTTTTTTCCCCCTACAAATGGCTGTGCCCCTTTGCTAACCGTCTCTGGGCGTTCACGTAGCAGGGCACCCCCACCTCCACTCGGGTTTTCCCACGCAATCTCCTGTGCAAGTTGCTTTACTGAAGTCCAGTGCCGAGAGCCTTCTGGCAGTTCCCTCCCTGCGAGAAGCAAAGCTACAGGGAAGCAGGCAGAGGGCCTTCTCGGTGGTGGCGCCCGCCCTGTGGAACGCCCTCCCACCAGATGACAAAGAGAACAGCAACTACCAGACTTTTAGAAGACATCTGAAGGCAGCCCTCTTTAGGGAAGCTTTTAATGTTTAATAGACTACAGTGGTACCATGGGTTACATACGTTTCAGGTTACATACGCTTCAGGTTACAGACTCCGCTAACCCAGAAATAGTACCTCGGGTTAAGAACCTTGCTCCAGGATGAGAACAAAAATCACGCAGCAGCAGCAGGAGGCCCATTAGCTAAAGTGGTGCTTCAGGTTAAGAACAGTTTCAGGTTAAGAACGCACCTCAGGAATGAATTAAGTACTTAACCCGAGGTACCACTGCATTCTATTTTAATATTTTGTTGGAAGCCGCCCAGAGTGGCTGGGGAAACCCAGCCAGATGGGTGGGGCATAAATAATAAATTATTATAATTACAGTGGCACCTTGGGTTAAGTACTTAATTCGTTCCGGACGTCCATTCTTAACCTGAAACTGTTCTTACCCTGAAGCACCACTTTAGCTAATGGGGCCTCCCGCTGCTGCTGCACCGCTGGAGCACGATTTCTGTTCTCATCCTGAAGCAAAGTTCTTAACCCGAGGTAATATTTTTGGGTTAGCAGAGTCTGTAACCTGAAGCGTATGTAACCTGAAGCATATGTAACCCGAGGTACCACTATATACAGTGTCCCAAAATTCTCTTAAATTTGGAATCTCTTTTCTTGCAACTGGAATCTCTTGTGTTGAGTCCCAGCCTCTGGAGAAGCAACTACCAGCCCCATCTTCCACCCAGGAGCCCTTCAGATATTTGAAGATCACCTCTATCTTCTCTTCTCCAGACTAAACCTCCCTCAACCGTTCCTCGTAAATATTTTTAATATCACTGACGTCTTCCATTGTTGCACCTCGGCCTGGGACCTTAGGTAATATAATTCCCATGATAAGAATCAGTCTGTTCCTTCACAGCCAAACCATCCATGAAGCTGTTGTTGAAACATTGGCAGGTCCAAGAATGACCCCTGCGGAATCTCTCAGCGGAAAATGCTTCCTGGTTTAGTAGGTTAATGACTCCCTATTTTGGCGCAAGGTTGCTGTGAAGCATACAAATCAATATGCCTAACCTGATCCAAAACACCCACCCACCCCATTCACACACAAAAACAAAGATCACCACAGCTAACCACAAACAAACAACCACACCTTGGCCAACCTCAACCTCTCTCACCACCAAAGGAACACAAGTGAACAGCACAAGCAACGCTGACACCAAACCCTACACACATTAAGCATAATAGAAACATCGCCACCCGACCCCCCCACCCATCTTCCCTCCCTCCACCTCTCCCCCCCCTCTTTTTCTTTCTTCTCCCCCTAATGAAACGGATTTGTAAAAATGTTACATGGAAAAAATACGAGGCATTACACTTACTTCTGTAAAACAAGAAAATCTATAATTAAAAAAAATAAAATAAAGCGCTTTAAGACCCGGGGGGGGGGGGGAAGGTTGCTGTGGGGCAGTTTAATTAAACCCCATGGTGAAATTAGGGAGCAGACTGTAGGAAATGCATCCTTCTCAAGATCCACCTTATTTTGCAGAGTGAGGACCAGGGCAAACCAGACATCCCAGCCAGATGGGCAAGGTATAAATAAATAAATTAATAATAATAATAATAATAATAATAATCCTGGAAAGGTTGCTTGCACTTTCAATTGCATCCTGAGACAACGCAAACCCACAAACACATGTGCAAATGCGCCCCATGACTTTTGACAGAGACTCTACTGCTGCCCCCATTAAAAACCATTTTTTAAAACACAGGCTGGACAGCAGGTCCACATGGATACAGAACTGATGGATACTGCAACCGACTTAAATCCACCCATTTCCATTAGTCTACTCGTGAGTGGGACTATCATTTTACCTCAACCCCCCCCCCGCCAAAAAAACCAGGTGGAACATTAATCTAAGAAAATAAATATTGGGTTTGTTCCTGCTGAAAGATCCTTGAAATATTAAATGGTATATAAATGCTTTTAAATCAATCAATCAATCAATACACCAAAGAAGCAAAAGGTACAAATTCCTTTTACAGTCGTACCTTGGTTCCAGAACGCCTTGGTACTCGTACGTTTTGGCTCCTGAACGCTGCAAACCCGGAAGTGAGATTTCTGGTTTGCGATTGTTTTTCGGAAGCCGAACATCCAAAGCGGCTTCTGATTGAGAGCAGGAAGCTCCTGCAGCCAATCGGGAGCTGTGCCTTGGTTTTCGAACGTTTTCGGGAGTCGGATGAACTTCCGGAACGAATTACGTTCGAGAACCGAGAGGTATGACTGTACTGGCCTATTAGGTGTTAGCAGTTAGGCAACCACTAGGAGCCTGATGCTGATTTCAAAGGGGGGGGGACCTGAAGACCCCATCATTACCCCCAGCCTCCAGAAGACTGAGATATGCAGCAGAGTGAGGTCCCCCAAATCCCACAACAGACCACCTCACTGATTTGCTTCTGTCATTAATCACGCTGAGTTTTAATATTACAGGAAGTGAGCTGTGCATGTTCCATGCCTCCAGCAAACAGATCAGGGCCGGCCTTGTTGTTGTTTAGTCGTGTCCGACTCTTTGTGACCCCCCTGGACCAGAGCATGACAGGCACTCCTGTCTTCCACTGCCTCCCGCAGTTTGGTCAAACTCATGCTGGTAGCTTTGAGAACACTGTCCACCCATCTCGTCCTCCGTCGTCCCCTTCTTCTTGTGCCCTCCATCTTTCCCAACATCAGGGTCTTTTCCAGGGAGTCTTCTCTTCTCATGAGGTGGCCACAGTATTGGAGCCTCAGCTTCAGGATCTGTCCTTCCAGTGAGCACTCGGGGATGATTTCCTTAAGAATGGAGAGGTTTGATCTTCTTGCAGTCCATGGGACTCTCAAGAGTCTCCTCCAGCACCATAATTCAAAAGCATCAATTCTTCAGCGATCAGCCTTCTTGATGGTCCAGCTCTCACTTCCATGCATCACTACTGGGAAAACCAGAGCTTTAACTGTACGGACCTTTGTCAGCAAGGTGATGTATCTGCTTTTTAAGATGTCTGTGGCCTTGATAACAGCACATGACACCCAAGTCTCGTCTAAGCCTGAAGGGGAAGGAGGGGGACCCCCAAAACCCCTCCCCACAGCAAAGTGCAAAGCAGTTTGCTTGCTCCCCCCTCCCCTCTTTTGCATTCCAGTTACAACATTTTTGCTCCATCTGGCAAAAATATATTTGGGCTCTTGGAGCGATGCTAAGCCTAGAAAGCACTCAGGCTGGCAGGATCCTCTCTGCCAAGTCCCCAAAAGGACCAAAAATAGCAAAGCTCAAAGGAAGCTCTTGTGGCCAAACACGACAATGGTGCCGGCGGTCAGGCAACACGTGCGAAGGATTCAGCTAAGCAGGACTCCTGCTTGTTAGCTAGGATTTGACGTATTAAAATAACTCCTTGGCACACTCTCCCTCTGAATCCCTCCTGAATAAATCGGCCTTTTTTGTGTGCACGCAAAGCCCTGAGGCAACTCCTTCCTCCATCCAAACAAAGCCGGAATATATGCATTTGTTTCTGCTTCATATTTGCTAGTCAAATTGCTCCAAATTCAGACTGCAAGAGCTCCAGGGGCAGGGTGCTATCCTGGCGCCAAGGCTGCTCTAGGAAGCACCGTGTTGCGCAATTCTTTGCGGATGAGCTGGTTGCTTTTTCATCCCGAATCCTGTCCGGGACTCAATAGGGAGAAACCGGATGTTGTCTCCAGATTCACAAAGCTGCGAGCATAATGCACACTCAGGAATTGCCTGCACCGCGCAAAGCTGGGCCTTGAATACTGGGTGCACCCACGAGGGCGCTGCCAATAATAGTAATAGTAATAGTAATAGTAATGATGATGATGTTCCAACAGAACATTAAAAACACAATAAAACATCAAACATTAAAAACTTCCCTAAACAGGGCTGCCTTCAGATGTCTCCTAAATGTCAGATAGTTGTTTATTTCCTTGACATCTGATGAGAGGGTTTCCACAGGGCGGGCGCCACCACCAAGAAGGCCCTTTGCCTGGTTCCCTGTAACCTCACATCTTGCAGGGAGGGAACTGCCAGAAGGCCCTTGGAGCTGGACCTCAGTGTCTGGGCAGAACGATGGAGGTGGAGATGCTCCTTCGGGTATACTGGGCTGAGGCCGTTTAGAGCTTTCAAGGTCAGCACCAACACTTTGAATTGTGCTCGGAAACGTACTGGGAACCAATGTAGGTCTTTCAGGACCGGAGTTATATGGTCTCGGCGGCCACTCCCAGTCACCAGTCTAGCTGCCGAATTCTGGATTAATTGAAGTTTCCAGGTCCCCTTCAAAGGTAGCCCTACATAGAGCGCATGGCAGTAGTCCAAGCGAGAGATAACTAGAGCATGCAACACTCTGGCAAGACAGTCTGCCCACTCTTATGTGTGGCCAAAAATTGTAAGCACAGGAGAGGAGGAGACACGGCAAGCGTTATGTGCCCTGAACACCACCTCAGACTTGCAAGAGGCCCTGTAGGACCTGGAAGAGACCAGGGTTCAAATTCCAACTTGGCCATGAAGCTCCCTTAGCAATATCCCTGGCAGGAGGCAGTCAGGGCATATGTGCAATGCCCAACCCCTGCTAGACCGTCTCCACCCCCATCTTTTGGCCCGGACACTGAGGTCCAGCTCCAAGGGCCTTCTGGCAGTTCTCTCACGGTGAGAAGGAAAGTTACAGGGAACCAGGCAGAGGGCCTTCTTGGTGGTGGCGCCCACCCTGTGGAACGCCCTCCCATCAAGGAAATAAACAACTGTCTGACATTTAGAAGACATCTGAAGGCAGTGTTGTTTAGGGAAGATTTTTAATGACTGATGTTTTAATGTATTTTTAATCTCCTGTTGGAAGCTGCCCAGAGTGGCTGGGGAAACCCAGCCGGATGGGTGGGGTATACTATATCATCATCATCATTTGGGAGTGGGCATGCCTGTTTTTTGCCTGCAAAGGTAGAGCACAGTAGATATCTGCATGTGGACACACGGCTTTGCAAACACTGGGTACAATAAACCTTGCCTTCACGTTCTGTTGGTGTCATTGTTGGAAGCTGGAGAAAGTCAACATTTCGCCAGCTGGTTTCAGGCAGCATGGGGAGTCAGGAAACAAACGCGAGAGAATCGTTTCCCGCACCGCAAAAACGTACAAAAAGCTGCTCAAAGCATGTCAACATTACGCGTCCAGGGGAATCGGGAGAAAAACAGCCTGGAAAGATCAAAGTCTGCTAGCAGATCATTTAGGCTTAAACGCTTGGCTGCAAATACAGAAAAGCCACTGCGATGCAGAATTCTGCAAAATCATTAATGTGACAATGTACTGTTTCGCTGCGAGGGGCCTTTTTGTGTGACCATGGCCAGAAGACACCCAGGGATCTGGAAGGCGTAGCAGTTAAGCATGTCCGACTACGACCTGGGAGACGGGTTCAAATTCCCATACTCGGTCACAAAGCTCACCGGGCGACCTGGGGGGCCAGTCGCCGTCTCTCAGCCTGACCTACCTCACAGGGTTGTTGTAGGATCAAATGGGGGGGGCACGTACGCCACCTTGAGATCCGTGGAGGAAAAAGGTGGGATGGCAATGCAACAAACAGATGAAAATAAATAGTCAAGCCTTGCACATTTACAAGCGGTCTTTGCAGAATCAAACCGTGGGGTATTCAATCCGGACTTCAACAACCTGTGCCGTCCAGATGTCTTAGACCACAACTCCCATGGATCCTAGCTTGTGGCGTTGTGCTGGCTGCAGTTCATGGGAGTTGGCGGTCTAACAACAACAACAACAACAACAACAACAACAGCTTATTATTGCCTGCTGAGGGCCTGAAGGACCCTGCCCTTGCCTCTTTCCACTGGGCTTGGGACGGGGCCTTACAGGCTGCACAAGGACTGCAGCTGCTTTTAAACTGTTTTTAATTTTTACCTGTGTTGTTTTAAATGAGACCATCTTGGTTGTGAGCCCTGGAAGACCTGCGCCCTGCCTTGCCGGCCCTTTCCCATCTGGCCTGGGAGAGTGGAGTGCAGACTGACTCCAGCTACAAAAGCTGAACCTGTTAAACAGATTCTCAGACTGGAGTATTGTTTCCCGGGGGGTTGAGAGAGCTTGTTGCTGTTATTGATATTATTGTTGTATCCATAGTTTTCGATCTTACAATTGATGTGGAAATTGTTTCCACTTGTTATATACTTTTTGATGTGTTTGATTGATTGTTTATGACTTCTGTTATGTTTGTAATTCTGTAAATCTTGTCATGTTGTAAGCCGCCTTGAGCACACAGTGGTACCTCGGATTATGTTACCTTCGGGTAACATAATTTCGAGTTACAAACGAGGCAAACCCGGAAGTTTATACTTCCAGGTTTCAACGCACGCAAATGTGCAGAAGTGCTCTATTGCGCCGCGTACGTGCAGAAGTGGCGACTCTGAATATGGACTTTTCGTGGTAAGTACGGACCCCCTGGGACAAATTAAGTTTGCATCCGGAGGGTCCACTGTAGTTTCAGCTATGGGAAGGCGGCATACAAATCAAATGTTGTTGATGATGATGACTTATACCCTGCCCATCTCAAGAGTCTCTCATTAAAATAGGCCAGAAGCTGTTATTGCAGACCCCGATTGCAATCTATGTTCTTGTGCCATTAGAGAGAGAAAAGGAGGAGGACCAGGGGTCGGCAAACTTTTTCAGCAGAGGGCCGGTCCACTGTCCCTCAGACCTTGTGTGGGGGCCGGACTACATTTTGAAAAAAAAAGATGAACAAATTCCTATGCCCCACAAATAACCCAGAGGTGCATTTTAAATATAAGCACACATTCTACTCATGTAAAAACATGCTGATTCCCAGACTGCCCGCAGGCCGGATTGAGAATGCGATTGGGTCAGATCCGGCCCCTGGGCCTAAGTTTGCCTACCCATGGTCTAGACGGGTGGGGATGAGGGACTGGGAAAGAGGAAAGCTGCAATGTTAACACACTGTTGTTAAACTGCACACCCTTCCACCCCAGTTATTAGAAAGGTTACAGGTTGTGTGAAGAAAGTCATTTGAGACTATCAACTTCCTGAACTGCGGGCGACATGCTCTCTCTTTTTGCTTCCACTCTGCTGTTTAACCAAGCAAGTAATAACTGTAATGTGTGGCCTTTTTCTTCCTCTTCTACAAATGCCACAAGTTATGTTCGTATTGGAAAAAAGAGAGAGTAAAAGTTACTAGAATAACATTACCAGTGCTTTCCAGAAGGGAAATAAGGTCCCCAAACCGAAGCAGAAAGATCGTTTGCAGAAAGACTTTGATTTCCACAAAGTTCTCCTCCTGTGTTGTGCAACTGCTGCAAAACTTAGCAGTCCTGGAAGTAACCTATTTATCTGGGCCACACAAAAGAAAAATGTGGCTTCAAACGACCATCCTTCTCAGCTGTCCAAACAAATAGTCTTCCCCCCATTATGTCACCGTATATTGTAGAATAAAGCAAAGCTTTCCATGAGACATTGTGCACACCAGATGCACAAAGGCTGTGAGGCTCAAGAACTCTCTTCTCATCACTCCACAAGATATGGCAGCGGCAAGGTTCACAGTCCTTTAAAAAATATCTTCCCTTTCTTGAGAACAGCAAACATTTACTTGTTGCCGAAGAGAAAAAGCAACAGGCAAATAAAATCCTGGGCTGGAGAAGAGGCCTGACAGCTTAGAGGGGCATGACAGCAAGCTAATACAATGCTAGCCTAGTCTGCACTTCGCACTAAGACAAACCTTTTATATATATATATATAATTTTTTGCAACATAGCTTTTATTCATTTTCATCTTTAAACTGTTTAACATGGTTGCACTGAGATATGTCTTTGTTTACATCAAAGCATGTGGCATGTAACAACTGCAAAAAATTGAATATAAATGACTCTAAAGACAAACGTTTCTGAATATATTAACAAAGTTGTGTCAGAATGTATATACAGTGGTACCTCAGGTTAAGTACTTAATTCGTTCCGGAGGTCCTTTCTTAACCTGAAACTGTTCTTAACCGAGAAGCACCACTTTAGCTAATGGGGCCTCCTGCTGCTGCCGCGCCGCCGGAGCACGATTTCTGTTCTCATCCTGAAGCAAAGTTCTTAACCTGAAGCACTATTTCTGGGTTAGAGGAGTCTGTTACTTGAAACGTATGTAACCTGAAGCATATGTAACCTGAAGTACCACTGTACCAAAATTACAGCTATTACAGTGGTACTTCGTGTTACAGACGGGATCCGTTCCAGAGGCCCGTCCATAACATGAAATGCCCGCAACTCGAAGCGCTGCATTTGCACATGCACGAGGTACAAATTGACGCTTCTGCGCATGCGCGATTTAACGCTTCTGCGCATGCAGTGAAACCCAGAAGTAACCCGTTCCGGTACTTCCAGGTTGCCGCGGGACATAACGCGGAAAGACGCAACATGAAACGGACGCAACACGAGGTAGGACTGTACATGTATGCAATTACTTATAGTAACACATAGAAATGGTGCATACAGACCATAAGTTAAATGTATTTTGTATAGGAATTTGCAGGAAGGGGGAGGGGGGCAGGGAAATTGCCACTGGGAGCTGAACCTGGGCCCCCCTGGACGCAAGGCAGCTGGTCTACCTCTGAGCAGCATCCCTGCAAATTTCTGAATTCACTGAACCTTACATCTGTTTTGCATTTTCAGCGGTGCTGCTTTCCGGCTGGGTTTGCAAGCTGCAAAGGTATCTGGCGTAGATTCTTCCTGACATGGCTATGCAAAGTGGAATGAAGCCTGGGGCGATGTTTGGGAACCTCTGGCCTCAAGAAACCAAAGGCCTGATGCGCCAAAGGTTCTGGATACTCCTCCTACAAATACATAAAGAGATTGCCACAGGCCAATCCAAGATGAATGAGCATCATTCTCAACCTGAACAGGCCTTGTGTTTCATGCAGTGAAACATCGTCTTCCCTCCCCTTATCTCGCTCCACCCCCAATCAGGGTGGATAAAAATCAATGAATTTTTAATTTTTTAAAAAAAAATTCAGGTTTTTTTATTTAAATTGGATTTTTAAAATAAAATGCTTTTGGAGGAAAAATCTTCCTAAAGATAGTTTTCTATTTAAGTTACATTATAGTCCAAATGCTATTCATCAGGAAATAAGGATTTATTTTACGTTTTTCATGTGTACTAAAACTCAGTCTAAGTTGTTTAAAAACACCAACTGTTTAACCACATCAGTTAACAAACATGGATCCATATGCTATAATGTTATTGTTTTAGTTAAATAAATTGTTTAAATTGTTATTAAGGAAATGGAACAGGTTACACTGGGATGTGACAGGTTCTACTTTTCTGGAGGGCCTCTAACTTGGGGAAGCTGTAATTGCAAGACTCCTGTCATTGCAGATTCTGCACTCTGATCAAGGGAAGGGAATAGATGGCTATTCAGATTTCTTCCCTGGGTCCAGCGCTGAGAGATCTCCTGCTCCGGGGTGCCTTTTAGGGTCTCACGAAACGCAGCCAAGGCACAATATCATTTGTGTAGTTGCTTCTGGCAGCAAAAGCAAAGCTTCTCCATTTGAGACAAACTGCTACTGCAGACTTTTCCCCCAAAAAAAGTTTTTATTCATTTTATAACACAAATAAAAAACACAGACAGAAAAGACAAACAATACGAACAAATTCTTGTCATATCCTTATTTTTCTAAACATTGTTAAATTGGCTTCCCCAAGTCCGGCCTATCTGATTTTCATTTTACTTCATCTTTAGCCGTTTACATATATCATAATTTCTAACCATCTTTTTTTAAAATCATACTTAAAATAACTTCACATTTTATCACTTACAAATAATATTTTAAAATACCCTATCTTCTACTTCTAACCCTACAGCCTATATCCACTTCCAAAGCTATTCTGTTTAAATATTAACATATTTTTTCATATATTCTTTAAACTTCTTCCAGTCTTCTTCCACCGTCTCTTCTCTCTGGTCTCGGAGTCTCCAGGTCAGTTCGGCAAGTTCCATATAGTCCATCATCTTCATCTGCCATTCTTCGATAGTTGGTAAATCTTGTTTCTGCTACTGCAGACTTTCAAGGGCCTTTTGAGGCTCAGGGTTAGGCAAGGGAAGGGCAGGAATATTTTTGCACAATTGGGTTAAAGTGTTTTTGTTTACCCGTAACTCACTGCCTATTATCTACTCAGACGCACGAAGGCGTCCTTGCAAAGAGGTGCCCCCAGCTTCACAGTTCCATAGGAGGGAGCTGCTATTTCTTTGGAGGTCGGCTGCGGAAGAAAAGAGCCACTAAAGCAGAACAGAAGGGATACAGACATCAAAGGAGTTGATCAATAAATGGATTAGAAGCTTTAGTTGATTTAAGGGCAAACTTGCTTCTTGCTTTGCGGCTCTTTCTGTTCTGGTGTGTAAATACACAGCAGGTAACAAGAACGACAACAAAAACAAACATTATTTCTACCGGCCAAGTGGCAGGTCTTTATTAAGCCTCGAGTCATCTGAAAAAGGCACCTATATTGAGATTTCGATAACAGGACGTTTATTTGATCAATTGGCCCAGAGGCAGATCAACAAAGCACGGCTTTTAATCAGTTGCCATCCTTGCACAGGCCTTATACCAAGATAGTTTAAGGGAAAGGATGGAGTTCAGCAGTGGAGCAACTCTGTTTTGCATGCAGATGGTTCCAGGTTCACTGTCCAGCAACTCCAGGTAGAACTGGGAATATACGCTGTCTGAAGTCCTGAAAAGCCGACTCCGTGCAGGCAACGCTGGGCCAAGGTCAGGAGCCGGAATCATGAGCAGGTCCGCAATAAAAAACACTGGTGTCTGTGAAGTTAGCTCTTTTTTCAAGTAAACCAAAGCAGCGCAGGCCTAGTGGTCACAGCAACTCTTCCTACTAGGTCTTGCTCCAATGAGGCAGTGGCAAGGCCTGAAGGCCCTGCCTTCCCACTGCTCCCTAGGTCTCCTCCCAAGCAGCCCAAGGCGCCACCGTCTTGTCTCTCGTTGCTCTTCTCACTTCATCTCTTTCTTCATGTTCTGGGAGATCAGGGGAGAAGGGAGCTGGTCGCAGCAGGAGGGTGAGACTCCCTGGATTCTTCAGCCTTTCTCCACTCTGGACCTCCTCTGCTTCTGCCTCTGACGCTAGCCTGCTCTCTGCCGCAGCCTCTTCCTGCTCACTAAACCCTGTTGCCTCTTTTGCACCTCCTCCTACCAGTCTGCTCCCCCTTCTCCCTTGGCGTTGTCCCACCATCACTCCTCAGGCTCTGAGCCTTCTTAATAATAAATAATCATCATTTTTTATTTATACCCCACCCTTCCCAGTTCAGAACACTGGGCTCAGGGCGGCAAACAACAAATTTTAAACACTTAATTGATGCAACCAAAAACAGCATAAAATACAGTATAAAATGTGAATAACAATAAATTCAGAATTCGAAAATCAATTTAGGGGGGAAATCCATTCAATAAACATTAGATGATCACCAGGGCTAGCTGGCTAAATTAGTCCTATTTGGCCCAGCGAGGAGACCAGGGAGAATTAGCTGTGGGATCCCAGAGCAGGTAAGCTTCATAAAAAGGGGAGGGAAGGAAAGGGAATAAAAGATCAGGCTAAGTTCAAATTGAAAGCCAGGCAGAATAGCTCTGTGTTACAGGCCCTGCGGAAGGAGGTTCAATCCTGCAGGGCCCTGGTCTCATGAGACAGAGCATTCCACCAGGTCGGAGCCATCACTGAGAAGGCCCTGGCCCTGGTGGAGGATAGTCTGACTTCCTTAGGGCCCGGGACCTCTAAACTATGGGTATTCATGGACCTTAAGGTCCTCTGCGGGGCAGACCAGGAGAGGCGGTCCCGTAAATACGAGGGCCCTAAGCCACAAAGGGCTTTAAAGGTCAAGACCAGCACCTTAAACCTGACCCGGTACTCCACCGGGAGCCAGTGCAACTGGTAAAGGACTGGGTGAATATGCTCCCATGGCAGGGACCCTGTAAGGAGCCTCGCTGTGGCATTCTGCACCCACTGGAGTTTCTGGGACAGTTTCAAGGGCACTCCTGCGTAGAGCGAATTACAGTAGTCAAGCCTGGAGGTGACCGTCGCATGGATCACTGTGGCCAGGTCGGGGCGGGAAAGGTAAGGGACCAACTGCTTGATGCGGCAAAGGTGGAAAAATGTCGCCTTGGCTGTTGCTGTAACCTGCGCCTCCGTGGAAAGGGAGGCGTCAAGGATTACACCCAAACTCTTAATGGAAGGCAGGTATTACCAAAGTAAAGGCAGGCAGATTGGCAGATCTGGGTAACCTTTTAGCTTCCAGGAGCATGCCAGAGGTCATTGTTACGCTTTTAGTTGGCCCACCCTGAAAACAGAACTGCCTATTCTCGCAGATCACTGAAATCCTGCACAGGAAAAGTTCTGTTTAATAATAACCCCCTTGCAGGCTGAATTCTTGCATTCCAAATTTTAATTTGCGCACACCACCCCAGGAATACGACTGAAGGGTAGTATGAAAGTATCTACGGTTGCAAGACGGATCCCGCTTCCTCCCCAAAATACGGCCTGGAACCAATTTTTCAAGGGATTCGCCGTTCCCAGAACCAAATCGGAATCCACGAGCTCCCAGCAGTTCTTAACTGGGAACACCCGATGACTCACCAAAGGCCGTTACAGGAACCACTCTCCAAAAGACACACATCGTGGTCATTTGGCAGCCCCACGGGGCCTGTCTGCTCAGCGGCAGCAGGAGGAAACAGAAGAGGAGGAGCTGTAATTGCACCGCACGGCTGTGTCCGATTTCAAAATACCAGCATCGGTTTCATAACATTTCATTCATTCAGAACTGCGCTTGCTGGAGATGAGAGTCATCGCGGCCAGACAAAAGCCAGGAACTGCGGGATCTCGCGGGAGAAATGCGGAGCTCAGCGAGTGATGGGAGAGGAGGAGAAATAACATGGCAAAACCAACGTGAGCCACACAGGGCAGCTTTCCTTACCTAGCAAACTGCCAGGGCAACTGCGAAGCGGTTTGTGATGCTCTCAGTGTGTACTCAAAGTGTCCCACCTTCCAACCTTTTCAAAATGCTTGACCTGTTTTTATTACGATTATCTCTACGCGTGTGCCGTAGGAAAATACTGCAAGCCCTGTCCGTCCACAAACAGCTCTGTCCCCTTTCAAGGCATGCACACACGAGTTAATTTATATTCTACGGTCCTGCCTAGATGTTGAGATCCACCAAGGAAGCTTTTCTCAGCCCCCCCCCCCCGCCCCAAGGAGTTACGCACAATGCAGGAAACAGGGCGAGGGGCTCCTCTGGGGCGGTGCCACACTAATGGAACGCCTTCCCCACTGAAATCCAGCTCACACTGAATTTGCTGCGAGTGAGACACCAGCTCAGAATGTGGTTATTTCGCCACGACTTTGCTCACCTGAAATTCTTAATCCAGTTTTCAATGGCTTCTGCTCATTTCATTTGTTCTTATTTGCAAATAAACTGTTGTTTGTTTGTGTGTGTGTCTGTGTGTTTATGATATATGTACTCGCTCTATATATAGATGTGTGTGTGTGTTTCTCATGGATAGATAGATAGATGTATGTATGTATGTATGTATGTATGTAAAGGTACCCCTGACTGTTAGGTCCAGTCGTGGATGACTCTGGGGTTGTGGCGCTCATCTCGCTCTATAGGCCGAGAGAGCTGGCATTTGTCCATAGACAGCTTCCAGGTCATGTGGCCAGCAGGAATAAGCTGCTTCTGGCAAACCAGAGCAGCACACGGAAACGCCGTTTATCTTCCCGCCGGAGCGGTACCTATTTATCTACTTGCACTTGACATGCTTTCGAACTGCTAGGTTGGCAGGAGCAGGGACCGAGCAACTGGAGCTCACCCCGTTCCAGGGATTCAAACCGCGACCTTCTGATTGGCAAGCCCTAGGCTCTGTGGTTTAGACCACAGCACTACCCACGTCCATATATATATATATATATATATATATATATATATACACACACACACACACACATATATACACACACACACACACACACACACACATATATCTCACACACATATATATGCGTGCTCTCTCTCTATATATATATGATATATATACATAAAACACACACATATCACACACACAGTCTATTATCTCTCTGTGTGTATTATATATGTGAGATATAGATACAGTGGAATCTCGGTTTTCGAATGTAATCCGTTCCAGAAGTCGGTTTGACTTCTGATGTCCGAAAACTGAGCATCAATTGGCTGGCAGCGAAGTCAATGGGGGGAAAATGAAAAACGCACCTCCGAAGCTGTTTGACTTCCAAGGCGCGTTCAAAAACAGAAGCATTCACTTCCGGGTTTTCGGCGTTCAGCTTCTGAAACGTTTGGCAGCCGAGACGTCCGAAAACCGAGGTTTGACTGTATAAAGATATATCCCTGCACATACATTTGTACCATACTCTATATTTTTTAGGATGCAGAGTTGTTAATAATTATATACCGATCTACACACACACCTATGTATCATAACCTAACAGCGACATAAACGCTAGATCGCCCTTTGCTAACTTCTGCTCTTCAGGAGTTCTGAACTACAACTCCCAAATGCATTGGCTCATGGGAAGTGTAGTTCACAACATCTGGAAGGTGACCAGACTGGTGAAGACTGTACTCAATGTTTTCTGCATTTCCTGCCTAGCTCCTCCCCGTTCCCCAAGGCTATGGACAGAAAAGGAGCTCTGAAGGATATTCTGAAGGATGATAAACTACCCCTGTCCCAGGCCCTTAAAAAAGGAGGAGTTCCTAGACTAAATATATCATCCTGCGCCCAACCCAGCAGCTGCCTCCAATTTTCACTGGCACTTTGGGGTCGCTGCAAGACTGTGCGAGCAACACAATACAATGTCAAAACATAATGGGGGCTGCCTGCCTCAGTTAAATAAATCTCAGGCTGAGCACAGGAGTTTTAGATGATCAATTAAAAGTTGGGCAGAAGTAAAACACAATAGCTGCGAAGCGAGAATCAAACTAGGGTGACGCATCCAGGCTGCAGGCTTTCTTAGGAGAGAATTTGCCTCCTACTTGAGAGGGAAAGGATAATGCCTCTTTTAAGAAAGTGTATAAAAATAAGCTTTAAAAAAAAATCTGCTGACCTATTTACTGAAACCTCATTTTAGTTATCTTTGAAGAGATGCAAGCGACGGCGTCTGCTGACGTCCGAGAGCCCACAAAGAGCCACACGCTGTATCTGTGCTATTGGTTCAACCGCCACAGTGGCTCCAAGGAATCTCTTGCAGAATTACAGGACCCAAACTTCATAGGCAAAGAGGTGCATTGCCAGGCCTGCGATCGTTCATAAAATGTAGAACAGGCATAGGCAAACTTGGCCCTCCAGATGTTTTGGCACTCCAACTCCCATCATCCCTGACCACTGGTCCTGTTAGCTAGGGATGATGGGAGTTGTAGTCCCAACACATCTGGAGGGCTGAGTTCGCCTATGCCTGATGTAGACATTCCCCCAGTAAAACCTTTGCCAACCCAGTGCCACCCGCCAGATGATATGGACTGCAATGTCTGGAGGGCACCCGGTTGGTGAAGACAGAGGAGCTCCCCTTAGCCAAGGAAACAGAAGAGCACCCAGTTTCCAGGCCCATCACCTTGCAAAGAACCAGGACGGAGAACAAAGGGCAGGAGAACGAAGATTCCCATTTCAAGGTTCGCAGTAATTGCCACGGCAGATGCCCCACTCTTCTCAGGAAACGTAATGAGACTCTCATCCTTCTTCCTGACTGTGGGATGGAGGTGGGGGAACCTGAGAGTCACAGTTCCCCTGGGCATCTAAAGCACACTAATCATCTCTGAAATGCAACGTTACAAACGAACCCCCCCCCCCGAACTTGAGCATCCTCTGGATAGGGGGTAGGGCATTTTTTCAATGGCTTTGTGACCCTTCAGAGGTGGTTGGAGAGCATCTCCGAGCACCAAAGAGTCTTCTGACCACCTTCTCAGCTCCAATCTCTGTGATGTAGTTGTTGTTTAGTCGTGTCCGACTCTTCGTGACCCCCTGGACCAGAGCACGCCAGGCACTCCTGTCTTCCACTGCCTCCCGCAGTTTGGTCAAACTCATGCTGGTAGCTTCGAGAACACTGTCCAACCATCTCGTCCTCTGTCGTCCCCTTCTCCTTGTGCCCTCCATCTTTCCCAACATCAGGGTCTTTTCCAGGGAGTCTTCTCTTCTCATGAGGTGGCCAAAGTCTTGGAGTCTCAGCTTCAGGATCTGTCCTTCCAGTGAGCACTCAGAGCTGATTTCCTTCAGAATGGAGAGGTTGGATCTTCTTGCAGTCCATGGGACTCTCAAGAGTCTTCTCCAACACCAGAATTCAAAAGCATCCATTCTTCAGCGATGTAGTACTGAGCGTCAAAAGCCCCAAAGGAGGTCAAGGTCAAGACTTTGCCTTGGCAAACCTTGGGACCCGGCAACCACAACTCTCCAGTTGGCCTCCACCCAAACGCTGTGGACCTCCAACAACAGTCTGCTCATTTGTTTTCAGAATTAGCACAATCATCAAAGCTGCTGACGATTTGAGCATCTTCGTTCACTGTTCTGAGTTATGAGGGAAGTGTTGGTGCTGAGCTTTAAAGCCGTAAACAGCCTCAGCCCAGTATACCTGAAGGAGCATCTCCACCCCCATCGTTCACTGAGGTCCAGCTCCGAGGGCCTTCTGGCAGTTCCCTCCCTGGGAGAAGTGAGGTTACAGGGAACCAGGCAGAGGGCCTTCTCGGTGGTGGCACCCTCCCTGTGGAACGCCCTCCCACCAGATGTCAGGGAGATAAGCAACTATCTGACTTTTAGAAGACATCTGAAGGCAGCTCTGTTTAGGGAAATTTTTAATGTTTGATGTTTTATTCTGTTTTTTCTCTGTTAGAAACTTCCCGGAGTGGCTGTGGCAACCCAGTTAGATGGGCAGAGAGTGATGATGATGATGATAATTTGTTGGCAAGAACTAAAGCAATGGTTCCAAAAGCAGTTGGTACTCTCCCTGGGGATGGTGTGATTTGCTAGGCAGGTGCTAAGAGGCAACGGAGTGCCCCAGAGGTGCTGGACTTTGAAAAGCTGCTATCACTGGATCAAGTTCATCCCTGTCATTGAATTAGTTAACCTAAATAGTTTTCATTGGATTTTGAATAAATGTGCAATGAACTGTGACTGTTTTGAATTTTATTGTGTTATTATCTTCCTTAACGCGGAATGCAAACTGCTGTTCTGAGTGGTGCTTTTTATAGGGTAGGGTAAAATGGAGATGAGTTTATGGAACTATGGTAGTCACTGAACCAAAGCGTTGCAAAGCTATTGCAGCGGTACCTTGCTTCTCAAACTTAATCCATTCCGGAAGTCCGTTCCAAAACCAAAGCGTTCTAAAACCAAGGAACGCTTTCCCATAGAAAGTAATGCAAAGTGGATTAATCTGTTCCAGACTTTTAAAAACAACCCCTAAAACAGCAATTTAACATGAATTTTCCTACCCAACTAACGAGACCATTGATCCATAAAATGAAAGCAATAAACAATGTACAGCAGTTGCACAATCAGTAGCTGAACTGGGTTCCACAGTTACAAAAACAAGAGCCACAAAAGCAAAAACCCAAAATAAATAGCAAAAACAGACAGACCCCAGTGTAACACTCAAAACAGAAGTGTGGCACTCAAATTGGAAGCATAACACTCAAAACGGGAGCACGTTTGGCTTCCGGAAAAAGTTCGCAAACCGGAACACTTACTTCTGGTTTTGCAGTGTTTGAGTTCCGAGTTGTTTGAGTACCAAGGCATTTGAGAACCAAGGTACCACTGCTCACGTAGACGGGTGTCAAGTCCGCAGGATCTATTCCTCCACCCCGCCCTAGAGAGACCCCAGAGGCCCACCTGCTAGGGCCACCTCTGAGCAGGGGTTTGTTCTCAGAACTGAGCTCCCAGCTCTTCCATGCAAAAATCCACTCCTGGTTTTCCCCACAAGCTCGCTTCATTTTATCAACTGAGTTTCCAAGAAAAAATGTTTTTGCTATGGTTAAAACAATGGGGGGAGGGGGTCAGAAATCCTTGGAGATCAAATGCAAAACACTAGCAGATGCCTATCTACCTTCTGGACACACACATCCCGCCCCCAATGGACCACCTACGATTTCTGTACCACATTATCTCAGTTACCCTCACAACAAATCTGTTGGTGCAAGAGTGCCTCATTTAGGAGGCAGGGAGACTGAGAAAGGAAATCTTGCTTAAGGACATCCATTGGGATCTAAACAAAAACAAAGAGTCTTTTTTTAAAAAAAAAACCCCACAGCGCAGCACCAGCCCTGAAGGGAGCCAGGAAATAATCTGATCCTCTGTAAGCAAGTAATGGCGTAGTGCTTGGGTGATATCGCTTTCTGTACTCTGCCTCCCAACCTTCCTGTGTCAATACATCTCAACAGCGGCTGTTTGAACAGTGTTTAATAATAAACAGATTTCAACAAGCCCGAGAATAAGAGCAGAGGCAGGGCTCAGGCGGAAGACGAGTGCAAGAGGCTCAAAAATGAGAAGGGATGTGTGTGTCAGTAAAACCCAACTCTCCGGCGGATAGGGACTTCTCTCTCTCTCTTCCAAGCTGCAAATATTTCCTTTAGTACAGTGGAACCTCGGAAGCCAAACGTAATCCGTTCCGGAAGACCGTTCCACTTCCGAAACGTTCGAATTCCAAGGTGCGGCTTCCAATTGGCTGACAGCTAGGCTTTTTGAAGACCAGAAGCCGCGTCCGAAAAATGGAACATTTACTTCTGGGTTTTTGATGTTCGGGAACGGAGTGGTTCGAGAACCGAGGTTCCACTGTACATTTACATTGAGGGGCGAAGTATTTGATCCATAGCTGTCAAGCGTCTCTTATTTGGAGGGACAGTCCCTTACCCCAGCGCCATGTCCCACTGCTGTCCCGTATTGATGGATGTCCCTTAAATTTCCCGGGTTTCAAAGGAAGCAGCTCCTCTCCCTCCCTCCCTGCTGGCCAGGGAGGAGGGAGGCTCCAACTGTGTTGCTTGGCTGCCCGCCCTGCCCCCCTCCGGCCTCCTCTCACCAGCCTCGGCCCCCGGGAGCCCCTCCCCGCCGAGACTGGCGGGAGCCTCGGGCCCTTCCGCCTCCATCCTCCTCACGGCCGCCGAACTGGGCGTCTCTGCCTGGGGCCTCCCCTCTGCCCATCGCCACCACTCCCGCTAGGCCGTACTGCGGCTGTGCCACCGAAGGACCCGGATGAGATGGGCAGCCTGGCATGGTCTATGAATTGATGAGGAGTCCTGAGAGGAGAGCGAGGGCAACCAGAGAAAGCAGTTCAGAGAGAGGAGGAAGAGGAGGAGGCGGAGGCGCGGGCAGGTGTTCCAAGGGCTACAAGGGAAGGACCGCAAGCCTTTCTCCCATAGGTTTGTAGTGGTAGACTAGCATAGATGGTCTGATCTGCGGGTTTACTTCAGGCGCTATTTCCCTCCCCCCCCCTCCCGCCCCGCTTGATGGAATTGAGAGCTGAAGATACAGAACTGCAGCAGCATCTTCGTAGCTTGGACTTCGTTTTGCGCGAAAAGTGGTTGCTGCTTGTAGTTATTTAATTGCAGTGTTTCATCGGCTGGTGTCTTGAGCAACAACCTCTGGAAACGAAGGGCTAAAAACCAGCGCTGCTCTCCAAAATTATCTGGCCCCTTTGAACTGGTTGACTAAAATCCCTTATTTTGGCTGCTGGTCCCTTATTTTCAAGGCTGCTGGTCCCTTATTTTCAAATCTGTAAGTTGACAGCTATGATTTGATCCCCTGCTAAATTTGCCCGTTTGCCTCTGACGAAGCGCAAAATGATGTCACGCGCATGCACAGAAGTGGCGAATCGCAACCCGTGCATGTGCAGACACGTCGCTGCGGGTTGCGCTCTTTTCATGTTGCGAACAGGCCTCCGGAACGGATCTCGTTCGCAACCAGAGGTACCACTGTACTAGTCAGGGGTGCCCAAACTGTTTTAGAGGGCCAGATTTGATGAAGTGAACAGAGTTATTGAGCTTTTTTTTAGGGTTGAAGTATAATTTTATCCTAAGGTTAGGCCCCCAAAACGGACTTTGGACATGCCTCCTCTAAGTAAAACGTAGTTGGCTACAACCCAACGATATTACCCATCTGCTTGCCCCAGAACCTACTAAGATCGGATGACACTCTCTTCTACCCAAAAAGAACAACAAGGAGGGTACATAATATTGTTTTGAGTTCGGGGGGGGGGGGGGCTGTATGCCTGAGTCTCCTTTTAATACCTGGATCCAGCACAGATTCAACTGCTGGAATAGCCCGGCCAGCCTGGTAGTGGCCCACCAAATATGGGTCATTAAGGGAACAAAGGGAATGGCTCTATGCTAGAGAGAAAATGGGTGCCCCCCCCAACTGTCTGGGAGTTAGAAGAGTTAGAATTGAGTTGTGTGTGATCCAGGCAGGCTGTAAGCCAGGCAGCTGAGAGACAGAGCCATGCCTGATTTCTGACGGATCGATGGGAGAATCAAGGCCCTCTTAGGGTGCTGATGCTATGAGCCCCTCCATCTTGGGCTCAGGTTGTAGATGCATGTGACTAAACCGCATATCATGAAGACCCCACAGTCTCCACTGTCCTTCCACTATGATTTCCACAGCTATGATTTGATCCCCTGCTAAATTTGCCCGTTTGCCTCTGACGAAGCGCAAAATGATGTCACGCGCATGCACAGAAGCGGCGAATATCAAATCATAGCTCCACTCCTTCCACTGTCCTTCCTAAGGGAGCTGGGCATGTTTAGCCTGGAGAAGAGGAGGTTAAGGGGTGATATGATAGCCATGTTCAAATATATAAAAGGATGTCACATAGAGGAGGGAGAAAGGTTGTTTTCTGCTGCTCCAGAGAAGCGGACAAGGAGCAATGGATCCAAACTACAAGAAAGAAGATTCCACCTAAACATTAGGAAGAACTTCCTGACAGTAAGAGCTGTTTGACAGTGGAATTTGCTGCCAAGGAGTGTGGTGGAGTCTCCTTCTTTGGAGGTCTTTAAGCAGAGGCTTGACAACCATATGTCAGGAGTGCTCTGGTGGTGTTTCCTGCTTGGCAGGGGGTTGGACTCGATGGCCCTTGTGGTCTCTTCCACCTCTATGATTCTATGATTCTTCCTTCCAAGGAAGCCAACACCTGCCTAAAAGCTGATGCCGCTCAGATATTGCGCTGGATTGCAACAATATTCTTGGATACAGTACTCCTAAGGACTCCTGTGTGCGGCGGGGCACTTTTTTATTACTGTACAGCCCCCCCCTTAAAGTCCTCAGGCATTTTCAGGAGGAAAACACAGTCATTTAAAGAGTCCAGTTCATAAAGTAGCTTAATAGCAAAATCTCCAAGGGAGAGGCATTGTGTTAGCATCTTTGCTGGATACACCAGACTGGTTTAATTGTTATGCAAATTACACTTGCTAGGCCATCAACTTTCTCTTAATGGGCCATTCATCACCGCAAAGTTTTCTTTGAAGGAAGCAGCTGCTCTCCCTCAGAGGTCCCCCAAAACATCTTAGGTTTCAAAAAAAGCAGCAATTTTGCCCTGGAGTAAAAAAAACAACAAGAAATAGGAGAAATCTCAAGCTCACAAACTCATTCCACTCCCCTTAAGCATGGAGGGAAGTTAACTAACCATTAAATAGAGTAAAGGTTGCTAACAGCCTGATTCACAAGTCAGTTAGTCCAAACTACCTTGGCAAAGCTGCTGAAAAGCAAAAGGTAGCTGCGCTGGCCTTTGGGAAATGCTCTGAGACCCACAAGGGGAAAATGCATTTATTGAAATTTGAAAAACAGTGTGCGAGTCTTTGAATTCCCAACACCTCTTCATCAGGCTAGATCAGGGGTCAGCAAACTTTTCCAGCAGGGGGTGGTCCACTGTCCCTCAGACCTTGTGAGGGGGGCTGGACTATATATATATTTTTTGAGGGGGGGAATGAACAAATTCCTATGCCCCACAAATAACTCAGAGATGCATTTTAAATAAAAGGACACATTCTACTCATGTACTCATCAACGACTTGGATGATGGACTCAAGGGCATCCTGATCAAATTTGCAGATGACACCAAACTGGGAGGGGTGGCTAACACCCCAGAGGACAGGATCACACGTCAAAACGACCTTGACAGATTAGAGAACTGGGCCAAAACAAACAAGATGAATTTTAACAGGGAGAAATGTCAAGTATTGCACTTGGGCAAAAAAAATGAGAGGCACAAATACAAGATGGGTGACACCTGGCTTGAGAGCAGTACATGTGAAAAGGATCTAGGAGTCTTGGTTGACCACAAACTTGACATGAGCCAACAGTGTGACGCGGCAGCTAAAAAGCCAATGCAATTCTGGGCTGCATCAATAGGAGTATAGCATCTAGATCAAGGGAAGTAATAGTGCCACTGTATTCTGCTCTGGTCAGACCTCACCTGGAGTACTGTGTCCAGTTCTGGGCACCACAGTTCAAGAAGGACACTGACAAACTGGAACGTGTCCAGAGGAGGGCAACCAAAATGGTCAAAGGCCTGGAAACGATGCCTTATGAGGAACGGCTAAGGGAGCTGGGCATGTTTAGCCTGGAGAAGAGGAGGTTAAGGGGTGATATGATAGCCATGTTCAAATATATAAAAGGATGTCACATAGAGGAGGGAGAAAGGTTGTTTTCTGCTGCTCCAGAGAAGCGGACACGGAGCAATGGATCCAAACTACAAGAAAGAAGATTCCGCCTAAACATTAGGAAGAACTTCCTGACAGTAAGAGCTGTTTGACAGTGGAATTTGCTGCCAAGGAGTGTGGTGGAGTCTCCTTCTTTGGAGGTCTTTAAGCAGAGGCTTGACAACCATATGTCAGGAGTGCTCTGATGGTGTTTCCTGCTTGGCAGGGGGTTGGACTCGATGGCCCTTGTGGTCTCTTCCAACTCTATGATTCTATGATTCTATAAAAATATGCTGATTCCTGGACCGTCCATGGGCAACTGGACTGAGAAGGCGAATGGGCCGCATCTGGCCCCCGGGCCTTAGGTTGCCTACCCCTGGGTTAGATCAACAGTAGCAAAGGCAGGAGAGCTAGAAACTCAGGTATATAAGCGAATCGCCAAATGGCACCTTAAACCCAGATTGCGGTTGCCATAACACGGGCTTGTCCAACAGGTCGATCGCAATCTACTGGTTAATCGCGGGATGTCCCTGGTCGATAGTCGATCTTTGGACCCCCGTTAAATCTTCCGGAAAAAAGTCCAATAACTTTGGCTCCCTAAAAAAAGATCACTGCCATCTTGGCGCCTAGACATCTTCACTTGGTCGCAAGTGGCAGATAGCCAGGTGCAAAATGTGCTTGGGAAATTTCAAACGCTGCCACGCGAAGATTAGAACCCTGGTCTCCCACTCTAACCACTACACAATGCTGTCGCTTTTTTATCTTGCCCTACTCTACCAAGTACCTGGGGTGAGAGCAACCGAGGCACAAAAGAGGGGTTCAGCAGGATGATGCAGTTGAAGTAACACTGAAACAATAACTGAGCAACTACCTGAAATATTAATTACCCTGCTAAGATTGGGGGGGGGGAGAACCACCCCGCTTTTAATGCCTAATAAAAGTGTATGCCTCATAAGAAATTAACCGCCATAAGGAATGTACAAGCACACTTCGCTGAACCGTTCCAGAGGCGGTCTTTAAACAGGAGATTGATGTGCAGGAGGCTTCACAGATAATAGAAAAAAGAACCATCATAAAAGCTTAGGCTGTGCCCTAACTCGCTTTCCAAGCCAATACTGCCTTGCAAGCCATCGACACAAATGTACATACCCAATTCGAATGGGAATTGCTTCTGTCCGCTGCGTAAACTTGCAATGGCTTCTTCAATCCAAGGAGACAGACCTGGGCATATATATTGAAAACTTCCCCCCACCCTCTAGCTCCAAGTCAGTCTCAAACACTACCGCTTTGCAGAAATGCAGAAGGCGTGCTTTGGAAAGAGCAAGTCTGGAATCAAACCAAGGCACAATTTAGTAAGATAAGGCTGAACTCCTAAGCATTACTACTGTAGAATAAGTCCAAATGAATTCCATGGGACTCACTTCCGGGCAAACAGGCTCAATATTGTGCTGTAGGAGTGTTTTCAAAGACTTAAACCAATTTCGCCTGAAGATCGACGTGTACATAACGCCTTACATTAGCAAGAAGTAAAGCTTTGTTGTGCTTTTGCAGATGGTCTCTTGTTGACACAACGTGAAACTTTGCTCCAACGAAAATGCAAGCAGAAGAGGAGGATGCAGACAAAATCCTGAGGCTCCCCGTGGCTTGTTTGTGTAACGTTAAACCACGGTTTAGCGTTACAAGCAACACTAAACCATGGTTTAGAATTACAAGCGATCCCGGCTCAAGAATATCCTCAAAGCAACTGGTCAGAACTTTTGACACTCTCTCTTCCCCCCAGGGCCCTTTTAAACCAGTCATCTAACCCGGCTAAATGGGGGACCTCTTTGTCGGTAATTTTAACTCGCCGTTCTTGTGGATTCATCCGCCAGATTGTTTTAACAATATTCATGCATGACATGAGTGGCTCAAAGGAACTTTTCACTAAGGAATCCTACTTCAACACACTTTTTAAAATCAAATAGCCGAATAAAAAAAGCTCCATCCCAGACAGAAGACTTGAAAAACCTGCCCCCGCCCCACAATCCAGCTGCACCCTCTCATTTCCAAAACAGACCCAATCCAGAATACTCTTCCTTGCAAAATCTGCCTGTTTAGATATGGCGGTGAAGAAAGCTGTATTGTAACTTCCGAATAAATGTTTTAAAACTATAACAGGAACAATAATAAAGAACTTAAATGAATAATATCAGTAATAATTCATTTCACTGCCAAAAAAAAGGTGACTAGACATTCCATTGGGGGGACCATAAGCTAGGTTTAAGGCGCCATTTGGTAATTAGCTTATATATATATGAATTTCTAACACTGGCATGTATATCCCTGAACAGATTGACATGTATTTTAATATTTTGTTGGACGCCGTCCAGAGTGGCAGGGAAACCCAGCCAGATGGGCAGGGTATAAATAATAAATTTTTGCTATTCTTCTTCTTCTTCTTATTGCAAAGGAGAAGCTGATTTATTATCAGCCCATTTGCACTGGCAACTTGCAAAAGAAGCAATCTGACCCCCAGGGTTTCTTAAAAGTTGAACATTATCAAGGGGACTCCTTGACTCACACAGCATGAATCTGCTGATTTCAATGGGTCTTCTTCACATCCAGGAGCGGCTCGGAGCCACGTCCTTTGACATAACAAGGCAACGGGAGCGCAGGGGAAATTCTCCAGCGCCTGCTCAAAAGCACACAAGGCATGTTTCTCGACCGCAGAGTCCACATTTCCACTTGGAACTGGAGACAGGAAGCTGGCTCCTCCACATGTGTGCAGCTGTAAGCCAGACAGGGATTGGCTCTGTGAGCGGATTTCGGGATACAGCATCCTTTGGGCTCCACAAACAGAAGAACACACAGACGCTGCTGGCTCAGAGGCCAAGAGACCGAGGCAGCTCCAAAAGAAGATTAGCGCGCGCACACACACACACCCCGGTGGTTTGATGTGGTGATGGGCATTTGGAGAGGTCCGTCCCAGAACAAACAGAGACGGCTAGAAACAGCGGCCCAGTTCCGAAAAATCATTTAACCGCTACCGAAAAGCTCTCGCTCTCTCCCTCTAAAGAATATTCCAAGCTTGGCTACCTCCAGTTCCTGCAGTTTCCAACAACTGTGTGCAGAAGAACATTACAACAGCTCCATCACTGAATTGAACCAACACTTATAATTCCACTTCCAGGCTGGCCCTCCCCCCACCCCAGATGATACTGGGAAGCTAATAATAATAATAATAATAATAATAATAATAATAGGAGAAGATGGTGAAATGCAAACAGGGGACACAGAAAGGGCTGAACTCCTCAATGCCTTCTTTGCCTCAGTCTTCTCCGATAAAGAAAACAATGCCCGACCTGAAGAATTTGGAGCAAATGATTCAGCAGAGGAAACACAGCCCAGAATAACTAAGGAGATAGTACAAGAATACTTTGCTAGTCTAGATGTATTCAAGTCTCCAGGGCCAGATGAACTGCATCCAAGAGTATTAAAAGAACTGGCAGATGTGATCTCAGAACCACTGGCAGTCATCTTTGAGAATTCCTGGAGAACAGGCGAAGTCCCGGCAGACTGGAGGAGGGCAAATGTTGTCCCTATTTTCAAAAAGGGGAAAAGAGAGGACCCAAATAATTACCGCCCTGTCAGTCTGACATCAATACCAGGGAAGATTCTGGAGCAGATCATTAAGCAAACAGTCTGTGAGCACCTAGAAAGGAATGCTGTGATCACCAATAGTCAGCATGCATTTCTGAAAAATAAGTCATGTCAGACTAACCTGATCTCGTTTTTTGACAGAATTACAAGCCTGGTAGATGAAGGGAACGCAGTGGATGTAGCCTACCTTGATTTCAGCAAGGCATTTGACAAGGTGCCCCATGATATTCTTGTAAAGAAGCTGGTAAAATGCGGTCTTGACTATGCTACCACTCAGTGGATTTGTAACTGGCTGACTGACCGAACCCAAAGGGTGCTCATCAATGGTTCCTCTTCATCCTGGAGAAGAGTGACTAGTGGGGTGCCACAGGTCTGTCTTGGTCTTATTCAACATCTTTATCAACGACTTGGATGATGGACTCAAGGGCATCCTGATCAAATTTGCAGATGACACCAAACTGGGAGGGGTGGCTAACACCCCAGAGGACAGGATCACACTTCAAAACGACCTTGACAGATTAGAGAACTGGGCCAAAACAAACAAGATGAACTTTAACAGGGAGAAATGTAAAGTATTGCACTTGGGCAAAAAAACTGAGAGGCACAAATACAAGATGGGTGACACCTGGCTTGAGAGCAGTACATGTGAAAAGGATCTAGGAGTCTTGGTTGACCACAAACTTGACATGAGCCAACAGTGTGACACAGCAGCTAAAAAAGCCAATGCAATTCTGGGCTGCATCAAGAGGAGTATAGCATCTAGATCAAGGGAAGTAATAGTGCCACTGTATTCTGCTCTGGTCAGACCTCACCTGGAGTACTGTGTCCAGTTCTGGGCACCACAGTTCAAGAAGGACACTGACAAACTGGAACGTGTCCAGAGGAGGGCAACCAAAATGGTCAAAGGCCTGGAAACGATGCCTTATGAGGAACGGCTAAGGGAGCTGGGCATGTTTAGCCTGGAGAAGAGGAGGTTAAGGGGTGATATGATAGCCATGTTCAAATATATAAAAGGATGTCACATAGAGGAGGAGAAAGGTTGTTTTCTGCTGCTCCAGAGAAGTGGACATGGAGCAATGGATCCAACTACAAGAAAGAAGATTCCACCTAAACATTAGGAAGAACTTCCTGACAGTAAGAGCTGTTCGACAGTGGAATTTGCTGCCAAGGAGTGTGGTGGAGTCTCCTTCTTTGGAGGTCTTTAAGCAGAGGCTTGACAACCATATGTCAGGAGTGCTCTGATGGTGTTTCCTGCTTGGCAGGGGGTTGGACTCAATGGCCCTTGTGGTCTCTTCCATGATTCTATGATTCTAATATTTATTATTATTATTATCATTATTAATTATTATTTGTACTCTGCCCATCTGGCCGCATTTCCCCAGCCACTCTGGGCGGCTTCCAACAAAGATTAAAAATGTATAAAAATGTCACACATTAAAAACTTCCCTGAACAGAAGGGCACAGAGGCACCTTGCCCCTAATACAGTGGTACCTCGGGTTACATACGCTTCAGGTTACAGACTCCGCTAACCCAGAAATAGTGCTTCAGGTTAAGAACTTTGCTTCAGGATGAGAACAGAAATCGGGCTCCGGCGGCGCGGCGGCAGCAGGAGGCCCCATTCGCTAAAGTGGTCTTCAGGTTAAGAACAGTTTCAGGTTAAGAACGGACCTCCAGAATGAATTAAGTACTTCACCCGAGGTACCACTGTAGTCGCCCCTAACACCAAATATTTACAGACACACTGCGTTGAAATGTGGCGATTATTTCCTAGGTGTCATGGCTCAACCCTAAGATTCTGCATGGGCAAAATCAGCTTCTGTCTTTAAAAAACTATGGTTGGAATAAACCTATTCAAAATAAATGATTGCATATAGTTTGCAATCCCCCTGCCTGCCCACCAATGCTTTTGGGTTGCAGAGTTACTCCCCTTTCTTGCACCCAAATGAAATGAGAGCTAGGATCGTGCTAACAGGAGCACAGCTTAATCAAGCTGCACTGGATAGTCATCCTCAAGCCCCCACTCCAGGACTGGGCTAGGAAACAAACTACTTCAGATTCCTATAAGACAAGATCTGCATAATACTTGAGAAAGTATTTCACATTCCTGGGCACGTACGTCACTTTCAAGGTGGCCGGCCACATTTTTCCACCTTGCTCTAGCTAGGGCATCTTCCTGTGCTCCAAAAGTTTTCGGACTACAACTCCCATAAGGCCCTGCAAGTGTTGGCTGGAGCTGATGGGAATCGTGGTCCCAAACATCTGGAAGGTGTCAGGTTAGGAAAGGCTGCTCTAAAGCTTCCCTAAACTTTATAAATAATGGTCAAAACAAGGATAAAAGCTGCTGCCAGGCAAAGAAATAACGATACAACGTCTTCTGTCTAAAAACACAGCGTAAAACATGAACAGGACTTCCTCCTCACTTGCTCTGTCTGAAAAGGTGGGCCATCCTCTTCCAAAACAGTTTTTAAACGTTCAGACAGCCAGACCCCTCTGTTGTTTACACCAGGGGTGGCAAACTTCCAAGAGACTGTGATCTACTCATAGAATTAAAACAGTGATCTACCCCCGTTTTTTAGGGGTTCAGGTCAAAGTTGTTGAGCTTTCTTTAGGGAGGGTTTGGTAGGCATAAGTTGCTTAGCTTTTGGGGGGGCACAACATTTTTACATTATTTTGGGGTCAAAGAGAAACAGCAACTCACCGAAGGATCGCTGGAGGGAAAACGGCCTTGGTTTGTAAACTACGTCTTCCGTTCTCTATCAACGGAGGGCAGGGCGAGGTGGCAGGGCCAGAAGGGGGGCAGCGATCGACTGCAATCAACCAAAAGCTCGCAGGGATTGACCAGTAGATCGCGATCGACCTGTTGGACATCCCTGGTCTACACCTACCTGGTCAAAGCTCACACTGTAAGCACTTCGGGGCAGAAATCTGGCTTGATTTTTTAGAAGAGCTCAGCCATGGCAAAGTGCAAAATGCACTCGCAGGGTGCACCTCTAAGAACACGGGGAACGATCCAAGCAGAATTAGGCTCTTTTATGCCCCACCGATACCGCCAGAAATATTTAAGTCGATGCTTAGCTCTCCATCAAAGTCAGCGGTGCAAAAGCTAATGGCTGGAATACGTCTCGTGGGTTTGTTTTAACAGACACAGACGCATCTTAAAAGGAGGGGAAATGGAAGATGATTGAAATTTTGCTACTTGAGCTTCTGTTGTGTAGTTGTAGGAAACAGAACAGCAGAGGAACTTGTGATTAGGAAAAAGGTGTGTAAGAAACAGCTCTGGTTTTGCACTGGTGGTTATGTGGTGAAAGTAGTTCCTCAGAGAGCGGGCCTTGCTGTTCTCTCTTACCCTGGGCATGCACAAAAACAAATGCACACACACACACACACATCCTGATAATGTTGTTTTAACCGCAAGAATGGAGCGTCCAAGTGGTTTGTGAGATCATCAAAACACAAGAGCGCAGAAGCCACAACAAGCCTTTGGCAACGACGAGAGCTCAGCCCTGCAAATTAGAAGATTGCATGAGTGACTTTGGGCTTTCAGATACTTGCTTTTTAATGTCAACACCGTAAAGAAAGGGAATACGAGGCTAGCTCTGGCTTGCAAAACTGGCCTTTGCATAGTTATCGCTGCTACTACCACTGTTGCTATTGCTGCAAATATCACACCCGTCCTCCCTAAGGACCCCAGGATGGCAATGTCATCAATATGGTGGCCTGGGAGTAAGGAATGCCCTAAGATAAATCTGGCACAGGTGTGCCTCGTACCTGCACTGTCATATGCTTCCATCATATGCTGAAGCCTCTTCACCATTTGACTCCTGATGCACACACACACAGGACCTCCCCTAATCTTCTGTTTGCAAATTGTTCTAATTAATTTTAATGCTTGCACTTTTACATCGCTGCAACCAGTCCCGGGGCACTATTGTGAAGGACAGGTTAGAAACCCAAGCAGCAGTTAACAATATCGTCTGTATCTTTTTGAATCCCTGCATAGAAAGCTTTTGCCAACCTACAGCAGTTCGAAAGCACACCAGTGCAAGCAGATAAATAGGTACCTGCTTCCTTTACAGCAGCCTTCTGCAACCTGGTGCCCACCATGCTAGCTGGAGGCAGATGGGAATGGCAGTCCAAATTGCCTGGAGGTCACCAGTTTGGGTCAAGAAAGCGGATAGCCAGCCAACCCCCCATTTTAAAGAAAAAGTCCATACTGCAGCAATCTACGATCTAAGTTCAGGAGCACTATGTGTGCTCCTTCCACACAAATCTACAAATGATATAGAGTTAAACAACTATAGAATTTTTCATAGACATCTGAAGGCAGCCCCCCATGTCTGGAAGCTTTTGTTGTTGCTTTCCCTCTATTTTTGGTTCCAGGGCCTCTGACATATTTTATCCTTGCAGCAAAAGTAGCCAGGATCTTCTCGGTGTGTTTGGTGGGAATGAGGGTTAATGGAAGTTGGGATTCTCAGAAACTCCTTGCTCGCTGCACGTCACAGAAACAGATCTCTTTCAAGAACTGACAGCGTCATCCTACCAGAAAGTGCATTTCTGGTTAATCATCTGTGTTTTCACTTCACGACCTGCCTTCAAGCTGAGCTTGCTTAGCCCTGATCGCAATGACCCCTGTGAAACAGCCTCCCAATCTGTCCCTGTGCGATGGTGCTTTAATTATTTTTCACAGTTGCGCTGTCTCATCTGCGAAGTGGACACAAATCCTGCAAACGACACAGCTGCGAAAGACGAGCCTATTCCTTGCCGGCGACATTCTGTCTGAAGCAGAGCATAAAGCATAAACCCTCGTGGAAGCAACACAGGAGACCCGGCGAAGTTTCCAGCAAGCTATAAAAACTCTCCTCTATCCAGAGGCACAACTCTTTCCAGGAGGGAAGGCCCCAAAATAATGGCATTCTCCTAATGAAGCCAATGTAAACTTTAAACATTAGAAGGCAGAGGAGAGGGACATACGAGGCACCCTTCCTAAAGCTTTGCCACTTTTTGTGTGTGCAAATAATTCAGACTTGTGGAGCAATTCTCAAATACAGTGGTACCTCGGGTTACATACGCTTCAGGTTACATACGCTTCAGGTTACAGACTCCGCTAACCCAGAAATAGCACCTTGGGTTAAGAACTTTGCTTCAGGATGAGAACAGAAATCGTGTTCCAGCAGCACGGCAGCAGCAGGAGGCCCCATTAGCTAAAGTGGTGCTTCAGGTTAAGAACAGTTTCAGGTTAAGAACGGACCTCCGGAAGGAATTAAGTACTTAACCTGAGGTACCACTGTACAGCGGTACCTTGGTTTACAAACAGTATGGTTTGCATGTTTTGGATTACGAACACCTCAAATCGGGAAGTGCATGTCCTGGTTTACAAACTTTTTTTGGATTACAACGCATTTATTTTTTTTTGGATTAAAACAAATTTTTTTTTGAGGCCCCATTGGTGAAAGCGCACCTTAGGTAAGCAACCCGTTTTGGCTTACAAACGGACCTCCGGAACGGATTATGGTTGTAAACCAAGGTACCACTGTATACTTCTGCAGACTCTGAATTCTATTTGAAACAGAAATGGCCGGCTTGCAACATCTCACAAGTGCGCGTACGATTCAGGACGTATTTCCCATAGCAATAAAAGTGTAGGGTTTGGGGTTTGGAACATGGGAAGCTGCCTTGTACTGAAGCAGACTATTGTTCCATGTAGCTCAGTACTGTCTACACGGGCTGGAAGCTGCTCTCTGGGATTTCAGGCCGGAGTCTCCCTCAGCCTTCTGCTTGCAACGGAGAAGCTCTGCCACTGAGCTACAAGCTCTTCCCCTTAACGATATTAAATATTTTCATATTCAATATTTAGCCGGAGGAATTAAGATTGTGCCAGAAGTATGGAACTTGCCAATTTGCAAACCGGGCCAAATATTCTCAGGGAGACACAGCCAGCGGATGCCAGTACAAAACAAGCATCATCCATGGAGATACAATTGCCCGACTCGGGTTCAAATCCCTCCTTCGTCACGGGGGCATAAAATGGCTCGGGTGACACAGAGTCTGAACGGCAGTCCTTGCAAATGCAAAGATGCCACCGGCCGTTATGCGACGATGTAGTCTTCGCCTACCTCTCTCTCAGCTCTGACTCCCAAGCTGTGCAAAGGAAGCAATCGCTTATGTCACAGAGCTGCAGTGAATTGTACATAACGCTTATATTTTCAGGTGGCCTCAGTGGCGCAGAGTGCCTTCCATCACTTTGGCTGGTGGCCGAGCTGTGCCCCAGTCTGGACAGGGATAGCCCAACTTCTCTGCTCTGCTCACCTCGAGGTTAGATTACTGCAATGCGTTTTGTCTGGGGCTGCCTCTGGAGTCAGTTCGGAAACTTCAGCTGGTGCAGAATTTGGCAGCCAGGCTGCTCATCAGGACAAGACAGTTTGAACATGTGACACCTGACTGCACTGGCCTCCAATTCATTTTTGAGCCCAATTCAAAGTGTTGGTTGGAACCTATAAAGCCCTAAATGGCTCAGGAAAGCGATACCTCTGAGACCATCTCTCTCCATATAAACCAGGTATAGGCAAACTCCAGCCCTCCAGATGTTTGGGACTACAATTCCCATCATCCCTAGCTAACAGGGCCAGTGGTCAGGGATGATGGGAACTGTAGTCCCAAACATCTGGAGGGCCGGAGTCTGCCTATGCCTGATATAAACCATCCCAACTCTGCATTAATCTTCAGAGGCCCTTCCTCTGTGTGCTTCTTCCATGAGAGGTCTGGAGGGCGGCAACACAAGAACGGGGCCTTTTCTGCAGTGGCTCCCCACTTGCAGAATGCTCTCTCTAGGGAGGCTCGCCTGGCACCTTCCTTAGACCCCTTTAGGCGCCAGGCAAAAATATTCCTCTTCAACCAAGCCTATGGCCAATTAACATCTTATATCCCTTTTAAATGTGTTTGTGGGAAGGTGAGCTATTGGTTTATTGTTGTCCTTGCTTTTATCATGTATTTTGTGTTTTCCTATTGTATTTTTATGTTGTGAACCCCCCTGAGATCTGCAGATGAAGGGTGGCAGACAAATTTAATAAATGCTACTAGTTGTTGTTGTTTAGTCGTGTCCGACTCTTCGTGACCCCCTGGACCAGAGCACGCCAGGCACTCCTGTCTTCCACTGCCTCCCGCAGTTTGGTCAAACTCATGCTGGTAGCTTCGAGAACACTGTCCAACCATCTCGTCCTCTGTCGTCCCCTTCTCCTTGTGCCCTCCATCTTTCTCAACACCAGGGTCTTTTCCAGGGAGTCTTCTCTTCTCTTCTCATGAGGGGGCCAAAGTCTTGGAGTCTCAGCTTCAGGATCTGTCCTTCCAGTGAGCACTCAGGGCTCATTTCCTTAAGAATGGATACGTTTGATCTTCTTGCAGTCCATGGGACTCTCAAGAGTCTCCTCCAGCACCATAATTCAAAAGCATCAATTCTTTGGCGATCAGCCTTCTTTATGGTCCAGCTCTCACTTTCATACATCACTACTGGGAAAACCAGAGCTTTAACTATACGGGCCTTTGTTGGCAAGGTGATGTCTCTGCTTTTTAAGAGTACAACTACTCATAAAGCACATTAAGAGTTGGTTCTGCTGCTGCTTGATGAGCGAGCAACGGCGTTCGGGAGCACAGGAAGAGGCTTGCAGGATCAGGTCCCGAACTCACCCAGCAAGGCATCCTGTGTCCCACTGGGACCAACCAGATCCCTCTGGGAAGCATACGAGAAGGGCGTTGCAGCCGAGAGAGCTCTCCTTCCTCCTTCTCCTGGCAAAAATCCTTGAAAGCGTTGTTGTGAGTGGCATCTGGAAACAAAAGCCACACACACGAAGGCACATGACGAACCTAAAAAGTGACGGAGTTGAATTCCCACGCTGCTTCCCCCCCCCCTCCTTCCAGCGTTGGATGCAACAGGTAACGTACAAATTTACTCTGCATCAGCCGATCTCCTCGCAAGTAAGAGGCGAGCAAACTTCATTTCGCAAACCATCTGCGGCTGAGGGAACATAAAGGCTGCAAAGAAACATTTCTGCAGTCGAGGCCTAAATGCTCGTGTGCCCTAAAGAACACAGGAAAAACTGGAACTGTTTACTTTGCAGGAACTGGAGGGCAAATTCCATTCAGGAAAAAAAGGGGGGGGGAGAGTTGCATCATCTGTTTTACAACTCAGAAAGGGAGGGGCGTGCCGTTTATTTACTGTGATCATAAACAGTGGCCGAGAAGACATTTTATTGTTCAGGGTTCCCCGCAGCATGTAAGCCAGTGTACATTAAGACCTCCTCTCCTTTAAGTGCTTGGAAGGAGAAAGGAGTTCTCCAACCATGAGAGAGAGGCTGTCTCTTTTCGCTCTCTTTCCATTTGGCAACGACAACTGCAATTCGGTAAACGAAATAACAAGGTACACAAGAGCTTATGGGAAAAGTACAAGAATGCCCCCAGCTCCCCGAGAAAAGGAATCGGAGGGGAAAGGAAAAGAGAAGGCTGCTTGTTTTACAAGCAGAAATTAATTATACTGACATAGTCGAAGGGTATCGCCTTCGAAAAAGGAAAACATTTCAAAGCCCAAATGCCTCAGAGGAAGCAAGTGGCTTGGGATTTATAACGAAATTACTAAACACAAGGAAAACAGCCGGCAGAAAAAGCAACTTATTAAAAAAACAACGGATCTGCTAGATACGAGGCTGGTGAGCAAGAGTCGTGCCCTTGGGTCTGCGGGGAGGAAGAGAAATTGCATTATCCTCCACCCCCAGAATGGAGAATATCAAGTTTTAGGGCACCTTAGAATAATGGCACATCTAAGCAACGCTGTGCATGTGGGGAGATGTTCAAAAGTGGCATTTTGACAGATGGACACTTCATGCCACTATGCCAGGGGTTTTCCTAAAAAAACGACAACAACCCTCTCTGCTGTCAAGGAACCCCTTTCTGCATCAAACAACAGAATCAGCGCTTGTCCTCCAGTCCACAACAGTAGCAAACACAGACAAGAGGAAAGATTCTGGGGCAAGTCCCTGGGCACACGCTGGGCTCAAAGGAAGCACGTGCCAAACGTTTTGGGTCTTGTCACTGCCCTGAATGAACCGGGGCGCACAACTTAGCTGTGATTCCTGCACTGATGATTCTTGGGGTCCCTTCTAAAAGTCTAAGATTCCACAGTGCCCACAGCATGCCGCCTTCCTCCAAACGCAATATAATTTCCCCATTTAATCCGGATTTTACCATTACTGCAAAAAAAAAAAAAAAAAAAAAAAGCCCAGGAAGCTTTTTAAAGCATGCATGCAGAAATGGTAAACGTAGGTTGAATGGGGCGAGGGAAGGGAGGAAAGTGTCATGTCGACACTACGGAAAAACGTACAGGGAGGAGCAGAATGAAGGCCACAATCCAGCGCCACAAGGGAGCACCCTGCTTTGAAGGAACTCCAGAGGTTTCCTGGCCTACAGTTTGGAAACCACTGCAATGGGCCTGCCCCTGTTGGGGTGGAACGCGACACTGATGCGCAACGCAATCCAAGAGCATGTCATGGCTGTGCAGGAAAAGTCGAGAAGGAACTTGCTTGCACCCTGGTCACTAGCGGAGAATTCCCTATCAACAACCAGGTTCCCGGATCATCTTGCTGCAGCGAATGAAGAGGCAGCTTCTCCTCTAACCCCCAACCTCCATCAAAAGCCTCTTCTCCGCTCTTGCAGGACCAAGTGGGATTCCTAGGCCATGATTTGGGTACCCTACTGGAAAACCAACCAACCAACAAGGGACTGTGATTTTGTACGGATGAAGGCTGCTTTATCTTGGCAGCATCGGAGAAAGAGGAACATGTTCACGCGCATAACTCGTCCGTTCTTTGTGGACCAAGGTGCTTTCCATCTCCTTTGGCAAAGTTTGCCCCTGTGGTAGGCCTACAGCTGTCGCTCTGCTTTTTCCATCAGTGGAATCTTATCCTCACCCCCCAGAAAGCCAATATCCCTCAGGAATCTCTCTCTCTCCCCCATGGTGCAGAGAAACCCAGCCCAACTCGGGAGTATTGTCATTTACGGTTTAAGCAGGGCTAACCAACTGTGCTCTTCAGTCCAAGAAACAACTGGCTTCTCCATCTTGCCCTGCTGCTCCCCAAGGCATTATTTTCCTACTTCAACTTTCCTCCAGGTCCTTCTCCTTTCTTTGCCCCAAAAGTCCCAGCTGCGTTTGCAAGCCATGGTTTACAGAACATGGAAACGGTGCACTGAGTAAACACTGGGCAGTCGCCTTCCCCTCTCCTCCTAAGCACACAGCCGGGATGGTTTCTGGGGAGATTAGTTTCGCTTTCAAAGAATGCCGGCTGAATCCCATCTTGGATGCTAGTTGGTTAAACAAACCAAGTTCATACCCCCCTGGTTTCAAAGTTGGCACGTTTTAAACTCACCGGAGTTCGTTGTCAGCCAGCATTGGTAGGACACCATATTCTCCGCAAATGGCACTAATCTTGGCAAAAGCCCATCATGCCAGCCAATTTGGGAGGACGGGAAATGCACAAGCCCAACATTTCACTTGCCCTTCCTGCAGCTTGTCCGTGCAATGCTAAACCATGGTTTACCGTTACCTGCGAATGCAACCACTGCGTTCGCCACAGATTGCCTGGAGCAGGTCGTGGAAAAGAAGTCATCTCCTGCTTCGATGGCAGAATCCTTCCCTTTCACATGTCCATATGGTCTCTGGGCTTCATTAGATAAAAACTGCCATTTCCATCCGCTAGCTCACAAAGCTCTGGCTTGTCTCACTGTCTCCCAGCACAAACAACTCTTTTCGTGGGTTTGTTTGAAATTATTCTGTTAGCGCTGAAATTTATCGCAGATGTAAGTTTGGGTCCCTCTAATCAGCGATGGCCAAACTTGGCCCTCCAGGGGTTTGGGGACTACAACTCCCATCATCCCTAGCTAACAGGACCAGTGGTCAGGGGTGATGGGAACTGTAGTCCCAAAACAGCTGGAGGGCCGAGTTTGGCCATCACTGCAACTCATCTCTCAATTGCAGAAACGGTCAGAGATGCAAGTGCGTCGCAATTCAAGATGGTGCCCCACAGCCATCATGAGCTGCGTAGACCTTAAAACTCCGACAATGAGTTAAGGGCACCGAAATGAACATCTGCGCCAAAATTCAGCTTTAACCAATGCGTTTCAAATGAAAATAACCTTCTCTTTGAGGGGAACCCCATTTCCACACATCTGCTTCAGGGCCCACTGTCTTGCTTAGACGGGGAGCTCAACAGACATCTGCCTCCTCAAAATCCCCAATTTGACCCCAGGGCGTCCTGCCTGCTCCCCCCCACCCAAGAAGGCAGGCTCTGTCTCTATCTCTCTCACACCATCCCAGGAGGAATCACCTTTAAGATGAGGGAGCTGGGCCTTGCAAGTCTGCCGCAGCCCCGAGCCATTTCAAAAGAAAAGAAATTAATAAGAGAACAAACAAGGCGGATTCAGGGATCGATAGGGATGATTCCGTCCCCCAGAGCTCCATCTTCCAACGCTTTTCCTGTACTCTGTACTTATCCACTCATAATCATTTTTCTTTTTACTGCTGACGGACCATCGCCAACCCAGATTATTTCCTATTTGTCTCAACCAACACCCCGCCTCAGAACCTGCTCAAACTCCGTCCCGGAACATGCAGCAAGACAAGAGGGCTCTGAGGCATGCGCAGAGTCCATTTCCTCCACCACGGAGCAACTGCAGAGAGCCGGGTTTCCATGCGGACAGGCAGGCCTCCATCCCATCGCCAACTTAGTGCCGCTCGCAGATCCTACTTGCCCATCTCAGGGCAGAAGGCGCAAGGAAACCCATTTCTCAGTGGGCACAATTCAGCTCTGGGACCTAGTTTATTCTATTAATTATCAGATGACCGCAAGGGGAAATTCGCCTGAGATCAGAACGCTCCGAGTTTTGCTCACCAACTCATTCCTAGGATGGGGGATCCTGCCCCCAACATTCTCCCTCTCTGTCCCACAGCGATCTTTCCCCCCACCCTGCTCGAATGGAGACACCCACACCTAGGTACCTGGGTTCCCCTTTCTCAGAGAAAGATCCCTTTTCTCTCTCCAAACCCATAAGTCTTCCCTCCACACCTTAAACCACTTATGGGGTTCCCCCTTTTCAAGGCAGAAACCCACACTCGACTCTCTTTCGTCCCCCCAGTTTTCCAAGCCCAACATCTTTCCTTTAGAGTAGGTGTGGGTTTTCCGTGCCAAAATACACACAAACGCAGAAATAGTTCGGGGTTCCCCTTCAGAATTCAGAAGGGGCATCTCAAGAACTGCCACCCCAGAGGGGGTTCCCCTTGACCACGGCTCGCAAACCCACCCTCCTACGTCGACCCCCTCCAGGGCTTCCCCCTCCCAAGTAGGTTCCCCTTTCCCAAGACCCCCAAACCCCGCTTTTAAAAGTCCGTATATTTTCGGACTTTCTTGATTTGCCATTATTTACATCCTGCCTTTCAGCATACAAATTATTCCAAGGCTGCTTGCCATTAATGAGATTATTTTAGGGGGGGAAACCCACACGGAAGGCCTGTTGGGGGACGCCCTTCCATTCCCCCGCCCCCATTCCCAAGACCCGTAAAACCCACGTGTGACTCCACCTGACAAGAGTCATGGGGTTTCACTCCCACAGACGGGTTCCCCCCCCCCCCGACAAACACCCTTTTCTTAACACCCAAACCCACGTGCGAAAGTTTCCTTCCTCCTGTTCCTCACCCCCTTCACAAGACCGATTCAAACCACATGCAAGCGCTCCTTGTCAAACACACACACAGCGGCTGAATTCTATTTTAATGTCGATTTCTTTTCTTTTTTTAATGCTTCTCCTTCGTTGGCCACCTTGGGCAGATTTGTTCCAGCAAGGCAGCCTGTAAATATTTTCAAAAATTAAAAATACACCCGCCCGCAGGATAACTTTCAGGCTGGGGATCCCTTTCTGAAGACCTGTGAGACTGACACATGCAAACTTTCAATAATAATAATTTTATTATTATGTACTCTCAACGTGGGGCTCGGCTTCCTTCTCTTCTCCCCACATGAAAGGTAGTCAGTAGTCTTCCCCCACACCCCTGTGGGTTTCCCCTCCAGATTAAGGTTACCAGATTTTTTTTCAATGTATCCAGGGACACTTTTCAACTTCTGTTGATGGGGATGGATTTTGTCAGGTGACTGAGGTGTAAATCCAGGGACTGTCTCTGGGAAACTGGGATGCCTTACTCCAGGTGGGGTGGGATTTCAAAAGAATAACCCTGCTCCCTCAAAATGCGGTCCTCCAATTCTCTTCCCCAAAACCCATTTATTAATACACAATACACATAGACGCGCGCACATAAGCATCTCATTTTCTTCCCTCAACTCTCTTTCTGAAGACCCATTAGCCGACACGCGGGTTTTCCCTGCCAATAAACACAAGGGACACCTGTGGGTCTCCCCCTCAGGACTGGCACCCCCTTTGCGCATAAGCTCCCCCTACAACACCCTAAGGGGGCTCCCCTTCCTTCACCCTCCCACAACCTCTCTTCCCAGGACCTGTTCATGCGCATGCGTGGTTTCCCCTGCCTAGGTGTATATGGTGTTTATGTTGAGGGTGTTAACCCTCGTGGGTTAACATCCCACCACCACAAATTCTCAACACACCTCATCTGTGGGTTGCATTAATGCTCACCCCTACAACGCAGCTTACACATGGATCTCCCACACCCCCATGGCCCAGTCTACATGCAGGTCTTCCATGCCCCCATCCCCACAACCAGCCTATACACGTGTGTGTGCCTGCACATCCCCCCCACAACCCAGCTTATACACCTCTCCCTAACCCCCTTCCCCACGAACCAGCGTGTGCATATGCTTCCCTAACCCAGATCCCCACGACCCAGTCTGCACCCGCGTCTCCTTAAGCCCCATCCTCACGACCCAACTTGCCCGCGTGTCTCCCTAAGCCCCACCCACCCCGCAGCTTGCACGCCTGTCCTCCCACCCCAAATCCCCACACGCCAGCCTGCCCGCGCGCGTGTCGCCCATTCCCACGACTCACTGCGGGGGCAGCTGCAGGGCCGGGCCTCCCCTCCTCTGGAAGGCGCCGTCGACGAAGACGCCGTTCTTGCCCAGGCAGCGCAGGTAGAAGTGGGGCGCGCGGAAGGAGAGCTCGAGGTGGCGGCGCGAGATGAAGCTGGAGCGGCCCATGTTCACGTCCACGGCGCCCTGCGACGAGTTGCGCCCGATGGTCACCGTCGCCTGGCGCATCACGAACTCCACGTCGCGGCCCTGCAGGCGCGCCAGGGCCGACGGCACGGCCAGGGGCAGCGCGGGCGGGATCGGGGCCGGCCCCGGGACCTGGGGAGGCGAGGCGGCGGGCGCCCCGGGAGGCAGCGGCGGCGAGGGCGCGGCGCGCTGCAGCGCCAGCAAGGCCCTCGCGCCGGGCCCGTCCTCGCCCGCGGCTGCAGCCATCTTCGCGGCGGCGGCGGCCCAGGCAGGCAGGCAGGCAGGGGCGGCCGCCGACTACGCACCGCCGGCCTCCGGGGCGGGGCCGCGGGAGGGGAGGCGGGCGGACGGGCGGGCGGGCGGACGGGGAGAGAGGCCCGGGCTGCCCAGGCGGCGCGCTCGCAGGCCGCGATCGGGAGACGGGGGGCACGGGGTCCGGGGCGCTTCTCTCCTTCGCAATCCCCTCCCTCCCCGACTGCCTCCTCCTCTTCCTCCAAAGACCTGGCAATGGGGTGAAAACACACCCGCACGCAGCGCCCTGGGGTGGGGGAGCTGCAAAAATAAAGGGGGGCGCACGGGTTCGGGGGCGTGCGCTCCCCAAAGACAGGGCAGCGCGCGTAAAGGCGCACGCTCCGGTGGCCCGCGGGCGGAACGGGGGCGCACGGCTTCGGGGAGCAAGGGCCACTTTGTGCTTGGTCTGGCTCTGCCCCACAAGTCGTCTTCCGACCCCAAGGCAACGCTGGGGGGACGGGGGACGCACAGGCGCTCGCTCTGCACCCTTGGGTGGGTACGTGGGGGAGCAGCCGCCGGGCCAAAGGGGCGCGCAAGGGTTGGCGTGGCTGTGTCGTCGATTTCTTCCTCCCAGCGCCCCGGTCCAAAAGCAGGGCGACGCACCCGGAGGTGCTCGCTGTCATGCCCCTGGGGTGGGTGAAGGGGGTTACAGAGTTTGGGTGAAGGTGCCCTTTTCACAGGGTGCCTCCCCGCTGTTATTTCTCCCTTTCCCAAAGGCGTGGCGACGCGGGTGAAAACACACCGGGACACTCGCTTAATGCCCCCGGTTGTGGGTGCTTTTGCAAGGGGAAAGGGTTGCCACGTTGGGGTGCCAGTGCCCGTTCCGCAGAGCGCCTCCTTCCCCGCGCCACGCTCTCCCTTCCGCTTCCTCCTTCCCCTCTGCAAAGGGACGGCGACATGGGAAGGAAAGGCGCATAAGCGCCCTCGTGCAAAGGGCGGAAACCGGACGGGGCAGCGCCGCGAACCGCGTGGCACGGAAAACAAACAAAAACAAAAGTGCGCGCGCAAACATGTGCGCGCGCCCTCCCCTTCTCCCTTTGCAGTTCCGTCTCTGGGCCGGGGAAGAGCCGTGCAAAAAATAAAATAATAAGTGCGTGGGTGCTCGTGCAATGTTAGGAGACGGGGCGTGTCGGCGCGTGAGAAACGGGTTTGCATGGGAGCGAAGAAGGCGCTTGAGCAAGGGTTTTTTTGGGGGGGGGTAGAGCACGTGCTCGCCCTTCGCTCTCCATTGCAGGCAGCTGTTGGGGGTTTTTTATTTCAAAAGGCAATGGGGTAGGGGAACGAGGCGAGGGCGGTACTGCACAACGCTCTTGGAAGGGAGGGTTGCGGCCGCGGAAGACGAGCACGGCGGTGCTGGCTGCTCTGAGCGAAGCCATCCAGTCCCCGGTGGCAGAGAGGCGACGCGGAGATTACAGCCAGAAGGAAGAGTTCAGATGGTACCTGGTTGTGCATCCGCCTGACACGATAACGCCCCTCCCCCGCACTATGCATTTAAAGAGCTACGGTGCCATTTTAACTGTCATGGCTTCTACGGGAACTGTAGTTTGCAGAGGGTGCCGTGAGTCAGTGGCGTAGCGTGGGGGGTGCAGGGGGGCCCGGCCGCACCGGGCGCAACATCTGGGGGGCCGCGCTCGCACTCGCAGCTCTCTGCCCCTACCTGGCTCACTCACTCTTTCTCACTGCAGTGCTGGCTGTGCGAATCCGATCCCGAGCAGCTGGGTCGCCGCCCACTGTGGAGGGGGTGGGTGCCAGGCGTGCGGTGCGGAGAGAGAGCGAGGGACTATCTGGGGGAGGGACAGTGCAGTGGCCGCCCAGCGCAGCGCTGAGCGCGGGAGAGAACCACACCAGACCAGACCAGGCAGCAGCAAGAAGAAGCTGGCAGCGGCGGCATGTTAGGGGTTAGGGGGCACAAATTACTTGCCTTGCCCCGGGTGCTGACAACCCACGCTACGCCGCTGCCGTGAGTTGTTAGGAGGCCCCTCTTCCATACCCGCCAACATTTCTCCAGTGAAAATGGGGACATCTAAGGGAAAGTGGGACATTCCAAGATCAAATGAGAAACTGGGGCGGCTTCTCTAAATCAGGAACATCCTTGGAAAATAGGGTCACTTGGAGGGTCTGCTATTCCCCTCACAGAGCTAGCATTCCCAGTGCTTACCTGGGAAGAGGGATTGAACGTTAAACCACTCTTAAGTAGAGACATCACCTTGCCGACAAAGGTCCATATAGTAAAGCTATGGTTTTCCCAGTAGTGATGTATGGAAGTGAGAGCTGGACCATAAAGAAGGCTGATCGCCGAAGAATGGATGCTTTTGAATTATGGTGCTGGAGGAGACTCTTGAGAGTCCCATGGACTGCAAGAAGATCAAACCTCTCCATTCTGAAGGAAATCAGCCCTGAGTACTCACTGGGAGGACAGATCCTGAAGCTGAAGCTCCAAGACTTTGGCCACCTCATGAGAAGAGAAGACTCCCTGGAAAAGCCCCTGATGTTGGGAAAGATGGAGGGCACAAGGAGAAGGGGACGACAGAGGATGAGATGGTTGGACAGTGTTCTTGAAGCTACCAACATGGGTTTGACCAAACTGTGGGAGGCAGTGGAAGACAGGAGTGCCTGGCATGCTCTGGTCCATGGGGTCACGAAGAGTCGGACACAACTAAACAACAACAAGTTTTGTAGCTCTGTGAGGTCTCAACAACTCATTATGCTTCATAAATGATTGTTCCCAGGTATTTTGCAAACGAAGCTCACACACATATCCTGCTTGCCTTTCTCTTGTTGGGGACCGATTGCAAAAGGGTTGATAGGCTTGGAGTTGCAAACATCAATGCATCCCCTCACAAGACACAGTGGTGACAAGACACAGTAGTGACTGAGAAGCAGCAGGAAGGAATACACACTGCCGTTGTGGCGCTTGAAATGCCCAGAGGCAACTTCCAGCACTAAAATTCGTACAACGCTTATTGTAGGAGTAAGTTTGTGGAGCTGTGTTGCTTGTTTGTATAGCAATATGGCATATCAACGTGCACAGACTTGGAATGACATAAGCAACAAACACAAGGGCTTTGCCCCAAGGAGATTGCAATCTAAATACAATAGCAGTACAATAAACAGCAATGTTAAGAAGCAAGGTTAGTCTGCCCAAATGCAGCCTCAGATAAGGGCAGCCTGATTCTAAACATGTTTACGTAGAAGTAAGTCCAGATATTTTCAGTGGGACAGGGAAACCAAATCGGGGGTTTAGGATTAGGATTTCAGATGGGTGCCCCCTTGCTGATTTTTTCTTTTCTTTACATGCCTTTAAAATATTTTATATAACTTACCATATTTTTCACTCTATAGGACGCACTTTTTCCCCTCCAAAAATGAAGGGGAAATGTGTGTGCGTCCTATGGAGCGAATGCAGGCTTTCGCTGAAGCCTGGAGAGTTCCCGCTGGGCTCCGAAGGCTTGCGGATAGCAGCCTGAAGCCCGGGCGGGGAGCACAGCGCCAACTCCCGCTGCGCACCCTGGGCTTGCGGATAGCAGCAGCGAAGGTGAAGCAAAGCTCGGGCTTCCCCCGCCCCCGCCCCGCGGCTAAAAAGGGAATCCAAGAGAGCCAGCGGGATGGATCCCACTCGCTCTCTTGGCTTCTTTGCTCTTTGTGGCTGGGAGGGGGGAATATTTTTTTTCCCTTTATTTCCCCCCCCCTAAAAACTAGGTGCGCCTTATGGTCCAGTGCGCCCTATGGAGCAAAAAATACGGTATATCCAGCCCCCTTGTCATAATCGATCTCAGGGCATGCCATAGTGATGTAAAACACAGCAAATAATCACAAGACAACAACACAATTAAGAAATACGGTAACAATAACTAATCCATCAGTCAATACAGCCATGCCAATGTATGTGCAAGGCATATAACCTCACTCGCCCAATACAAAAAAAGAGAATTTTAAATGGGGCTGGCATATAAAACAAGGCAGCCATCAATATGCAACACGACACTTCTATATGAGAAGGGGAAAGAGGGAGGCTGTTGCCCCAAGAGCTTTCGGTTTAAATAACAACAGTAGAGAGAATAAAGTCAACAAAGGCTTTGCTTACTTCTGGGAAAACACGCATCATGTTGGGAGGGGGGGTGAGGTTCTGTGCTATTGAAATGATGAGAGTTGTTTGGCAGGTAGGCAGTCACCAGGTTCAGCTCCCCGCCCAAGCCGTGTCACGAAGCATGCGCTGTAAGCAGCTCAGGTCTTGTGTCTGCCACCAATTCATGGAGTGGCCTTGTGGAGACCTCTCTCTCAAGCCTGTTGCAAATGCTAGTTCTGTATTATATTTATTATGTCCACCAGCTTTGCCCTCAAGGGAGCTCCAGGTGGTGGACATGGTTCTCTTCCTCCCCCGTTTTGTCCTCACAACAACTTTGTGAGGTAGGTTAGGCTGAGCGACGCTTCCAAGGTCACCCAGTGAGATTCATGGCTGAGCAGAGAATTCGAACCCTGCTCTTTCACAAGTACTCTGAGCGCTGCATTACACTGGCTCTCTTTATTAGTGGCAAGCTCGGCTTTTGCAAAGGAGGGGGCCTCTTCTGTGGTGGCTCCCCAAATCTCTGGAATGCCCACCCTAAGGAAGACAAACACCTCGGGTCTTACGGGATTTATGGCACAAGATTGTACCATCTTCCTAATTTCGCAGCTGGCATTTTAAGTAATTAGATGGTTGGTCAGTGTTAGTTGGTTGGTTTTAACTATGTTCTATTATTTTTAAAACTTTAAGGGGGTGTGTGTGTGTCTTCTCTTTTACTGTGCTTCCTTGTTTTTGAATTGTTTAAATTGCACTTTTGAACACAAGCCACCCTGGAATCTGCTGGTCAGGGGTGGCTAAGAAATATTTGATGAAACTAATAAAATTCAGGCCTGCCCCAACTGCAAAATGGGGCAGGAGGTTTGCAAACTTCTAAAAATTTCACTTTCATTACTATGTTGTTACTGTTCCATTATTTATTAAATTTGTAAACCTCCCTTCATCCGAAGATCTCGGGGCGGTTCACGTCACTTCAAATACTCCCGAGGCTGCAGTACCTGTCAGGGAATAAGTTTTGTGGAGTACAGAAGCCACCAGAAACATTCTGGTACATTCTAGTGTTCAAAAGGTTATCAGGTCTCTCCAAGGCAGAGAGAGCATAGCTCTTGTTTTCCTTCTATGCTTTCTCTAGACTTCAAGGCCATTTGCTTTGGAGACAAGACTATATCAACTTGTCTGCCTGGGGTGCCCCGTTATTCTCTCTTTCTCCTCTTGCTATTCTGTTCTCGCTTTCATTTTTGCATTTATATTCGTGTGGTGCGATTCTTTTTACTCCTGGAAACTGGGTTTGCTCTAAAATGAGCTGAGTTTTGCCTTGCTAGGGAACCAGCAACAAACTCTGTGATTTATGCTTTAGTGAATCTTACGAAAGACATTTTTGGCTGCCTGGGTCTTGTTGGAATTCAAGCAAAGTTCTGCTACTCTGCTAAACAAACAAGCTTGGGGCACTAGTTCTCGCCATACCCTGCCTCACAATGTGGTTGTGGGGATTGAATCTAATCTATAATCTACATCTAATCTGTTGTGATGCCCACCAGCAAGCAGGTGAGGCTGGCTATCGCAGGGGCCAAGGCTTTTTTGGTGGTGGCCCCCACAATTGCAGAATACTCTCCCAGATGATATTAAACAGGTCTCATCTTGGCTATTTTCAAACGCGTCTTAAAAACCTACCTTTTTATCTTGACTCACTAACTGAGGCTGGGGATCTGGTTGCACGGCTGGGCTTGCGCTGTATTTTTTATGATGGAGGGACAGCAACAATTTTATTATTTATACCCCACCCATCTGACTGAGTTGCCCCCAGCCACTCTGAGCAGCTTCCAACAGATATAAAAACATAATAAAACATTAAACAAAAAAACTTCCCTATACAGGGCTGTCTTCAGATGTCTTGTAAAGGTTGCAGAGTTACTTATCTCCTTGGCTCGGGGGTTGCATAAAACAGGATTATTATTTGTTTTGTTTTTTCGATCTTTAGAGAGGCTATACAGTACTTTGTGAAGAATGTTATTCCTGCAAGACAGTGTAGAAATTTACACTGGTATTTTTTTGTATTGTTTTATTTTATTTTAATATTTTTTAAAGAATATTACAAGGAAATGAGTTAAGAAGAAAAGAAAGAAATACAAAAAACATTTTAAAAGGTAAAGGAAAACAATCACAACATGACCAGAAAATATAATTAAGACTACAGAACCATTTACATATCTGTTATATAGCTCTGTGAATTTATGAAATAAAGTTATCACTGCACCTGTTTTATTGGGCAACGCATAACTTGTAACTGAATTTGGAACAAAAGCAACAAAGGGCCGTATTTGTTATGGGATGCACTTTTGCAGACGGCACTTTCTCAATGCCATAACCCAGAGCTTTGCAAACTCTGCGTTGAATGGTTCCAACATGAAAAGTTTGGAGAGCTCTGCCCTAACACATTTGTTGGTGGTACGAGACTTTTTCTTGGTTTGTTTTCTGCGGCAGCCCGTTTGACACAGCTCGCCCTCTGGGATGTTGGATTTGTGCTGATCAACTGACAGCCTGGGAGCCACACCGGGGGCGGGGGGGGGGGATTAAAAGATGGCAGCGCTCCCAGCCCAACATTCACATCTTTCCCCGGGCAGGACTCATATTGCTTTTAATAGATGCCCAAAAGGTAGACATAAACAGGAGACGCTCGCTTGCCAACCATTTCACTGCAAAAAGCTGTGCTTCGATCTGTGCCATAAAAACACAGGAGCCCTGGCAGGAGGTAAAAGCTGTCCCAGTCTCTTAAGCTCCAGCATCTTAGTGTGCAAAGCTTGTACCTGGATGCAGCAGCACATGCCGAAGTGTGCAAAACTTATCTATCCAAGCGCCTTCCTTAGTCCTCTCCAGGTTGGGAATAGGATGCTTTTCAGGTATGTTGAAAGCAGAAGCTTGTGCCAAACGCACAGCCTGAATTGTGCGTAGAAGGAGGCCTATTTCGTCATGGGCGATCCTGGGCACATGGGAGTGGTGGTGCAGTAGAATGCAATTTCTTTCTTTCCAGTCGTTCTTACCTGCCTTTTACCGTCAGCTCTCATGTTGCTCATGCAAGCCTTTGTTTGTGCTTACCTAATCGCATCCGTGAGTTTCAGGACATGAAATTGTAAGCAGAATGGGTTGAGAGGAAATGGAAGCGTGTGAAGGCATGCAGGAGTGGATGCAAACATGAGCAGGCTGCTGCTTTTCCCCCTAAAACGGCTTTCCCCCAAGCTTCCTCTGGAAGTTTCAGACTACGGCTCTTATCAGCCCCAACCGGCACCAGAACCTAAGAAGAGGCCTCTGAATCAGACCTGTGGCCCATCTAGTCCAACGTCCTGTTCTTGCCAGGTGTTCCAATGGGAAACCTGCAATCAGGATTTGAACACAAGACCACTCTCCTCCTTGGGTATTCAGAGGCATTGCTGATTCTGAGCAGGGAGGCAGAGCAGAGCTGTTGTGGCCAGGAGCCTTCAATAGCCGTCTCCTCCATCCAAGTTGTCGGCCATCGCCGCCTCCTTTGGGAGCGAGTTCTGAAGTTTGCATGTTGTGTGATGAAGTTCTTTATCATAATCATCATCATCATAATAATAATTTATACCCCGCTCATCTGGCTAGGTTTCCCCAGCCACTCTGGGCGGCTCCCAACAGAATATTAAAAGTGCAATAAAACATCCAACATTTAAAAACTTCCCTAAACAGGAATTCTCTTCTTGGGAGAAAAGCAATGACAAACCTGGACAGCATCTTAAAAAGCAGAGACATCACCTTGCCAACAAAGGTCCGTGTAGTTAAAGCTATGGTTTTCCCAGTACTGATGTATGGAAGTGAGAGCTGGACCATAAAGAAGGCTGATCGCCGAAGAACTGATGCTTTTGAATTATGGTGCTGGAGGAGACTCTTGAGAGTCCCATGGACTGCAAGAAGATCAAACCTCTCCATTCTGAAGGAAATCAGCCCTGACTGCTCACTGGAAGGGCAGATCCTGAAGCTGAGGCTCCAATACTCTGGCCACCTCATGAGAAGCGAAGACTCCCTGGAAAAGACCCTGATGCTGGGAAAGATGGAGGGCACAAGGAGAAGGGGACGACAGAGGACGAGATGGTTGGCAGTGTTCTCGAAGCTACCAGCATTGAGTTTGACCAAACTGCAGGAGGCAGTGGAAGACAGAAGTGCCTGGCGTGCTCTGGTCCAGGGGGTCACGAAGAGTTGGACACGACTAAACGACTCAACAACAACAAACAGGAATCTGTCCTGAACTTTGCAATATTCAGCTTCATTTCATGTCCACGGGCTCCACTGTTCTGAGAGAGGGTTTTGGTGCTTTCAGAAAACAGCCAGTCCGCACTGTGTATAGCCTATTTCTGCCGCTAGTTAACAACCATTCTGAGCTCAGTCAAGGAGAGATGATTTCCAGAGGGCTCGTCCACCTGGAACATAAACAATACATTTCTAAAAAAAACCCCCAGGAATATAGCCCAACCAGGAGAAGGAAACTCTGATCCTAAACCTCTGCTGGCTTGCGGGATTTTTTGGGGAGAAGAAGGAGTTAAGGAGTAAACCCTACACAAATCCAGAGTGAATTCCCTTAGACGGTTGGATGGCGCCTTGTACGCCGCCTTCTGGCAACTCTTGCAGCCAAGCTGGTGCCCAAAATATTGATTTGCTTTCCTTTGGACCCCATCAGTGAGGCTGTGTCACGGTCCGGTTCACTGGCGATCGAAGTCCTGGCTGGGGACGTTGGGACCGGGGGCAAGACGGTGGGGTGGGAGCAGGAACAGGAGTCCAGAAGCCAGGAGTCAGGAAGCCAAGAGTCAAGAAGCCAAGGGTCTGAGGATCAAGAAGCAAGGAGTCACAAAGTCAGGCGTCCGAGGATCGAGGAGTCAAATGCAGCAAGGCAGGGAACATGTTGCTGTGGCAAAGAGCCAAAGGGAAAATGCAGACCTTATATCCCTTCCCAGCTCTTGCAACCAGGTGCAGTGAGTTACCAAGTGGCCTCACCTGTGCGGCCACACCTTGCCTCTTCAGAACAAACTTAGGAAGGCCCCAGTCCTGCAGAGTCCTATTGGTCAGAGGGCCTGGCTCCTGCATGCACTCCTGACAGGCTGAGAGAGAGGACTTGTCGTGTAGGCAGCCCTGGACCTCCAGACACACTGCCCAGGTTGTGCCCCGGAAAGGTCACTCTGATGCTGTTAACACAGTGGTTTGACTTCACCCCCAGAGGCTTACTCCATTGTCTCTTGAGACAGATGGATGCCAGCAACAAAGCTCTTCTAGTTTTTGCAACAAACACAGCAAAAGACTAGCAAATTTATTCTATAAGCTTTGGTCCTTTATTTCATCAGATACATGAAGTGCTCTCCTGAGTTGCAGGTCTCTTCTCTCTTTGGCGATCCCTTGTAGCTGAGTAAGATTGTCTTCCATGAATACGGTTTTAACAATGAGTCCATAAGTGACTGTGGAGCCCAATTCTGGATCCACACGTCCTTCCACAGTGGGGACATAGGTTTCTGGGTGGGAGTTGATAATGGTGTGGAAGTGCCAAGCGTGCCTTCCTCTTAAAATGTTTCTCCCTTGCGTCCTGAGTTCAAGTGTCTTCAAAGTCCATGACGCCTTTGGTAAAAGGTTGTTCTCCAACTTGGGCGCTCGCAGGCAAGTGTTTCCCAGTTGTCAGTGTTTATACTACATTTTAAAAGATTTGCCTTGAGACAGCCTTTAAGCCTCTTTTGTTGACCACCAGCATTACGCTTTCCATTTTTAAGTTCGGAATAGAGTAGTTGCTTTGGAAGACAATCATCAGGCATCCACACAACATGACCAGTCCAACAAAGTTGATGCTGAAGAATCATTGCTTCAACACTGGTGATCTTTGCTTCTTCCAGTACACTGGCGTTAGTTCGCCTATCTTCCCAAGTGATGTGTAGAATTTTTCTGAGACATCGTTGATGGAATCTTTCGAGGAGTTGCAGATGGCGTTTATAAGTGGTCCATGTTTCAGAAGCAAGGTATAGTAAGGTTGGTAGTACAATAGCTTTGTAAACAAGCATTTTGGTTTCCCTGTGAATGTCCTGGTCCTCAAACACTCTGCACTTCAATCGGGAGAAAGCCGCACGTGCAGAGCTCGGACAATGCTGGATTTCGGCATCAGTGTTGGCCCTTGTGGAAAGATAACTGCCCAGGTAGGAGAAGTGATCGACATTTTCCAACATTACACCACTGAGTTGTAGACATATACTCATGCTTGTGGGTGAGGAGAGGTCAGAAGGAAACAGCATGCAGAAAATTATGGGCTGGGATAATTATTTTATTAACAGCGGCTATTCACATTTAAAAACCCCGTTGTTGGTGTTTTGGCAAGCCAATTAACACACATAGGGTGGATCTACACACAGAAAAAAATCCACTGTAAGTCAGAAATTAAATCATAACAAAAGAAAAAAAATGCTATGGAAAATCGCATAGATTTTTTTTTTTACTCTCCGTCGCCATCTGGTGCTGCATGTTTATAATACATTCAAAACACTGTTTTTTGACTAATGGCAGCTGAGTCCATAGTGCAATGAAAATACACAGTCCTGATTCACTCCACAAGTGACAGCCTGAGCCTCTTGATGACTTGTCATTTGGCAGTTTGATGTTAGCATGCCTTTGAAGTTCCTTTGTTCCAGAGAAACAAACAAAATGCAGTGAATGTGTTTCCGCAGACCCCCCTCCAAATCACTCAGATTATGTGCTTCTGTCAGGCCAGTGCGTTTTGATGTTGAAATTGTATTGTTACCACAACAGGTTTGCCTTGATGACCACATTATCACCTGTGCAGGTCTCACCTGTCGGTGGACTTCCTGACCTGCCATAGAAATGGCCCCTTTGTGGGCTTGTCCGACCTAGGAGATAACCTCTCAGTAAAAATAGATTTAAAACATTAATGACATAAACAAAAGCTCCCTTTGCAACGGAGCTGGGAACCTAATGACCACAATTAGACGAGAATGCTAATCATTATGCATGCAAATATCATTAATTAGGTTCATTACAGTGTGGTTGCAGTCAACGGCATGCACTTACCATTTTTAGAAATGGAAGCCTTATCAGCCTGAGACTTCAAAGGCTTTCACAGTAGGGCTTAATATGTAAATTGTCCAGGTGGCTAAATAGCTCGAAATTAAAGGAAATATCACCTAATCAGGATATACAACATAGATTTTGCCTTATTGAGCCCACTGGGATACAGCTGGATTTTAACAGTCTTGGCTCGTTTCAGAAATCAGACACCTAACGGCTCCTGCTTCTGATCATTCATATATAACCACACTTACAAATTCCCATTCCTTTATTTAGTTTTTTATGGCCATTTATAAGCAGGGCATGTATACCTGGAGTTGCACCCAAGAGGGTAAACCAGATTCAGTTCCCGAAACACTGAATTTGGGGGAGGATGCTCAAAAAGACCACCTTCATGACGTTGCTGGGGGGTAAGCAGCCTCATACAACTAATATGCGTAAGTCTAAATAACACATGAAGGGGTTAATGGCATAGAGTAAGCTGTCCTGCCGGGCTTCGGTCACTTCTCCTCACCTTGGGAGGACTGCAATCGCCTATTGTTGGACCGTAGTCTACCTAATGAACCAACAGGAACGGTGGTTGGAGCTATCACATTGGCTTGGATGGGAATTGAAGAGGAGAAAGCTATCTCTGGTTGCTGGGCTTTGGAGCGTGGTGCAGAGGTGTCCATTGTGAGGGACAAAGAGATCCCTGCTGGCCATGTTGACTTAATATCCCCGTGCCTCGGTATCCCAGTGTTGGGCAAATAGAAGGCCTTTGGTGGAAAGAGGGACAACAAGATAGATTTCTCTTTTGCTCTCTGCTGGGCTTGTGTTTCAGTAAGCAAACACACACTCTGGCGCAAGATAAGTGGCCCGAGATGGGCTGGATCTCTTCTAAAGAGCATCCCAGCAAGCAGGGCCAATTATGTGTGTTTCCTATTTTCAAATCCCTTTTGAACAGCACCCACAAACACAAACTCTGACCGCCGCACCGCTGTCTGCAAGAGACCCTCGTTCAATGGCAAGAAGCGTTTCCAAACTCATTAGGCAAGGAAAGATTATCCTAATGGGTGCAGCCGGACTGAGGGATTCTTAAGCAAAGCTATCGCTTTAATGCAAAGCAAACACCTTATTTTGGTGCAAATGGGGGCTTGCTGACCCCGATATCAAATCACAGGCCGTTCTCCTGATTAGCCAAGGAGTTGCAGCTTCAAAGTGCAAGCTTAGCTTTCTGCTGGAAATAGTGTGAGGAGACAAACCCCCAAATTCCTCTTCAGGGGTGTGCGGTGAAATTTTCCGTGGGGAACGCTTAGGGCCAGAGGTGCCAGCTTGTGAGGGTGATGGGGGGGGGGGCAATGTCACAATGTCCTAACATCATGCGCATGAGCATCGCACCTCCCTAAGTCGGCAGCAGCTTCCTGGCCTTTAGGGATGCCAGGCCTTTGACAAGATACTGGAGTTCTGCTGCCTGCTTCCCAAACCAAGGTGGGCTTTGGGGAGGTGGTGTAAAGGCTCTTGGGCCCCCTCCCTAAGATGGGCAAAAGCTTCCTGGGATTTGAGAAGAAGGAGCCAGGCTTTAATATTTTAATTTACCAGGAATATTTAGGGGACCAACGTAGTCACCCTAGTCCACTGACCACATATCTCCACCCCCATTGTTCAGCCCGGACACTGAGGTCCAGCTCCGAGGGCCTTCTGGGGGTTCCCTCGCTGTGAGAAGTGAGGTTACAGGGAACTAGGCAGAGGGCCTTCTCGGTGGTGGCGCCTGCCCTGTGGAACGCCCTCCCTTCAGATGTCAAGGCAATAAACAACTATTTTGCTTTTAAAAGACAACTGAAAGCGGTCCTGTTTAGGTTTTTAATGTCTGATGCTGTATTGTTTTTAATATTCGGTTGGAAGCCGCCCAGAGTGGCTGGGGAACCGCAGCCAGATGGGCGGGGTATAAATAAATTATTATTATTAGTAGTAGTAGTAGTATTAGTAGTAGTATTATTATGCCATTGTTCCTGTTGAATGACTGCCATTCCAAAATCTGCGCTGTTCCCATGGACCAGCCTCCCGCTGCCTGTTTGCCTTGACTGAAGTTTTCATTGTTGACACACTTGTTTTGAGTTGCAGTCATAACGACGTCTTTGCATTATTTTATCAGGCTCCTGCAATCTCACCAAACCACGATCTCTCTTAATCATCTAGGTACCATCAAGAGGAAACTTCGCGTGAGCAAATGACAAGAAGGCTTCTGGAGCTTTAAGGCTACGGAATTGCAGTGAGACTTAACGTAAAATATGCACATGCAAGAACCCGCAATGCACTGTGAATGAGTATAGGGGCAGCTTTAAGAAAAACCCTTAAAAAACACACACAACAGAGTACTGTATAGATTTTGTGCCTTTATCTTTAAATAGCTCCTGTTACGCCTGTGCTGTAATTGTAAATTCTGCTGTCTGAAAATATTCCTCTCACAGTTTGTGGCAGCTTTGACTGCTTGGATTCTTGTAACTTAAAAAAAAAATATGCATCAAGAATATATTATCACAGTAAGCCCTATTCTTTAAAAATAAAATAATTGGACAGAAGCCAGTTGCGATCAGAACTTGAATGCTGCAGAGACTTGCTTTTCTTGCCAACATTTTGTAACATTTCCTTGCTTGGCTCCTTAATGCGAGAGTGTGTGTTGGAGGGGGGTATCATAAAGGCATGGAAATACTGGGGGTCAGGTGAGGGTGATCCCCTGTAATTGGGCAAAGGGACGCATATTCAAGGGAGTTAAAGGCAGCCTCGTCTGCATTAAAAGACCTCGCGGACCCTTCCTGCAAAAATAAAACAAAACCCACAGAATTTCTCACAGCAGCTGTGAAGCCGCATTAGCGCCATAATGACAATACGCCATATTAACGGCACGGTGCCAGGTGCAAAAATCATATGCTGCCAACAGATTTATTTACCCAAATTAATTTTTTAAAAAGCCTGCTCTGCTGGCTGCAAGCAAGAGCATGTTGTTGGTTTAAAATCCAATCTGCCCACTCTTCGTCTGGCTCTTATTTTCTTCTTGCTCGGAGCAGCAAAGGTGCCTCCGCCCACTAGGCCGCCGCTGCCGCCATGGGAACTCGGGCTGCGAGTTCAGATGGAGAGGGAGAAGAAGAGAGGCTGACATCTGTGGTGGAGCACAGGCTTTGAAGGGGCTCCATCCCTGCTGTGGAGCCTGCTCCCACAGGGGCCAGTGATGGCCACGGACTTGGGTGGTTTGGGAAGAGGATGAGACACATTTAGCCCCTGGTGGTGTAGTGGTTAGAGCAGGGTTCCCCAAAGTTGGGTCCCAAAGCTGTTTTTGGGGACTACAATTCCCATCATCCCTGACCACTGGTCCTGCCAGCTAAGGATGATGGGAGTTGTAGGCCAAAAACAGCTGGGTTAGACAATACTGAGGTTTGAATCCCCACACTCATTGGGTGACCTCTCCGTCTACCTCACGGGGTCATTGTGAGGATGCGCCAGGGCAGGAGGAGAACTATGTATGCCACCTTGAGCTCCTCAAAGGAAAAGTGGGAGGATACAAATGCAATTGAGGATTATGATTACGATTTCTTTGTGGAAAAGGCCACCTTGGGAATGGTAACTCTGGGAGGGGAAGAGGGGTGGTGGTCTCCTGTCAGTTAAACATCTGGCTTAGTTCAGATGACAACCTCCAGCTAAGTTTTGAGAACTTATAGAAGGAAAGCCACTTGATCCAAGATGATGTGGGACAGTGGAACCTCGGTTTTGGAACGTAATCCGTTCCGGAAGTCCGTTTGACTTCTGAAACGTTCGAAAACCGAGGATCACCTGATCCTAAACACCCAGCCACCCCACTCACACATGAAAACAAAGACCACCACAGCCAACCACAAATGAATAATCACACCCTGGGCCAACCCCAACCTCTCTCACCACTAAAGGAACACAAGCGAACAGCAAAGACCCTGCACAAGCAACGCAGAGACAAAACCCTACATATAGGAAGTAAAATAGAACATCGCCACCTGACCCCACCCCCACCCATCTCCCCCGCTCCACCTCTTTCCCCCATTTCTTCCTAATATCTCAACAAATGAAAATGATTTGTAAAAATGTTACATGGGGAAAAAACACCAAGACAGCGACATTGTACACATTTTTCTAAATCAAGAAAATCTTTAATTAAAAAAATAAATTTAAAAAAGAAAAAGAAAACCAAGGATCAATGGGCTGGCTGCAAAGTCAAGGGGGGGGGAATGAAAACGCCGTTCGACTTCCAAGGCGCGTTCGAAAAAGGAAGCATTCACTTCCGGGTTTTTGGCATTCGGCAGCCGAGATGTATGAAAACCGAGGTTTGACTGTGTTAGTGCGTGAAAACGGTCCAGAACCAAGGATCCCCAAGGCATACACCTCCAGATGGAGATGTCAGGTGCCATCGTGGCACCTAGGCATCTTCACTTGGTCAGCTGATAGGTGCAAAAGGCTCCTGGCGCCTGGCTAATTTCTATGGGCCCTGTAGCCTATTTTGGTCTGCGAGACCCGACACTCGCACCAGGTCCCGTGCTTCTGTGCCACAGCGAGCGTTCCCCCGCCTTAACATCTCAGATAATGTGGCACCCCTGATCTCGGCTTTGAAAGGATCGCGCTGGGCAGAGCTGGGAATGAGGATGACAGACATGGCCAGGAGCTGCAGAGGCGAAGGAGATGGGAGCTCACATATTGATTTGAAACAACCAGCCGAAACCTTGGCCGCTGCAGGCCTCTGGTTGCGTCTAATTTACTGGAACAGACAGGCTCTTCCTTCAAGCCTTGTTTTCCACCCGCGCTTCATGTAAATATGAGGCTGATTGGTAAATCCATTATTGCACCCCACCAGCGATTGCCCCCCAGCCTCTGCCTTGAATTATTAATTCCTTCCTAAGTCATTACTCTCAGGGTCTCTTTTTAGAAAGGATTTTAAAATCCATTTCATTCAAAACTTGCAGGGCAAATGCCAACTGCATCTGTCAGGTCGCTTCAATCAAATCTGCTTGCTTTTGCTTGGAATTTGTTTTCTGAGCCTCAAAGCGTTTGCAAATATTTGCTGGGGTGCCTCCCCTCTTTTTACCCTGGAGAAGAACTCCCCTTTTCATCCGCCCCTGGAAATCCAATTTGGAGGCTGTGTTGTTCTTTGCCTGTCATAATTCCTTCAAAATTTCTTCTGCGGTGAACACACACACAAGAACATAAAAGGAGAGCTTTCTGGATGAAGCCAATGGCCTATCTAGTCCACCATCCCATTCTCATAGTGGCAGAATTCAAGCACAAGACCCCTCTCCCCTCCTTGGGTTTCCGGCAACTGGTTTTCAGAAGCATTATAGCCTCTGTGTCAGGAGTGCATGCAGGAGCCAGGCTCTGTGACCAGTAGGACTTTGCAGGACTGGGGCCTTCCTAAGTTTGTTCTGAAGAGGCAAGGCACAGCCACACAGGGGAGGCCGACTGGTAACTCACAGCACCTGGTGGTAAGAGCTGGGAAGGGATATAAGGTCAGCATTTCCCTTCGGCTCTTCGCTACAGCAACACATTTCCTGCCTTGCTGCGTTTGGCTCCTTGACCCCTTGCTTCTTGATCCTCGGACCCTTGATTTCGTGACTCCTTGCTTCTTGATCCTCGGACCCCTGACTTCTTGACTCCTTGCTTCCTGACCCTCGGACCCTTGGCTTCTTGACTCCCGGCTCTCTGACCCTCAGAATCTTGGCTTCCTGACTCCTGGACTCCCGTTCCTGCTCCCACCCCTCCATCTTGCCCTGGTCCCGACGTCCTCAGCCGGGACTTCGATTGCCCATGAACCGGACCGTGACACTGTTTGTAGAGGCAGAGCATGACCATCCTGGCTAGTAGCCTTTGATAGGTCTCTCCTCCATGAATTGGTCTAATTCTCTTTTCAAGCCATCCAGGTGGGTGGTCAAAACTGCGTCCTGCAGCAGAGAGTTCCGCAGAACCGATGAGCTGCCTGAAGGGCTTTTTAAAACCTATTCTGAATCTTCCCACCTTCAGCTCCATCCCGTGAATTCTAATGTTAGGAGAAAACCTTTCTCCAGGCCATGCAGAATATTACAAACTTCTTTCATTCCTCCTCTTACCTTTTCTATAAACTGAAAAGTCCCAAACGCTGCAACTGGTGTTGAGAATCTGAGGCTTTCTCTTCCCCTGCCCAAGCGGAATTAGCATCTGGTGGGACCTGCGATTGGAGCAAGACCTTGTCGAAGATGGCAGCGACTGCTAAGCAACGGAGGAGCCATGTGTCAGCAATGGAGAGAGGTCAAAGGGGCTCTTTCAGAATCGAAACTCGGGACAGAAGGCCAAGGAAAGAGGATCAGTTAGAAATCCCAACAATTGATTTGTGCTGTGCTCTGATCCATTCATCTCATCTGCACATTTCCCCAGCAAATACTTTCTTGATATTCTGCGGCTGGGAAGAGATTCAGCAGGAATCTTCCTAGACCCCAAGACCACCCTTTGAAGTCCTTATTTGTGCCAGGAGTTCAGCAGCCTACACTCGAGTAGGACCCTTGCATGGACACATGCCCGACTGGAATGTTCTCTCCCTCCTGGTCGATCGTTTGGGAGCTTCATAAGCTTTCTTCAGCCCAAATATCTCGGCCAACAGACATCGGCACACTTAGGGATCCGCAGAGTTTGCGCATCATGTGTAAAAGACCTCAGCAACTCAGCATTTTGGCTAATCTACTTTATTTACATATAAACACACACAGAGCACTGCAACATGGCTCCCTCTCTCTCTAGCAACAGACAGCAAAGAGAAAAGAACAAAGGACAACAGTCCCACTTCACAGAACACAGGAACACAAACATCCTGTCTCCGTCACTTCCCACTTTGTGGAGTCAAAACATATGCCGTCATGTGAAAGACAACAATCCTATGACTGCAGACATGGAGCAGGAATTCTAACAATTTGGGTGCTGCTTCTGCGAGAGGTTTGGAGGATGCCAACAAAGGTCAGGGCCTTTTTAGCTGGCAAAAGGCTCTTCCTAGCAAATCCTGTTTGGTGACGACACAAACATCTCTTTGGTGCCAGCCGTCTGTCCTTATCTCCAGTGTTTAATGGAACATGATCTTGCTGTGAAGGCTAGCGTTGATTCAGATTGCCCATGTTTTTGTTTTCTTTGGAATCTGGTGTCATTTTATCTATCGTTTTGTTACATTTTGGTTGCCGTTGTTTGTAAGAATTTTGTGCATTTAAAAAACTTGATTGTAAGCAGCCTAGAAATTGCTCTGTGTTAGATTACTAACATGATCAGCTCAATGGCCCATCTAGCCTAACATCCTCTAGGCAACCTAAGCTTATATAGGAGTCACTGCTACTTTGTCAAAAGCTTTTTGAAACTTCAAGTACACCATGCTAACCAGATCGTCTCTACCTATGTTTGTTGACGCTCTCAAAGAACAGTAGTAGGTTTGTGGGACAAGACTTGCCCTTCCAGAAGCCATGTTGGCTCTGCTTCAGCAAAGCTTTTTCTTCTATATCATATGCATATTTCTTTTATTT